AGTTCTAATTATATTCTTATAATTTTAATGTGTAATGGTGAATGTGGTAAATCACAGAACAGTTTTTTTTTTACTTTTGTAACTTTAATGACGTTGTGGTTTATGACATTTTCCTTTGAATAATTGTAATGTAAAGGGAGGGCAAACTTGCTGAGTTTCTTGCCCGTTCTTCTCAGAACAAGGCCTCCTGGTAATTTTGCGAACGGATGGCGTAGTCTTGCTCTTTCGCGAATTTTGTAAACGTTGTTGACATTCATAAGCATGCTCTAAGAAGCATCTAAATTGAATAAACGTATTTTGATTGATTGATTGATTGAATAAGTAATAAATAGCTAATTTGGAACTTATGCAGAACTTATCCGTACATTGTGAAACATACCGTTAACCTACAAAGTAATAATAATAATAATTAAACATTGATAAATAGAATATACTTGAATCCCGTGAATGCTGGTGTCCCACAAGGCTGTGTCCTATGCCCGACCCTGTTGCTTCTGTATATCAGTTTTTGACATCACCACTATGCCAGCCAGCTGGCGACTGAAGTATTTCCGAACTATTTCGACTTACGGTCCTTCAAAAGAGCGCACCAATACTTAAAAGGCCGGCAACGCAATCGCGAGCCTTCTGGCAATGTGATTGTCCATGGGCGGTATCACTTAACATCAGATGAGCCTCCTGCCTCCTTTTTCATAAAAAAACAAAAGAATAACTTCAACACCGTCACAAGCTGTAACTCCCGTCAGGTTTCTAGCTGTTTTTTTCTTTCTCGTTCAAAAAAGCAGTCATCCCTTGGACTCATTTAAACTCAAACTTAAAATATCTTTAGTCATATAGCTAAACAAGTACACTTATTAACGTCAGAAAAGAAGGTAAAATGATTCTAATTTATAGATCAAGAGCCCAGGACTGCCAGACCTTCGTCATTTTATAAAAGCTGAAAGTTCTTCTGTGCGTGTCCCCTATACAGGTAAGAGCGACCAGAGACTATAGAGTTTGGGTAGTGGTAACTTTGGCAGATAACAGGTAGTAAAGACTAAGCGCTCGCGCTCGGACCTACAGCGGACTTTCAATGTGTCTGGCAGGGTGTAAAAACCATTGAAACTGTCCGGCTATTGAGGTATCATATTTTCATAGGTCCCCAAGTAACATATATAAAATTTAGCTTTTATACTCTAACGAAAGTGTAATTATAATTAATTAATGTTTAGGGGTGTCTGGCAGGGGAAGCAACTGTCATAAGTGTCCGGCAATGTATGACGATATTTATAAAGTTATCCCTAATAAAATATAAAAAAATTGAGCTTTATACTTTAAGGGATTTAAGGTACTATTTTATACACCTTTACTACCTGTTATCTGCCAAAGTAACCACTACCCAAACTCTATAGTCTCTGGTCGTTCTTACCTGTATAGGGGACACGCACAGAAGAACTTTCAGCTTTTATAAAATGACGAAGGTCTGGCCTAAGCAAAGAGCCCTGGGCTCTTAGGATATTATACTTACATTTACTACCAGTTCGCAACTCAAGGGCGTAGAGCGCGTAAAAACTGGCAAGTAACTCTCCGCCACTCTTTAATCGCTAAGTTTTGATTCATACAAATTGTTTGAACTGGAGCAAATCAATCCCAAGGATTGGGATCATTTAATTATTCGTCAAATTTAAAAACAGGTTTATTGATTAATTTACGTTTATTAAGAATTTATTTAGTGATAATTCTCTAATTACGCTTGGGAGTTTGTTGTAAAAACGAATAAACTTTCCATATAAGTGGTTTATCTTCTGGAGCCCGGTTGGTCGTACACTCAAATTAGTTCTATTGAATTGAATTGAATTTGATTAGGCTCAAAAACCGTATTCACGGGGGAATCCATTACTTCCTACTTCGCTCACTTCAGCGAGCTTCCGTCCAGGCCCAAACCAAGATCCGAGTCTCGTAGGAGCTCACGGGAAAGCGCTCATTCCTCGCCACGCAAAACTGGCAAGAAACTCTCCGCCACTCTTTTTAATTGCTATGTTTTGAGTCATACAAATCGTTTAAACTGGAGCAAATCAATCATTTAAAATAATATTCGTTATATTTATAAAAAGCTTTATTGATTAATTTACGTTTAACGAGAGCTTTGAATTTATACAGTGATCAATCTCTAATTTCGCTTGGGAGTTTGTTTCCATACCAGCCCTGTGATTCTGTAACTCACTTTTCGAACTCACACAGCGGTTTTCGCATCGGCGGTCGCTCTCAAATCAGTCGTGAAGCAGTCATTTTATGATTTGGCATTCTGATAAACAATAAACTACAAGCTCCCACCTTTTCAGAATCTTTGGAGCCTGGTTGGCCATTCTTTCAAATTAGTACCTGTAGCATAAACTCGTACAATGCAATATTGTGAAGATGCAAATAAACTTTATTAATATAAGTGATCAATTAAACCATACAATTGTATTTTTCGTGGATAAATTTTTTAGATTTACATAAATTCAATTTAGCAAGTTTATCGTTTAGCAATTTCTTATGGTTCACGTTTGTAATACAATTAATACAGAACCGGTATTATCTTAAGGTCATGTGGTGTTATTAAATCATCTAACTTTAATCTTAATAACTAGATAGATAACTGGTATTTAAGATGAGAAGACACTCTCAATGCCTGAAGGGACAGGGACGCGAATAGGGTACGATGCGTATCCGCTTTCCTATTTGCGACGACTGACAAGACTCAAGACTTTAGACACCTGGAACGAGCGCTATGTGGGGGGCGAAACAGCCTCAGTCACAAAAATGTTTTTTAAAGATGCAAATGCGGCATACAAACAAATCAAGACAAGGCGTTTCGCACCTCACATGGCGCAGATCCTGACTGGCCACGGGGCTTTTGGACACTATTTACACAGACTCAAACTGAAGACAAGCCCCGCGTGTGACTGTGACGCCAGAACCGACCAAACGGTGGTTCATTTACTTGTCGACTGTGCGAATTTTGAAAGGGCCGGGTGCGATCTGGAACTCGAGACTGGCATGAGGGTATCCCGGGATGGGCTATCCGACATGTTGCTTGGGCACAGATCGCAGCTGGAAAAATTCTGCGACAAGATTGTCAGATATGTCACTCACAAAAATACACGAGAGGTAACGCGGGTATCGCCGGGCAGCGGGCCCCGACTCACCTATAAATATTATAACGATATTTTCGGAGTAGTTGTCGCCCGGGCCCGGCGGGAGACGCCAACCCTTTAAGACAATAATGTCCCTTTTTAAGAAAGGGGAGATTCTGACACTCCCCTGCTGCTTGGCCACTCGGTCACAAATCTGCCTGATTGCGTGGAAAAAAAAAATGCCTGAAGGTTTTAATATGTTTTTATAGGTTTAAGAATAACTTTATTTCTCATAAGAATTGGATACATAATTCACTTACTGAGAAACAATATTTAAAACTAAGATTAAAAATTAGAAATTGGAGCGCACATATGTAGGTACATATTATATAAAATAACAAAACAAAACAACACCAAAAATGAGGGTAGACATAATAAACTTGATCAGTCAACCAAGCAAAACACAGATGTTCGATGTTTTGCTTGGTTGTTTCTTTACTTATCCCACCTTTTAGTAGCTACATACCAATTAGGGATGTGACATTCTGCATAAAAATCGATATTTTTATTAATCGATTGTTTTCTTAGCATGAAAAATCGATAAATAAATAATCGATTTTTCTTAAAAAAATAATAGTTTTTTTTAATCTCGTTTTTATAGATTTTGGTGAAATTTAATAGATGAGGGCTTTTTCAGTAGCACATTGCAGTATTTTTGTTGTCTTTTTTATTGTATGTAATCTTGTGCTGCTGAATAAATTTATTTTACTTTTAAATTTTAGTGTTCAATTCAAACTTGAGTCTTTGTAAAATTAACTGGTTTTATCATCCTTTCGATGTTTTATAAAAAACATCAATGCATCGAGTATATCAATACATCTTCAAAGCATCAGATCTATTAAATGAATCGCATTGTAAACATCGATGTATATCGAATATCCCTAATAGTTCGAGGTCCGGGTTATAAAAGACCACACATAATGTCGGGAGGTGGCAGATGAAAAATCGACTATGATTGATTTTCAATTAAAAAAACTAATCGATTATTTTAAATATAAAAATCGCGTACAAAAATCGATTTTAATCGATAATTTTTTCACATCCCTAATACCAATGTATGGAACATTTTTTAATGCCCCATAGACTGTTCACTTTTCCGAAATATAAAACCTAAGTACAAAATAAAACTAAATTTTTCATTTCTTTTTCTATTTATATCCTCAAAGTTCAAGGAATGAATAATAAAAAAATACTCGCGGTCTAGTCGAGGTTTGCACTTAGTACCATATTTATTTACAAACTAGCTGGCCTGGCGAACATCGTACCGCCTAACAGTCAATTTTTGATTTTTTTTTAAATACTTATTCTGCTATGCGGGACACCGGTCTAGCTAGTAAGATAAAAAAAGAATGTTGATAAGACAACAAATACATTGTGTAAAAAAAAAAAAAATTACCTTTCCGGAACCCCTCCACTAACACTTGAACTTTATAATATGGTATTAAAGTTCAAATTGACTTTTAAGTATTATCACGAATATTTTGTATGGGAATATAGAAAAGTGTTGTTTTTAGACTTTTTCACTCAATTTTTTAATTTTTCTCTCCGTAAGAACCATCCTCACTTCAAGGAATATTATAAAACAAGAATTGGCCAAATTGGTCCAGGCGTTGTTGAGTTATGCGCTTACCAACATATTTTGCGATTCATTTTTATATTATAGATAAAAAATAAGGGTCGATTACCAAACTTTTTAAATCTATTTTATTTCATTTTATCCTATATTATTATTGCTGTGTAGGATTAGAATATTGTAAATAATTTATATTTGTGTGTTGGTAATAAATATCTATTGTACGAAAAGGCTTCCTGGATAAAGGTTTTTTTTTCAGATCCAACGAAATGTTGATCCACCTGGCAATAGTGTTCTCACTTTTGGCGTGTACCAAATCTCTAAATGAAGGTAATGTATTTTATTTTTACTCCAGCATTGATCAATGTTCAAAGCTCCATCTTTAGGGTGACCTTCAGAAGACAGCATGTTTTAACAATTAATTAACATGGATCTCACTTTTTACGGTAGAAGAACTGCGTTTTGGGACTTGGTGTTTTCTTCCTTGCATACCTTCATTTGTTTTCTTAACTGTTTACAGGAGACAGCTGCACCAAAATGGATGGATCTCCTGGAGTTTGCAAGGCCATAAACGACTGCCCATACGCAGAAGATGACTTTAGAAGGCATCTTAAACCAATGGTAAGGAAGTTAAACCAATTTATTATGATTAAAGAATTGTTGAAATATGAATTTTAATTAAAAGACGAACCTCAACATAACAACCAAATATACAGTGTTTACAATTTTCTTAATATAGTAATAATAATTTACATAGTAATAATAAAAGAAATTAAAAACAAAGATTTATCCTCTGTCAGCAGGAAGCATTTTTTTTTTATTGAACGGGGGGCAAACGGGCAGGAGGCTCACCTGATGTTAAGTGATACCGCCGCCCATGGACACTCTCAATGCCAGAGGGCTCGCGAGTGCGTTGCCGGCCTTTTAAGAATTGGTACGCTCTTTTCTTGAAGGACCCTAAGTCGAATTGGGTCGGGAATACTTCAGTGGGCAGCTGGTTCCACATAGTGGTGGTGCGCGACAAAAACTGCCTTGAAAAACGCTCAGTTGTGGAACGGCGGACGTCGAGGTGATACGGGTGGAATTTCGTATTCTGCCTCGACGTCCGATGATGAAACTCAGCATGGTGTAATACATTCTCGTGGGAACAACACGCAAATACATAATCGAAATAACTAACATCACCACACACACGAATTCAAGCACGACCAGTCACCACAAGTAGCACCCGTTCACGAGTATGACGGGCCAGACATCGGCCCCATGTAAAACTTGGCGATTAAAAAGAGTGGCGGAGAGTTTATTGCCAGTTCTTCCCTTCCGTTCTATGCTCTTGATTTGAGAACTGGCAATAAATGTAAAATTAGAAGCATTTAATGTATATTTTTTTTTCTTTTTTTACGTTCATAAGTGAACATTGTTACCTATATGAGTAAATGATTTTTGACTTAAAGTAGAAAATCTTAAAATTTTGACGACTCATTGGTCTAGTGGTTAGTAACCCCTGACTGCGAATCCATGGGTCCCGGGTTCGATCCCCGGTTGAGACGAACATCGATGTGATGAGCATTTGGTGTTGTGCTTAGGTCTTGGGTGTTTAAATATGTATTTATATCTATCTCTATCTATAATAATATGTATGTATATCCGTTGCCTAGTACCCATAACACAAGCTTCACCAGCTTAGCATGGGACTAGGTCAATTGGTGTGAATTGTCTTTAAAAAAAAAAAAAAAATAATTTTTCAGACATGCGGATACACTCAATTTGATCCAGTCATATGCTGCGGGGAATCACTTGTGGTCACCACACCTAAAATTAGGGGGAGAGTTAGGGGAAGGTGAGTCAAAGCTATATTTATCTTCGGTCAAAGATTTGTGAGATCTTGCTTAAACTGCTGAATAGGCACTTAAAAAAACTCAAAATTGACTGCCAGTTCTCAAATCAAGGGCGTAAAAAGAGAAGAACTGGCAATACTCTCACTCTTTTAAATCGCCAAGGTTTACACCAAATGATTGTAAACCTGCAACCTTCATCATGCTCCTCATCACATTATACGCATATAATATGGGCCATATTCCAATTCGTTTTTGTTTTCTACAGAAACAGTAGAAATACAGTGGGACCTGGTTAATAGGGAACTCAAGAGACCTAAGATTTCGTACCATTTCAAGAGTTGGACCACATATACACGTCAATTATATTAGAACATATGCAAGGGTAAAAAATGAACAAGCAACCGCAAAATAACTAAAACTAAATAGAAACTTCAAATTCAAAGCCTTTATTTCTACTAATACAAGAGTAAACTTTACAAAATATAAATGTATATAAAAAAGTTCTTTAAGATGGTTTTGTTGCACAGCTGTCCTCTTGTACAGCTTGCCTTTGTGGCACAAAGGCCTCCTCCAGCTGTTTCCAGTGCTTCCTATCCCTGGCAAGTCTTTGCCACAGAGGACCAGAGGCTTTTTTAAAGTCGTACCTAATGACAAAGACTATAAACAATTCTTAACGGCAGTGAGAGAACATCGATCTGTTACAACTTCTCCATGCATCCTATATTGCTGACATACCCGACATCATTTCTTCCCATGCATCAACAACCTTACATTCCCATCAAGCCGATCTCCTAACTCTTATCCGAGCAGACGTGCTCATACTTTGTTCTACTTTCTTTGTATATTTTATTCTAAGTTAATATACTTGTAGCAAAGTCATTATGGTCTTTTTTTAAAAAGATCCCAATTAATTTCCGCGTAACAGATCTATTTTGCGAAGTGTGACGACGGAAGCTTTTCTCGAAGCAGTTCAGGCCATTTTCCGAAACACTATAACTTCGTTGTGGATAAAACTTGAAGCCTGACTTACATCATATTTGTAAGAATGATATGGTCACGTAATATGTTAGGTAAGCTAATTACGTAATTCCTTAATACAGAAGGTACCTTGAGTATCAACCAACTTGGTATTACATGGATCTCACTTTACGATAGAAGAACTGTGTTGCGAAACTTGTTTATTACAAGATTTGTTTTTGATGGCATTTAATTGTTAAGTTGTTGTTCTCTTGTACCAACTCCAACCATTTTCAGTTTCCTATAATGTAACCGGGGAAATTGATACCTCGTGCTTTTTAATACAGAAAAACAACAACAACAGAGCAACCGAAAGAGATAGAGTTTTCGATGGAATGTGACAAAGCAGAGAGAAGAGGACAGAAAGCGTATGATAGTAAGTTTCTAGCGGTTGGACTATTTAAGGTATCGAAGAAGTTTAAAAGAAGTATTAAGAATATCCATAGCGCTGAATCCCCTGCATCATGAGAATACCATACACACCATCACACAAGCCCAATTAGGTATTACTTAGTTATATATTCTTTCGTAAATGTTTGAACCTCTTATGTATTTCATCTTTGGCTTTTTTTTTAGTATTAGTTATCTTAATATATATAAATTACGTGGCACGTTGTTTGTCCGCTATGGACTCCTAAACTACCGAACCGATATCAATCAAATTTGCACACCGTGTGCAGTTTGATCCAACTTAAAAGATAGGATAGCTTACACCTCAATTTATACCCGCAATATTATTTTATTGCAAAATATTTGTTTATTATTTGATAATCACAATTCCAACAAATGGCGCTGTGTTGAAAGTACCAACGTTTCACATAAGCTACAATTTAATGGCATAACCACCAATAAAGCATGGTCCCCATGACTGGTGTTCTCCTACCGTCTCCCTTGAATAGTTTGCTACTATGTAATATTACAAAAACCTTAGCCACAGCAACGCTTGGCCGGTCTGCTAGTTGTTATATATAATTTATAGAGCAGTGTTGGCCTAGTGGCTTTAGCATGATGTCATCCATGAGGTCATAGAACCCCGGCTGTGCACCAATGGACTCTAAGCGCTAACGGTGAAGGAAAACATCGTGAGGAAACCGGCTTGCAAGAGACCCAACACGACAGCGTGACAGACACAGGAGGCTGATCTACTTGCCTATTATATTGACAAATCATGAAACCTGACGCCCAGGCCTAAAAAGCCGCTGATTTCTTTTTACCCACATTAATATTATATGATAGAATCAGTTCCAGACCCTTAGTCCGTGGGGTCCTAGCGCTATAAGGCTTTTTAAGGGAATAGCAAAAAGGTTATTCGACATCACAGGAGACCGAAGAGCTGGCAACTACCTCGGACAAAGAATTAGTCTAGCTATTCAAAGGGGGAACGCTGCAGTATCTTCGGAACCTTGCCTAATGGGACTCCTTTTAATAATATATTTTATTTATTTTATTTTGAGATTATTAACTAAATCAGTTAAGTGTCAAGTAGTTAGATTTATCTTTAATATTTCAGAATGCCTTGAATACCAAGAGAAATATGTGTACCCGTGCCGCCCTGGGCCTACCACTGGTAACATTAGAGTTGACGAGTGCACTCGGAAACCAGAACAGCTAGTCATAGGAGGAGAAGACGCTTATGAGGGGGAGTTTCCGCATATGGTGAGTTAGAGTTCCAAGCCTGCGATATCAGTACTTTAAAAAATGAGTGGAGTTAAAACTTTGGTCTTGATTATCTTAAAAAAGAGTCTTGATTATCTTCTAATAGGCAGGCTGATAGGGGCCGATAAATTGCTTAAGTCAACAGTAATTATTAACTTTTTTACACATATTACCCACACCTTATCTATGCTTGAAATCGAAACGCATTTTCGAGGATTCCTACAAAAAATTAATACGTTTATGACTATTAACTTTGAGAGCTTTGCTTACTTTTGCTGACAAGAGGAAGGGGGGGGGATAAATTGTAAATCTGCTTACGTAATACTTGAACCTGATTCATAGATTTTTGGGTATTTATGACGTTTTTCTGCAGCGTATGGGCGACTGTTAAATGCGCACATAGAAAATCGAAAGTTATTAAGAAGAACGAGGTGTTTTTAAGCTATTGCATAGATGTTATCGCGGGCTTTGAGCGCGGCGACCGAATCAAGAAATTCCGTAACGAAATAAACCTAACACACGATGATGTAATATAGGTGCGGCCGATATGCGTTAGCATACTGCGTCTCACATCGGTTTAGCGTGATCGGATAGGCGTGTTAGTGTGAGTCTGGTAGAGTGGTAGATTGAATTAATATCAAAGAAAAAACTTTAATTAATATTAAAGACAAAAAAAATACTGCAAAAAATAAATAAAAAAAGGATTGTGTGGTTTTATGAAACCATGGTAAAAAGTGATACTTTTTTCACATTATAGACATTTAACTAAACAATTTTGAAAATTGGAAATTTATACTTGGAAAATTGAAAATTAATAAAAGTAGACTAAGTCTCCAACTAATATTTTTATTGAACTCTGTGTCTTAGAGAGTACGACATACATAAAACTTAACAATTATTTAGATTATATACACATATTAAATAATAGTCTATACACTACACGGTCAGCTGCTGCGAACTATAGGCGCCGCCATATTGGCCTTGGCTGCTATGACGAGCACCTTTCACTTTATCCCTACTCCGCGGCCGACCGTCACGCGACATGCAACACACAGACGAAAAAGTTTGAGACGATGTAATAAAAGTTTCACATTAATAATTATATTGCATAAGTTTATAAAAAATGCTATGCTAGCTTTACCGCGGCAGTCCCCGAGTGCGTTTTTTTTAATTTTCAGGCGCTCCTGGGCTATGGTAATGATAAATTAGAATGGATTTGTGGAGGTGTCATAATCAGCGAACGATATGTGCTCACTGCAGGGCACTGCACTTACAGCAGATTTTAGTAAGTAGAGCTTTTTGCTGTTTTATGAACGGATCGGAATTTGGACAAATCCAGCGGTACAAACATCAGCTTCTCGGCAATAGATGGCGTTGATAACAATTATCATAATTTCAAATTACAAGAAATTTCTATGACTCTTAAATCTTATGAAACAAGCAATTTAATAAATCAATTAAATATTTTAATAATTTACTTTAACATACTTTTTAATTATGGAATATAAGATACAGGTATCACTTATTCCACGTCATTAAATTTGAATCTGTTGGCATTCCTACTCATCGGCAAAGAAGACAGAGGATGTAGGCCGAGAGAAAAAGCTGGAGTAAAAAAACTCTTGGTAATTTTTTAAAATAGCAAATCATCAAACAACACTTATTTTAAAACAAATGTCGCAAATTAATTAGAAGTAGCTTGTCTAACATTAGTCCCAGGCCCTTCTATAGACTACATAATCATAACTTTATAGTAAGCCTTTTTACACAGCTTTTCTAATGCTAATTTATTAAAAGGCAGAGATAAAAGAGCCTCTGGGATTTTATTATAGACCAGTGCCGATAATTTTTGAAACCTAAAAAAATAATAGTAGGATGAAACCTATTGGAAAAGGAGGAAAATATTATAAAAATTAAAGGAAAAATAATTTACGGGCGATCTGAGGTCGGGAAGGGGGTAGGGGGGAGAGAAGTAAGGAAGGGGATGACGGGTCTGGGCGTTACTGCATACGATTTTTTGCGTTTTCTGAGAAGATTTACTAGGGTAATATATATATTTTTTTACCATAGGAAAGTAGAGATTTCAACGAACTGAAAGCACACCAATTTTTTTAAAAAAAGCTGATATTTTGACGGGTAAATTTTAGATTGATTATTTTTCCGACCCAAATATCGACCAATAGAATTGCACCATTCGACGTCACGTGGTACAACCTACATGGTATTATACTGATAATTTTTTGAAAGTTTTCTCTGGTAGTTGCTTCAAGAAAAGTATTAAGTAGTTGTTTTATTCATTATGAAATTCTTATTTGTTAACTGTACATTTCGTCTCATGGTGCAATTCTATTGGCCGACATTTGGGTCGGAAAAATAATCCCCGAATACCACACGAGCTTCAAAATTATCTGGCATTTCCCTCAAGGTTCCCTGCAAACAAACCTATCGGGAAATACCCGATAATTTTGAAGCTCTTGTGGTATTATAAGTGAAAATTAGGGTGTTTTTTCGATATTAATTCAAAATAAGGTGAAAAAATTAATATTTTTAATTAAATAAATTACAGCGTATTTGGGACATAGAATGATAAGTCTTCACCAAATTTCGTTAAAGAAAAATTTTTTTTGTAAAAGATAAACATTAAAAACCAAAAACTTGGCTTTTTGAATTTTTCACATAAATTTTGTGGTTATGTGAAAAATGTGTAAATACAAAAGTTTTAGATCTTTTTATTACCTACAACTTTGCCCCCTAACCCTTCCCGACCTCAGATCGCCCGTAAATTATTTTTCCTTTGTTTTTATAATATTATCCTCCCTTTCCAATAGGTTTCATCCTACTATTATTTTTTTACTTTTTATTTTTTATAAAGGCTATCTGCACTGGTCTATTAGAAGAAAAGAGCGTACCAAGTCTTTAAAGATCGGTAACGCATTACGGTCTCTTTGTTTATAGTAGCACAAACGAGACTATTTTGAGTAATACTTAATTTTTTTTTTTTTTTTTTTTTTTTTAAAAGACAATTCACACCAATTGACCGAGTCCTATGCTAAGCTCGTGAAGCTTGTGTTATGGGTACAAGGCAACGGATATACATACATAGATAGATAGACATATAAATACATATTATACACCCAAGACCTAAGCACAACACCAAATGCTCATCACATCGATGTTCGTCTCAGCCGGGGATCGAACCCGGGACCCATGGATTCGCAGTCAGGGGTACTAACCACTAGACCAATGAGTCGTCATAATTCGTCATGATTCTTATCCTTGGGATTTGCTCCAGTTCAAACAATTTGTTAGACTCAAAACTTGGCGTTTAAAAATAGTGGCGGAGAGTTTCCAGTTTCTTCAGTTTTTGCCAGTTTTTCTCGCCCGCTCTACGCCATTGCGAACTGGAAGTTGATGTAAATTTAGAATCAATTTAACAACTTTTCTGACGTTCATAAGTGTACTTGGTTCCCTATATTAAAGTTATTTTGAGTTTGAGTACGGGACGTCCAAAAAGGGCAGGCTTCGTAGCCCGTGGATACCCCTTTAGTTGGTGCGTAGAGGGAGAAGTATACTCTTACTTTAAACAATTGGAGTTCGTATCTCTCAGGGAAGACCCCCACCAGGAGTTGATTCCACAGTTCCCTAGTTCGCAAAAGAAAGTGTCTTGTCTCTCTGGCTGAGACTCCATGGGCGGCGGTATAACATCAAGTTCTTGTTCTATAAGAAATATTTGAAGGTTTAAACTTTGAAGGTGTGATGTTTTCAGTGGCCCTGTTAAGAAAATCCGAGTTGGTATATTAAAACGAAGTGATGCCGTGGATTCGTCTAAAGAATACAATGTGGTGGCGACCAAGCACCCAGAATACAAACCACCGATGAAATATCATGATATAGCGTTACTACAGACTGACAGAGAGTAAGTGTAGTATTTTCTAATTGATTTCACTTTTTTTAAGCTATTGCATAGATTTTATCGCGGGCTTTGAGCGCGGCGATCGAATCAAGAAATTCCGTAACGGAAATAAAAACCTAACACACGATGACGTTATATAGGTGCGGCCAATACGTGTTAGAGCGGAACAGAACGCATACTGCGTCTCACATCGGTCAGGCGGGATCGGTGACGTAGCGTAAGCGCGGCCAGTGCAGCGGTACGCGTTAGAGTGAGAGAGACTATATAGGCGTGTTATACTGAGTCTGTTAGAGTGATAGAGTGGTAGATTGAATTAATATAAAATAAAAAAAAATACTGCATAAATAAAAAATAAACAAATAATTATAATTGCATAAGTTGTTAAAAATGCTATGCTAATAACTTTACCGCGGCAGTCCCTGAGTGCCACACGTTTTTTATATAGAACAGGGGGCAAACGGGCAGGAGGCTCTAATGTTAAGCGATACCATGGACACTCTCAATGCCAGAGGGCTCGTGAGTACGCTTGGCCTTTTCTTGAAGGACCCTAAGTCAAATTGGTCAGGAAATATTTTACTGCACAGCTGGTTCCACATAGTTCCGTGTGAAAGGATTCAATATATAATTAATTATGGTGTTATGTAAATTGACTGAATTACGAGTATCGAAGAAGACGCAAAAAATTTCATAGTATCAACGGTCTAACTTCCAATTCGCCCGACGCGTTCGCATTATAAATAGTCTTCACGTCCGGTATGAATGCGAATAACTCAAAAACTACCGCATGGATTTTGATACAGTTTTAGCTGTTTGATAGTTTAATTACTAAGAAAGGTTTAAATATATTCATTATTGTTTTATACAAATTAATTAATTTACGAGCATCGAAGACGCGAAAATTTCCAATATCGACCGCAACGTCTTTGCAATTCAAGTAGTTAGCAATGTCTGCCTTGCGATTCTGTAACTCACTTTTCGAACTCACACAGCGGTTTTCGCATCGGCGGTCGCTCTCAAATCAGTCGTGAAGCAGTCATTTTATGATTTGGCATTCTGATAAACAATAAACTACAAGCTCCCACCTTTTCGTGACCGACACGTACAAGACCACCTAGTGATTCTTTATACCTAAAAGTTAGCAATATGTAGTGTAAAGTACTAGAAAGTCGAAAATAATATAAACAATAACGCTTAATTCAATCCCCGCTCCGTATCGTTTTACAAAAGGACCCCCCGCCCCTCCCGAAATTCGTTACGTAATACTTGAACGCTCCCATAGGCACAGGAGGCTGATCACCTACGTGCCTATTAGATTGACAAATCATGAAACAGATATCTGAGGCGCGGACCTAAAAAGTTTGTACCGCTATTATTTTATTTTTTTGCAGTATAGAACTTAACAAGTACGTCGTGCCAGCGTGCCTTCATGACGGCGGCGCGTTATTTAACAAAAGTGCGATCGTTACCGGTTGGGGAACGACGGTCTTTAGATATATGGAGCGCACGGATGTACTCCAAAAGGTATATTGATTATAAAATCTGTAGTGAGGCAGTGACTTGACGTGTGGCGGGGGGAAAAATGCAATGCTCAATGGTTTAAGTACTTACTGCGTTAGCTGACGGACTTTCCATCGCTGTCCACACCTGTATCTCTTCAATCGGCAGGTTATGTCTTAGCGTCATGGTGAGCAACGAAGCATCTGGAGTGGACTATCTGTTTCCACCGGTTTCTGTCCAGTGCCTCTCTTATGATGTACAGTTTTGAGGACGATAAGTCACTTGATCAATCCATCTGGTTGGTGAACGGCCACGTGATTCCTCTTCTGTGTTACCAGCCACGATCAGTTTCTCCAAGTTCTCTTCGCCTCTGCGCATTGTATGGGCAAAATAAGATAAATCGCTGTGGGCATATGGAGTCGGGTTCAGTTGGTTGGGGATCCAGTCAACCCACACGGATCAAAATTTGATTAATGCAGCAGTTGAATGATAAATTTCAATATCTATATAGAAAAATATATACCAATTTAAAAACTTTAATAAAATCTTGGTCCTAGGGAATAATTATGACCCCGAAATTCACCCTTTGTAATTGTTAGGTAAAATTTATATGTAATAGATGTCAGAAGTATCTGTATTGTATATGTATTGTCTAAGGTAACAGACGGAGCCCTGCGAGGTTCAAAGTGGTGGGATTATCTCAAAGCTATCGGACATCACCACGATAATTAAGGGCTTGAGAGTCTCCGCCACTTTGAGAGGAAGCGAGAATAAGACAGAGCAATATTCAAATCTGATTTATTGCTATAATATCTTAAATACTACACATATAATATTATTCTTGTGAGCTGTTGGTATATCTCATTAGCTTCTAAAATTTAAAACAACCACGTGAGCCATGTCAGCAGCAAATGACATCTAAAGAGTGATTATATTTTCAGGCAACTGTCGAGGGATTTGAAAGTGGCGAATGTGAAAGGAAGTTTAAGGATATCCGTCTAATGTCAAAAGGTTATAACTCGACAACCCAACTGTGTTATGGAGATCGAGTTTCCAACAAGGATAGTTGTGAGGTACGGCTGTTTTATGTAACAGGAGGCTCATCTAATGTTTAGTGATAGTACCCATGGACACTCACACTGTCAGAATTGTATTAGTACACTCTTTTCTTGAAGGACGCTAAGTCGAATTGGTTCGGAATTACTTCAGTGGGCAGCTGGTTCCACATAGTGGTTCTGTGCGGCAAAAACTGCCTTAAGAAACGCTCAGACGAACGTCGAGTTGATACGGATGGTATTTTGTGTTGTCGGCCGATGATGAAACTCAGCTGCAGGTATTAGTCGGTACAACTCCTCTGAACACTCTCTATAGTAAATGCCAAGGGATCGAACCGCTCGGAAAGTATCTAAAATTTTATGCTGCTGAAGAGGTAATCGCCGAAACCTTAGACATCCGTTGTATCGCTCTCGACGGCATAACAAAAAGTTTTTCTATGTTAGTATCCGAACTTTTCATCCATGTTGTGGCACAGTGTGACACAGTAACAGATATATCTGAGGTTTATATAACATGAATTGGATAATAATCTCGTAAACAAAAATTGTAAGATCCTGAATTTGTGATAACAAAGTAAATACTATATTGTTTTGTGTGGTGGTTAAATAACCATTCTCACTCTTCTGCATTCGCTTTCATGATGAACAGTATCAAATATGTTTTCCCCTTGCTTAGTTTTTATCTTATAAATAAAATTCTTCTCAAACTGTCTAATACTCAAAAAGTATTCTTCTTGCGCAACAGTTTGATTATATTGTCGTATGTAGAATTTATTCCGTCAAGGATCTAAAATCATTAATATGTCAAATAGAAGATGGACACGACACAGTAATTCCTACTGCACTTTCTCTTTTAACTTCACGTCCCTTTTTATGTGTAATAAAGTTCTTTTCTTTTCGATTGACTTCTACTACGCTTTCCGTAACGACATCATTGTGTTAGATTTCTGGACCACTTCTTACAATCGCTTATAGCTTACCCAATTCACTTTCAGCCCTGCGATTCAGTAACTCACTTTTCGAACTCACACATCGGTTTTCGCATCGGCGGTCGCTCTCAAATCAGTCGTGAAGCAGTCACTTTATGATTTGGCATTCTGATAAACAATAAAATACAAGCTCCCACCTTATTTGAGAGCGACCGCCGATGCGAAAACCGATGTGAAGTTAAAAGAGAAAGTGCAGTAGGAATTACTGTGTCGTGTCCATCTTCTATTTGACATATTAATGATTTTAGATCCTTGACGGAATAAATTCTACATACGACAATATAATCAAACTGTTGCGCAAGAAGAATACTTTTTGAGTATTAGACAGTTTGAGAAGAATTTTATTTTTTTTATTCGAAAAGTGAGTTACAGAATCGCAAGGCAGTTTTTAATAGCCGTTCCAATCGGAAATAACATAATTATTGCAGGGAGACAGCGGTGGACCCCTGCAAGTGAATCACCCAACCGTCCGCTGTATGTACTGGGTCATTGGGATCACCTCCTGGGGCAAATGGTGCGGTATAGCTGGCGAACCGGGCATTTACACCCGGGTGGAACATTACGTGCCCTGGATCGAGGAAATTGTTTGGCCTTAGACATTGATTATGTATTATACTGTTAGGGAATATTTAAATTTACAAATGTACAGGTTATCGATGATTTTATATACAATTTTGAAATAAAAATAAAATAAATCAATGGCGCTACAAGCTTTTTAGTTCTGGCCCTCAGATCTGTTTCATTTGTCAATAGGCAAGTGATCATGCATGACACACACCACACTTTTTGTGTCTTAGTCAAGTCGGTTTCCTCACGATGTGTTCCTTCACCGAAATGCGAAAGAAAGTGCATTGGTGCACAGCCAGGTTCTACGACCTCAGGGATGAGAGTTGCACGCTGAAGCCATCTATGGCTCTGACTTATTGCGATCGCGCTAGACAAAAATCGGTATCAAAGCCGGAGCTGGAAGATATAAAGGTGCCTGTATGAATTTGATATCCATTTAAAGATTTCTCGTGTGGCAACCTTAACGGCCCTTCTGATACAAATTCGTCATAATACATAATCTCTTATTGAATCTGTGAATCATAGAGACTGGGCATGTGGGCATGTGGGTTTTTCATTGAAAGCGCCATCTCTTGATCAGTTATGAAAGTATTTATTCATACATGAAGAATAAATGAAATAGACGCAGAAATCTTCATATTACAATTTTATATATCATGAATATATTTTGGTTATAGTATATTGTATTTTATAGGTTAAATAAATACTAACTACATAGGATCTGCGTTCACAATTTTTCAATAAAATAGCGCCATCTCTTGACCAGTTATAAAATAAATCCCATACTTGAATAAAAATAGACGCAGAAAACTTAGTATACAATTTTATATATTACTGAAATAGTAGATTTTTTTTAAATATACGTTTTACTCATTCCAATAGGATCTGCTTTGCTAAATCTTTTCATTGAATTGCCATCTGTTGATCAGTTATGGAACTATTTTCCATTTGTTTTATGCCACAAATATACTATTGTACTAATTATTAATTATAAGAATTTCCCAAGTGACAATCATTTCATGAAAACTTATTAAACAAATATATTTAGACCAAAATAATTCTTTATGAAAATTATAAATAAACCTAATTTCAATTTCTATACCTAAACGGTTGTATCGCAATTACGAACATCCGTAAGTTATAGGAACTGACAGCCTAAATTTGTTGCTATGTGTCTATGTTTGCATTCGAAATATATTTTATGAAATAAACATTTAATGAAGCGACTTGTTTTTTATTTAACTATAATTTTATTATTTTAATCAAACATTTTTCAATAAAGCAACTACTGGTATGAATTAAAAGGTTTTTTTCAGAATTTTTTGACTTATAAGCATCAGAAATATGTTTCAAAAACAGTATTTCTTACATTATTTATTGGAACCCACGAACAAGCGTGAATCACGTGAATGTCGAGGCTATTCGACTTGAAACCACGTGCCTAGTGAGAAGATTGAATCAGTGTAAGCGTAAGATAAGTGAAAAAATAGAACAAGATAGAGTGTCTTTCTCTTAATAGAGACTGTAAGTAGTGTTATTGGACACTTTATATTGGCTAGATCAGTGTTTCCCAACGTGGGGCAACGTTGTAATTTGAATTCAGTAATTTCTTCCACAAACTTTCTTAAGGGAACAATGCAATTTTTGAAGTGAAAACTCCTTTAGCGGCGTTGTACACTTTTTGGAATGGGTAAAAAATTTTAAACTCGCGTCAGGACAAATTCGTAAGACGGATGTTTTTTTAAAGGATTATGAACCTTCGTGCTTTTACTCAATTGTCTCTTTCCTCAGATACATTCATGCATGTGGAATTGGACCTTAAGTCAATACATCAAGGTTTAATTTTGCGAAACGTCTAAAGCTTTATTATTAACGATTTGTTCAGACTGATGACGGATGGAGAGTAGACAGCTGGCGCAGCGTATTTAATGTAATATAAATTATCATGTTTGGGTTCGTTAGAGCAATAAATAAATATTGTATTCTACCACATAAATGATAGTACTTTTATACTGATAATTAAAGCAATTCGTGCAAAATTATTCCCTAACCATTCCAAAATCAAAAATGCACAACGTTAATATTCAAGTTTTCACTTCTGCCGGCACTACCGGAGTGCAACCAGTCGTTTTTTTTTATATGTTTTTTGTTTCGAGATTGCAATAATTCAGCGCTGGCTGGCTTCAGCGTGTTATCCCTGAGGTAGCCCCGGCTGTGCACCAATGGACTTTCCTTCGCATTTCGGTGAAGGAAAACATCGTGAGGAAACCGACTTGCCTTATACACAAAAAGTGTGGCGTGTGTCAGGCAGAGGAGGCTGATCACTTGCCTATTGACAAATGAAACAGATCAGAGGGCCAGCCTTGCGATTCTGTAACTCACTTTTCGAACTCGCACAGCGGTTTTCGCAGCGGCGGTCGCGCTCAAATCAATCGTGAAGCAGTAATTTTATGATTTGGCATTCTGATAAGGGGCTTTTAGTTTATTGTGTATTGCAAGGTTGAACTAAAAATATTGTAGTGCTATTGATTTATTTTATTTTTGAAATTGTATACATATCGTCGATAAGCTGTTCCTGTTTTTGCAAATTTAAAAAGACCCTAACAATACATAATGAAAGTCTAAATAGGCCAAACAACTTCCTCGATCCAGGGCAGGTAATATTGCAACCGAGTGTAAATACTAGGTTCTCCAGCTATACCGCACCATTTGCCCCAGGAGGTGATCCCAAAGACCCAGTGCATACAGCAGACGATCGGGTGGCTCACTTGCAAGGGTCCACCACTGTCTCCCTGAAATAATTATGTGATTTGAAATTAAAAATGTATTCTTCTGAACGTCAATAAATTTAGAAATCTCTTAAATGTTGCATGAATAAGAACTGATCCGTCACTCTTGCCTACCACCAATAACAATTATTTACTATGTACTGCCCTGCGATTCTGTAACTCACTTTTCGAACACACACAGCGGTTTTCGGATCGCCGGTCGCTCTCAAATCAGTCGTGAAGCAGCCATTTTATGATTTGGCATTCTGAAAAGGTGGAAGCTTGTAGTTTATTGTTTATTACAATGCCAAATCATAAATTACTGCTTCACGACTGATTTCAGAGCGACCGCCGATGCGAAAACCGCTGAGTGAGTTCGAAAAGTGAGTTTCAGAATCGCAGGGCTGATCTATTTTGTAATCCTACAGCTATAACTAAAAATATAGCTAAAGATGGATTACATATACAAAAAGGTTCAAGCAGAAAAGAAAAAATCGATAGAAAGAAAGAAAAAACTTAATTATGCACAATATACAAGATATTTAAATAAAGTAAAGTGCATGGGCCCCCACACTAGGATTCCCTGTGTTGTGGGCAGCCAGTCTCTTCCTTTTGACATGAAAACAGTATTTTATAAATTATATTAATTATTTCTACACATTTATATTAAAACTATTTTTGTACAATAAGAATATTTTCAGTATCAGTATCAGACAGGTTAACAAGATATCGTTTGAGATGTTTAGTAAATGTATGTAATGTGATTTTTGAAATGTTAGTGATAATTTTGTTTTTAATGCAGTGGTTAAAGATGAAAGGGCCACGGAAGGAGAAAAAGCGTTGGGCGAAAAAAGTGCGAGTTTTGGGTTGCTTATATATGGGTTTGCGTTTTGTTTGATGCGGTGCGGTGGGTGTTTGTTTCCAAAAAAGATAGATAGAATCCGTGGTACATGGTGCATGTTTAAAACAGAAGAAAAAGAAATAGAGTAAGGTATGTTGAAGAGAGAGATTGCAAGAAGAAATGGTCTTTTATGCAACAGAATGATGACGTTACGGAAAGTGTAGTAGAGGACCACCGAAACGATGGAATACTTGCGACAAACATGATATTAAAGTGAATGGAGTGAGAGATTAGATAAGAGTGACTAAGTGGCCTTCACCAGCTTGTCTTAGATATCTGAATGAAAATGGAGCTATTTTTTTTTTATGGCTCTGGCACGGTTTCTGCATTAGCCAGCGTCAAGTATGAGATTTTTATAATTCGTGCTTTTTGCCTTAGAAATTCGACCATGTCCTCCATGTACGGTTTAGGCACTCGCCCGGTACCGCACAACCCTCCCAAAGGCCGAGAACAAATTTAAATTAAATTAAAACTTGCCCTCGAACCGGGAATCGAACCCGGTACCCCTCACCTAGCTGCCACTTAATAAGACCGCTAGGCTATGAGGCCCCCAAATGGAGCTATTAAGGAGCTTCCAAGTGAGCGAGGAGAGAAATGGATATTCTTGACTAACAGTTGTAGGGTGGAGTGATGGTAAATGTTGTGATGAAAAATTGGTCTACCAAATGAAGCCAATTATGGGTTAATATCCCTAATGCCACACAAGCTGAGGATGGAGTGGCGTGGAGGCAGCAAGTTTAGGGCTTTTTAAGACAAACACGATCAGTAATGAAAACTACTAAGAAGATCTGATGGATAAACCAGAATCTTAGACTATGCAAGATATTATTGAAACGACTATTAAAAACTGAAAGTGAATTTGGTAAGAATCGGTCCAGCCTTGCGATTCTGTAACTCACTTTTCGAACTCGCACAGCGGTTTTCGCAGCGGCGGTCACGCTTAAAGCAGTCGTGAAGCAGTCATTTTACATTTTGGCATTCTGATAAACAAGAAACTACAAGCTCCCTCCTTATCATAATAGAAAAAGAGAGCATTAGACAGTTTGAGAAGGTGTAAAAGTGAAACATTTGTGTTTAAACGAAGCAAGGGCATAACATATTATGTGATACTGTTTGTCATGAAAGCGAACGCAGAATGAGGATGGTTATTAAACCACTACACAAAACAATCTAGTATTTACTTTATTATCAGAATACAAATTCCGGATCTTTCAGTTGGTTCGTCTGTGCAACTTTCTGTTACTGTGTTACACTGTGCAACATGGAGGGCTGAAAAGTTCGAAGACTAACATAGATTTTTTTTTTGATAGAATTTGATTTGATTATTCACTAAGGCTTCGAGAGCGATATAATGATTGTCTATGGCCTCAAGATACGCTTCAGTTTCGACCATTACCTCTTCATCAGCGCAAAATGTTAGATACTTTCCAAGTGGCTTGATCCCTTGGCGTTGCGTAGAGATGTGGGATCTCTCTGTATCTTACCGCTTTTACCATGGAGAGGGTTCAGAGGAGTTGTTCGGACTAATACCTGCAGCTGAGTTTCATCATCGGACGTCAAGGCAGAATAGAAAATACCGTGCGTATCACCTCGACGTCCGTCGTTCCACAACTGAGCGTTTCTTAAGGCAGCACCACCTTTATGTAGAACCAGAGCGTACCAATTCTTAAAAGGCGGCCAGCGCGCTTGCGAGCCTTATGGCAGTGTAAGTGTTCATGGGCGGCGGTATCACTTAACATCAGATAAGCCTCCTGCCATTTTGCCTCCTGTAACAAAAGAAAAAGCCGTACCTCGCAAGTATCCTGGTTGGAACCTCGACTTCCATAACACAATTGGGTTGTTGAGTTAAATCCTTTTGGCATTAGGCGGGTCTTCCTATATAACTCTTGACATTCGCCATTTTGAAATCTCTCGACTGTTGCCTGAAAATATAATCACTGTTCAGATTGCATTTGAACATCGACCAACTGCGGACACGGCTCACATGGCTGTTCTATACACCAACAGCTCACAAGAATTGAATTACGCGTTATTGTTAATATTATTTTCGACTTTTTGGTACTTTACACCACGTAATGGTAATTTTTAGGTATAAAGAGTCACGGTGCATGAATTCAGTGTCAATAATCTCCAAAAATTGCGTGTCGTAATACTTGAAACTTCAACCGTCACCTGCCCAAGTAGCGGTCGGTGTGGTTGTGGAAAAAACTCGTAAAAACAATTAATAAATAAGCAGTACGCCAGCTTCTGCTAAATTTTTCACATCATACTGAGCTGGAAAAAAATATTCAGCTGCATCCTGCACAGGGGATTATACGTCAGCCGCTATGAACTCGTATAAAAAAGATGTGGTGTCGTGGGACACCAGGTAGGAACGAAGTTCCTTCGGCTAATGTAGAATTGACACAATTTGCAAAAAAAAAATCGTGCTCGTGAAATTTTCTTGATTTTTCTCTTAAATTTTGCTGATTAGTTTTTATTTAAGTACAGGAAAGTATTTAGGAAATAATAAATTACGGAAAATAAAAAAAAATCGTAATTCAATTTATCAACTAAAATAACGAGAAAAGTCTCTTTATTTTTGTTTGACAACATAAAATTACTTAGAAATAAAAATAATAACAAAAAAAGTTTATTATTATTATACGAAAAGAAAGAGGGAGAAACAGAAAGATATACACTACTCGACTGTCGCGCCTGCGCACGTCTCATTTAATGGTTTTATTCAACGGAAAGTCCGTTGAACCGTTTCTTACGGTTTTAATATCACATTTTTTTCAGTTCGGTTGCGCAGCAAAATCCCTATCTCCTCCAAGCCTGCCGTAAGGAACTTCGTTCCAAAAAGAATTTGGAATATATATAAAATGAACAATTTAAAAGTAGGTACGTAAATTATAGTCAGTCGTGTAGTAGATCCTGCCTTGCGATTCTGTAACTCACTTTTCGAACTCACACAGCGGTTTTCGCAGCGAGTTTGAGTTCGAAAAGTGAGTTACAGAGTCGCTGACCCGACTCCATATAATGCGCAGAGGCGAAAAGGATTTGGAGAAATTGATCGTGGTTGGTAACACAGAAGGCACAAAATCACGTGGGTACCAACCAGATGAACCGATCAAGTGAGACTCATAGTGACGACTCATTGGTCTAGTGATTAGTACCCCTGACTGCGAATCCATGGGTCCCGGGTTCGATCCCCGGCTGAGACGAACATCGATGTGATGAGCATTTGGTGTTGTGCTTAGGTCTTGGGTGTTTAAATATGTATTTATATGTCTATCTATAATATGAATGTATATCCATTGCCTAGTAACCATAACACAAGCTTCACCAGCTTAGCATGGGACTAGGTCAATTAGTGTGAATTATCTTTAAAAAAAAAGTTCTCAAAACTGTACAATATCATAAGATAGGCGCTGGACAGAAACAGGTAAAAACAGATAGTCTACTCTAGATGCTTTCTTGCTCACCATGAAGCTAAGACATGATCTGCCGATTGAAGAAAGAGAGGTATGAGTAGCGGTGGAAAGATCGTCAGTTGACGCATACTAACATGGGAGCATTACAGCGCCATTCCCTTTTAAAAACGTATTTCTAGATAGATCCCCTTCCCGCCCGTAAATTCAAAGCCTTATTAGACTTTATAATCAATATACCTTTTGGAGTACATCCGGTAATTCCTGATGTCTAAAAACCGTCGTTCCCCAACCGGTAACGATCGCATCTGTTTGTGATTCGTCGCCATCATGAAGGCACGCTGGCATGACGAACTTGTTAAATTGCATACTGAAAAAAATAAATCGATGGTACAACATTTTAAGGTCTGCCGTGCGATTCTCCGAATTAATCCGTGAGTTCACCTCGCACTAACAATGCTCCCTTCCATTTTTGAATCTCATGCAGCAATTTTACATTACGTCTTGACAAGCGGAGGGAGCTTGTAGTTTATTGTTTATCAGAATGCCAAATCGTAAAATGACTGCTTCACGACTGAATTGAGCGCGACCGCCGCAGCGAAAACCGCTGTGTGAGTTCGAAAAGTGAGTTACAGAATCGCAAGGCTGAGCCTCAGTTATCTGTTTCATAATATGTCAATCTAATAGGTAAGTAGGTGATCAGCCCCGTCGTGTTGGTTGAGGCAAGTTTTCTGACGATTTTTTCCTTCACCGTTCGAGCGAATTTTAAATGCGCGAAAGAAATTCCATTGCTGGATGAGTCGCATGCTCAAGCCACTAGGCCAACACTGGTCGAATCTCTGTCTATCTATTTCAATACTTAAAGTAATTAAAGGCTCTCTCAGCGATGGTAATTCCAGCTTCAATGTTGAGTCGCCAAGGCGAAATCAGCGCAGACGTTGCGCGCACCATCACTATTTCCGAACCAATTCCACTTAGGCTCCTTCAAGAAAAGGCCGGCAACGCACTTGCAAGCCTTCTGGCAACGTGAGTGTCCATGGGCGGTATCACTTAACATCAGGTGAGCCTCCTGCCTGTTTGGGGGCAAAAACAAAACGTGAAGTCAATTAGGAAATACTATACTTACATTCTGTCAGTCCGTAGTAATGCTATATCATGATATCGCATCGGTGAGTGGTATTGTGGGTACTTGATCGGATACACATTGTATTCTTTAGACGCATCCACGGGATCACTTCGTCTTAATATACCAACTCGGATTTTCTTAACAGGACCACTGAAAACATCGCACCTTCAAATATTTCTTATAGAATTCACTTACCCAGAGAGGCAAGACACTTTTGCGAACTAGCGAACTGTGGAGTCAACTCCCGGTGGTGGTTTTCACTGATAGGTACGAACTCCAATTGTTTAGAGTAAGAGTATATTCTCCATCTAAGCACCAACTAAAAAAGGGCTAATCCATGGGCTGCGAAGTCTGCCCTTTTTGGACGTCCCGTAATCAAACTCAAACTCAAAATAACTTTATTCATATAGTACGCTTATGACCGTCAATAGAAAAGATGTTAAATTTATTTTAAATTTACATATATTAACAGTTTCCAAGTCAAGTGCGAAGAACTGGCAAGAACTCTCCGCCACTTTTTTTAATTGCCAAGTTTTGAGTCATACAAATTGTTTGAACTGGGCGTCCTCTATTTTCGCGGATTGTTTTTCTTTTTTTCAATCCGCGAAAATAGAGGACACCGTAAGCCATTTCTGCCAAAACCCTCCATCTTTTAGTCGATACCAACTCCGGGGAAATAAATACAGATAATGCAACTTTTTCTACAGCTGTGATACTTTTTGACATTCAACACCTTTTGTCTTCAGTCACCGTGACCACGCACGCTGTAAAGCATGCGAAACGTCGGTTAAATTTAAAATTATGTTAAATAATTGTAAATTTATAATAATACATAACTTTAATCCGGTAAAAAATTTTTTCTTTAAATGTGTAAAGGTTATGTTAATCAACGACAATACTAAACGCCATTTATTGCCGAGCAGCTGTAATCCGCTGGAATTGTACAAGATCCGATTCGTTAATAAAACAGCAAAAAGCTCTACTCACTGATATGGGCTATACGTGCAGTGCCCTGCTGTGACCACAAACTCTTCGCTGATTATGAAACCTCCACAAATCCATTCTAATTTATCTTTACCATATCCCAGGAGAGCCTGAAAATTAAAAAAAAATACACCACGTTCTCATTAGACACTATGTATGTTGTCAATTGTCATGTCAGGGACTGACATATCGCTCCGTCTATTAGAAAACATTTTTTCAGCAATAGACGCCATTTGAAACAGACGATTTTTTTTAAAGTATAAAGTTCACAAAAAAGAGTACGACTTTACATGAATTCCAATCTAGTCTATACAATAATTATGGCTAATAATTAATATTATGTTGACTTAATTTTCTACAATACTAGTGAATAGCTAGAAGGTAATATTCATTAACAGTCTTAGTGTTCTATTTGTCCAAACGTAATAATATGTACATAAATATTGTATTTAGTTCTGATATTCACCAACGGATGGCGCTGTGCGATTTCTGCATTATGCTGAATCGCGCTATCGTTATATGTGGTTTTTAGTATAAGGTTTAAGATATTTTTTGAATAAATTGTCTTCGTCCTGGAATCGTGGAGTTTTGTTCATGGTCATTCGTAGCCGGATACAGCAGTGATTGGAAACCCTAGTGTTAGTGTAAAGTGTTAGTGTATAAAAAGTGTAAAATAAGTGATTGTGGTGTGTGTAAGTGTAAAGGTGACTAAAACTGTAAGTACTTTAAAACTTTGCCTAACAAATTCGAACTCTAATAAGTCTGGTAAAATAACTTAGAAAAATTAAGGCAAAAGTGGTTAAGACGGGGAATCCATGTCCAATTTTGCCTAAGTCGAAGTTATTACACCAAACACATAGAAAAATTAACATAAGGCATGGACTTGTAAAATAATTAAGGCAAAGGTGGTTGAGACGGGGAATCCATGCCCGATTTTGCCTAAGTCGAAATTATTACACCAAACACTTAGAAAAATTTGCGATTTGGAACTTGGAAATTTTACAAGTGTAACTTAGAAACACTTAGCGATCAAAATGGAATCACTTATTAGAGTACAAAAAGATATCAACAAAACATTAAAAAGGGCTTATACAAATTTTAAGAAAACACCAAAAGATAGAATTACAGGAAGTTATTTGGAAACCAGATTGGAACAATTAGAAAAACAATGGTCAACATTTGAAGAGACACACATTAAATTAATATGTAACTATGGTGAGGAAGATTATGATGAATCGGAGTACAAGTTGAAAGATGTATATGGAGAGACGGAAGATTTATATAGTGAATACAAAATTGATATAAAGGAAAAATTTAAAAATAGCCCTATAGTTACGAGTGATGTAGTAAGCAACATTAACAGTGAAGTAAAATTACCTAGAATAACAATACCTACTTTTTCTGGCCACTATTCACAATGGACCACGTTTCGTGACCTGTTTAAGTCATTGATACACAGCAACAAATCGTTGCAAGCAGTGCAAAAGTTGCATTACCTAAAAAGTTACCTGACTGGTGAAGCCGAGCAGTTACTACGACATCTGCCGGTTACAAGTGAAAATTATGAACTATGTTGGAGTATGTTAGAACAACGTTTTAATAATAAGAAATTTATTACTAATAGTATTTTAAAAAAGATTTTTTTCTCAAAAGAATATTGTTTCCGAATCTTCTAATGCTGTTAAGGAATTACTAGACACCACAAATGAATGTTTAAATGCATTGAAAAATATAGGAATAGTAACTGACAATTGGGATGTTATTGTTTTATATATTTTAAGTTCAAAATTAGATACTAAGTCTAGAGAGTTATGGGAAACTAAAATTTGTAATTTAACAGATGAATTGCCAACATTAAATCAGTTTTTTGAATTTTTAGAGCAAAGGTTTAGGTCACTTGAATTTTTAATAAACAAACCAGTCAAATGCACTCAATCTCATCATGTAACTTTTAAGGAAAAATCAAATTGTGTCTTTTGTTCAGATAGTACGCATAAAATAGGAAATTGTAAGAAATTTGCTAAGGGTAACCTTAAAACACGTCGTGAGTTTGTTCAAAGTTCCGCCTTATGCTTCAACTGTTTGGGTGCTAATCATTCGGTTGAGGCGTGTCGTTTGCCCACCAGGTGTAAGATTTGCAAACGAAAACACCATTCACTTTTGCATTACAACGCTAGTGTATCAACAGATAGTGTATCAGCTAACAACCAATCACCAGAAGATATCAATGTTGTTGCAACGGCAACAACATCGAGACCAGACGAGACCAACATTGAAAATATTACCACTTGTTTTACTAATACCAGAAAACAAGTTCTATTGGCAACAGCCCTCGTAAGGGCCAACAATAATTCTGGATCAAGTATGACACTGCGAGCCTTATTAGATCAAGGCTCACAAGCTTCATTTATTACGGAGTCTGCAGTCCAGTTGCTGGGGCTAAAGAAAATCAAAAGCAACAGTGTTATATCTGGAGTTGGAGGTGACGGCAATGCCCCACTTGATTCCAAGTATGTAGTTCAGATTAATCTGCAATCAATTCAAGATGAATCATTTACTATTTGTGTAACAGCTCATGTTCTTAAAAAACTAACTTCATTCCTCCCTGTAAAGGAATTCGTTGTCCATCTGTGGCCAAATCTACCAAGGATGAAGTTAGCAGATCCAAATTTCAACAAACCAAGTCATATTGATATGTTGCTTGGTGCTGATGTCTATTGTCAAATCATAGCTGAGGGTCTAATGAGAGGACCACCAGGAACACCAATAGCTCAGAACACTAGGCTAGGTTGGATCTTATCTGGAAAAATCGAGAACGATCATCACGACCAACATGGTTTGGGTTGCGAAAACATATTAACAATGCACACTCAAATTAACAATGATGATTTTAACCTTAAACAATTTTGGGAACTTGAGTCTGATAACTTTAACCTTAAAAGAACTCACCTCACTCATGAAGAACAAAGATGTGAAGACATCTATAAAGAAACCACGAAGCGAGATCCATCGGGAAGTTATATCGTTAAACTCCCATTCAGAGATGTCGATCCGAGATGCAAATATGGTAATTCACGTGAGATAGCAATAAAACGATTCTTAATGTTAGAAAAGCGTTTATTGAAATCACCAGATTTAAAGAAATCATATACAGATGTAATATCAGAGTATTTAAAGTTGGGACATATGGAGTTAGTACCTATAGAAGAAATTGACAAAAAAGAAACGGTTTACTTACCTCATCACGCGGTCGTTAGAGCTGATAAATCGACGACTAAACTCAGAGTTGTTTTCGATGCATCCTGTCGAGACCAGAACGGTGTATCACTGAATAGTGATTTGATGGTCGGACCGTCGCTACAGTCTGACTTACGTCACATTGTTTTAAGATGGAGGCTACATCCTATTTGTCTGGTTGCCGACATAATCAAAATGTACCGTCAAGTGAGGGTAACAAGAGAAGATGTAGACTATCAACGTTTAGTGTGGCGCACAGACACTACAGAAGATTTACAGCATTTTCGCCTTTTACGTGTCACTTTTGGTACTGCGTCTGCTCCTTACCTTGCAGTTCGAACTTTGCAGCAGGTAGCACACGATGAAGGAGGAGAGTACCCCGTCGCATCTGAAAAAAATCTTAAAGGATTTTTACATGGATGATTTGCTTACTGGATGTGAATCAGTTTCAGAAGGAAAGCAATTATTTAACGATATTACCAACCTACTAAAGACAGGCGGCTTCGAACTCCAAAAGTGGTCAAGCAATGATGAAAATCTGCTAAAGGAAATAAATAAAGAAGATTTTGACTTAGATATTAATGTAGAACTGAAATCAAATGAAATAGTTAAAATTTTAGGACTTACCTGGAACCGACGAAACGACGACTTCGAATACTCCGTGCAACTACCTCCGATCAGCATACCTGTAACAAAAAGAAAGGTTATATCGGATATTGCAAGGCTATACGATCCAATGGGATGGATAGCTCCAGCAATTGTGAAAGCAAAAATATTAATACAAAAATTGTGGCTTTCAGGCATCGGATGGGATCAAGAATTACCAAATAATTTACTTGATTATTGGATTACTTACCGTGAGGAACTCCTGGAACTTACCAAATTTCGACTCCCACGCTGGATAAGTACTAAAGCAGATGTCACACTGGAGCTCCATGGGTTTAGCGATGCTTCAAATGAAGCTTATGCTGCTGTAATTTATGCTCGGGTAGTTGATGGCTCTGGAAATGTTCATGTCCATCTGATAACGTCTAAAACAAAGGTAGCACCAATCAAACAAGTTTGTATTCCAAGGCTCGAACTGTGTGGAGCTGTTTTACTGGCCAAGTTGTTACAAGAAGTTGCAGAAGTTCTGCACGTACCAAAGGATAAACTTCACGCTTGGACTGATTCCACGGTTGTGCTAGCTTGGTTAAGTAGCCATCCCAGTCGATGGAAAACTTTCATTGCTAATCGTGTTTCGGAGATTTTAGACATTTTAGACGCAACTCAGTGGTCACATGTTTCATCTACCGACAATCCAGCAGATTGTGCCTCTCGGGGAGTGACACCATCAGCTTTAGTAAACATGGAAATGTGGAGAACTGGTTCCCCTGGTTACAAAATAAAGTTATCAATTACGAAAGAAAACCCATACCAGACACTAATTTAGAAGAAAAAGCAAGAAAAGTTACCATATAGTAGAAGAGATAGAATTGAAATTGTGGACCAAATATTCATCAATAACGAAACTTTTACGAGTCCTAGCTTATTGTAACAGATTTATCAAAAAGTTAAGAAAATTAACAAATGAATATCCTACTTGGTTAACTAGTCGAGAATTAAATGAAGCTTTACTTACCTGTATTAAACAATGTCAATGGAAATATTTTTCACAAGAAATAAGCGATTTAAAGTTGAAGGGAACAGTAAATAAGAAGAGTAAACTTACCACATTGAATCCGTTTCTTGACAAAGATGATATTTTGAGAGTTGGTGGCCGGCTTGACAGAGCTAACATTGGTGACAACTTAAAGCACCCGTTGATATTGCCTTCTAAATCACACCTCACCAATCTCATTATCACGGAGGCCCATGAAAGAACACTGCACGGTGGACCTCAATTAACACTGAACTATCTACGTTCCAAATACTGGGTTATTGACGCCAAAAATCGTACAAAGATGTTTGTTCGTAACTGTGTAACATGCGCACGTCATGCTGCACAAACTAGGACTCAGCTGATGGGCCACTTACCTCCGGTACGAGTTACACCAATTCGTGCATTTTACCAAAGTGGTGTAGACTACGCTGGTCCTATCCAGATTCGAACAACTAAGGGAAGAGGACACCGAGCTTACAAAGGCTACATTTGTTTGTTCGTTTGTATGGCTACGAAGGCGATACATCTCGAAGCCGTTAGTGATCTTACATCGCAAGGATTTCTATCTGCTTTCAAGCGTTTTGTTGCTCGACGCGGTCATTGCGCAGAACTCTTTAGCGACAATGGGACCAACTTTGTGGGAGCTGCGCGAGAACTAAGATCTTTGTTTGCTGGAGAAAGGTCAAACTTGACGATGGAAATCGTTAAGAGTTTGGCAGACAATGGAACGGAATGGCATTTTATCCCACCCCACGCTCCACACTTTGGCGGACTATGGGAGAGTGGAATAAGAGCTACAAAGCACCATCTCAGACGCGTCATAGGCAGCGCAACCCTAACCTACGAAGAGATCACTACCTTGTTGCACCAGATAGAAGCTTGTCTTAATTCGAGACCCTTGTCTCAACTTAGTAGCGATCCTCAGGATCCGACTCCTCTTACCCCTGGACATTTCTTAGTCGGCGAACCGCTTCTGTTAGTACCCGATAAGAATTATGAAAATTCTTCCATTTCAAATCTCAATCGCTGGCAAATAATTCAAAAAATGCTTCAAGTGTTCTGGCGAAGGTGGTCACACGAATATTTGACACAATTCTTGCACCGGTATAAGTGGGCTAACGTTACGCCAGAACCAAAAATTGGTGATGTAGCATTAATCAAGGAGGACGATATGCCTCCAGCAAGATGGTTGTTGGGAGTAATCATTGAGAAGCATACGGGTTTGGATGGACTCACGAGAGTTGTTAGTTTGAAGGTCAGAGGTGTCATAATAAAACGCCCAATTACCAAAATATGTATTTTACCTGTAGCGGTCTGAAATAATTTGGAGTTTATTTTACCTTTGTCACATGTAGTACGAACTTTTGTTTTTGTTATTTTTAATTTGAACCTTTTTTCGTTGATAACTTCATTATCAATACCGAGAGTTGTCTTTGAATTTTAAATTTGTGATTAATATGTATAGTAACGCAATACAAACGTGTAATCTAGTGTTAGTACGACAACATCTCCTATCATATTTGAATTGATATTCATTTTTAAAAAATCACTGTATCTTAAAAGATTCATCTATCTTATTGTTAAGTTGATATATTTTTGTTAGAATTTGATCACAACCACTGCACTAAGCTAATGTATTATTATTTTTTGTATGTTTTGTTTAGTTTTAGTTTAATCCTGATCACTATGACTTAACCTCACATTCTATGCACCATTCGCTTAATACAGTCCACTTGTTTAACAAGTTATTTCATAGTGTGTAGGAAGATGAACATACTGTCCATGGTGGGCGGCATGTCCAAACGTAATAATATGTACATAAATATTGTATTTAGTTCTGATATTCACCAACGGATGGCGCTGTGCGATTTCTGCATTATGCTGAATCGCGCTATCGTTATATGTGGTTTTTAGTATAAGGTTTAAGATATTTTTTGAATAAATTGTCTTCGTCCTGGAATCGTGGAGTTTTGTTCACTATTTGTTTAGACACTATGTTCGTGTGTCCGAGATACCGCACTTGCACTTATATTCTCTACACTAGGTTTTTTAACTCAAAAGGTTTAGTTCTCTGTAGGCGTTTTGAATTAAGATATGATATTAAAATCTTTGGACCTGTAGCAAAATCTACTTTTACAAATCACCGCGATGAGCCTCTAGTCAGATTAGGTTAAAAAACCGCCTTCACCGGGAAAGGCGAGGTCCCTTCGTACTACCCTCACTCTGGTGAGCTTTCGTCCTGCCCTTCAGGCGATTGAACACCCCGCGACGGCCCAAGCTGAGGTCAGAGTCTCGCAGGAGACGCTCTAGCGCTAGTCGCGAGAAAAGCCCATTCCGGCCGAGCTACGCTTGCCAAAACAGCCGTTTCCGGCCGAGCTACGCTTGCCAAAACAGCCCATTCCGTCCGAGCTACGCTTGCCAAAACAGCCCATTCCGGCTGAGCTACGCTTGCCAATACAGCCCATTCCGGCCGAGCTACGCTTGCCAAAACAGCCCATTCCGTCCGAGCTACGCTTGCCAAAACAGCCCATTCCGGCTGAGCTACGCTTGCCAATACAGCCCATTCCGGCCGAGCTACGCTTGCCAAAACAGCCCATTCCGGCCGAGCTACGCTTGCCAAAATCGCCCGAGCTGGTATGATTTTTGACACTGATTTTTTAAGTAGATACTGATATCCCAGGCTTGGAATAGTAACTCACCATATGTGGAAACTCTCCCTCCTGAGCGTCTTGTCCTCCAACGATTGGCATAATGTTACCAGGGGCAGCGCTACACGTGGACACATATTTCTCTTGGTATTCAAGGCATTCTGAAATATTGAGGTTAAATTTAACTAGTTGACACTGAACTGATTGATCATATAGTAAGTATATGAATGTGTGTTAGTGATAAAAATAAATCAGCGGTACAACCTTTTTAGGTCTTGGCCTCAGATTTCATTTCTCATGTTTTATCAATCTAATAGGCAAGTAGATCAGCCTTGGTCTCTCACACGACGTCATGTTAATCTATGGCTAGCCAGTTTCCTCACGATGTTTTCCTTCACCGTTCGAATGTTAGCGCATAGTGAGTTAATTTTTGCACAGCCGGGGTTCTACAACCTCTACAATCTACAATCAGTCGTGAAGCAGTCATTTTATGATTTGGCATTCTGATAAACAATGAACTACAAACTCCCACCTTTTCAGAATGCCAAATCATAAAATGACTGCTTCACGACTGATTTGAGAGCGACCGCCGATGCGAAAACCGCTGTGTGAGTTCGAAGAGTGAGTTACAGAATCGCAGGGCTGGTGTTCGGCTTATTGTCATATGTTTAGACTAAAGATACTGTCAAAGATAAAATACATAAGAGGATCAAACATTTACGAAAGGATTTATAAAACTTATTCAATTTAACTAAGTAATATCTAATTCGGCTGTGTATGGTGTGCTCATGATGCAGGTGATTCAGCGCTGTGAATATTCTTAACACTCCTTTAAAGGTTCCGCCATAGCTTACACAAGTTGAACGCTAGAAACTTACTAGTATACGCTTTCCTTCCTATTCTCTCTGGTTTGTTACATTCCAACGAAAACTCTTTCGCTTTGGGTCCCTCCGTTGTGGTTGTATTTCTGTATAAAAAAACACGAGGTCAATAAGGTTAGACATATGTAGTATTGAGTGTATTGAATATAATATTAACGTACGATATAAGAATTTCTCAAATCATAACTTTTTGTTTACTTCGGCCCCACTGTGAAAAAAAATACTCTACTGAAAACTGACCCTGTATTACAAGATTAATAGGGATTCTGAAAAGAATATACACATGTCCCTGAGTCGCTCTAATATCTTTCTCGTATAAAACAAAATCGCTTTCTCTTATATCCCTATGTATGCTTAAATCTATAAAACTTCGCAACGGATTTTGATGCAGTTTTTGTTAATAGATAGAGCGATTAAAGAGGAAGGTTTATATTTATAATAACATCCATTAAATAGTGGAGAAATATTGTTATTTTTGAGGTTTCTAATGTAATGTCGTAAATAATTACATTTTTTTCGCTTACATTGCAAACGCAGGCTGAACCCTACGAGATTTATCAAAATAATGTACTAAGTATTGTACACATTGAAAAGGTCTACAGAAAACTCCGCGATGGTATATGTCTATCTATTATGGATATCCCACAATAAAAAAAATTTTTTCATTATATTTTTACGACAAAAAAAATTATTTCAACCAATACAGCATTAATCCTTATCCAATTAAATACCTTAAATACATTGTTGATTTAATATAGATCTATATAGCCCTTTACAGCATATGATATAAATAAATATTTTCGAAGATATTACAGATTTAATAATTGCGGGAGCGTGCCTTTTAATAGCGCGCCGGAGGCCGCGGTTCTCCCTATAGCACTTTGAATTCAGTATCAGCATTGCACCCTTGCGAAGCTGGGGCGGGTTGCTAGTTTATAATAAATCTTTGTCATTGGGTACCTTTCCCCATGTATGGAAAACAGCACATGTAATACCAGTACATAATTCGGGAGACAAATCTAACGGATGTGACTATAGGCCAATTTGTATTCTAAACACTTTTGCTAAAGTATTTATATAAATAATAAAATTTGGAGTTTTAATGAACCCATACTTATTCCATAACTAGGTTTGGGGGTTAAGTTTCTATTAGTTTTAATTATTATTTATTTTATTTTGTGGTTGCTTGTTCAATTTTTGTTGTATGTTCCAATATAATTGACGTGTATGTGGTCCAACTCTTGAAATGGTACGAATTCTTTGGTTTCTAGAGTTCCCCATTAACCAGGTCCCACTGTATTTCTACAAATGTTTGAATAGAAAACAAAAACGAATTGGAATATGGCCAAAATTATTTGGGTATAAGGGGCCATCCATAAAGTACGTCACACGAATTTTAGGACTTTTGAACCCCAGGTTGTCACATTTTTATAACCCCCCTCCTGATGTGACGTCACACATTTTTTAAATTTATGTATTTATTTAAAAATAATCGAGAGAAAACAGCAATTTTCATTTAATTAATTAAATATAGATCAAGTTCGTAAATTTTTAAAATTTTTAATTCACATCCAAACTTTGCGTTTTAGTATTTAAAATTTTAACATGTGACGTCACAAAAGTATTGACCCCCCCCATGCCCCTTGTCACACGATGTCACACTTCGGTGATACCCTCCCTCCCCATTAACGTGTGACGCACTTTATGGATGGCCCCTAATGACGTGATGAGGAGTATGAGATGAAGGTTTCTTACAAATATTTTGTGTAAACCTTGGCGATTTAAAAGAGTGAGAGTATTGCCAGTTGTCTTTGACAGCAATTTTGGCAAGATCCGTCAAATCTTTGACCAAAGATTAACATCCATCGCTTAGACTCACCTTCCTTTAATTTTAGGAGTGGTAACCACAAGTGATTCCCCACAGCATATGACTGAATAAATATCACTGATTCCGCATTTCTGAAAAATTATAAATTACTAGCTGATCCGGCAAATATCGTTTTGCCATGTATATAATTTATAATAAAAAATAGGGGTTGATCGTAGAGGGGTGAGAATTAGGGGTTGTGAGTATTTTTAATGCTGTATCATAAAAAATAAAATTTATCTAAATATTTTAAAAAATAATTTAGGGGTGGACAACCCTTAACATTTAGGGGGATGAAAAATAGATGTTGTCCGATTCTGAAACATACCCAATATGCACACAAAACTTCATGAGAATCGGTCAAGCCGTTAAGGAGGAGTTTAACTACAAACACCGCGACACGAGAATTTTATATATTAGACTAGCTGACCGGGCAAACGTCGTTTTGCCATATATATCCTTTATAATAAAAAAATAGGGGTTGATCATAGAGGGGTGAAAGTTAGGGGTTTGTATGTATTTTTTAATGTTGTATCATAAAAAAATAAAAACAGAAAAAAATATTTAAAAATAAAAATAAATATTTAGGGGTGGACTACCCTTAACATTTAGGGGGATGAAAAATAGATGTTGTCCGATTCTCAGACATACCCAATATGCATACAAAATTTCATGAGAATCGGTCAAGCCGTTTAGGAGGAATTTAACTACAAACACCGCGACACGAGAATTTTATATATTAGATTAGATTCACAACTCAATAGATAGACAGAGATTCGACCAGTGTTGGCCTAGTGGCTTGAGCATGCGACTCATCCAGCAATGGAATTTCTTTCGCGCATTTAAAATTCGCTCGAACGGTGAAGGAAAAAATCGTCAGAAAACTTGCCTCAACCAACACGACGGGGCTGATCACCTACTTACCTATTAGATTGACAAATTATGAAACAGATAACTGAGGCTCAGCCTTGCGATTCTGTAACTCACTTTTCGAACTCACACAGCGGTTTTCACAGCGGCGGTCGCGCTCAAATCAGTCGTGAAGCAGTCATTTTACGATTTGGCATTCTGATAAGGAGGGAGCTTGTTGTTTATTGCAGAATCGCAAGGCTGTGTTGGCCTAGGACAAGTTGGCAGTAGCACGACTGCCCTGAGAGTTGGTTTTGAATATTTATGCGTAAAAGTAACGTGTTGGACATATCCTGGATGATATTTGGATATGCGACAGCTCCGTTCAAAGTGAGTGCGACCTAAAACACCATGTCACAAATCAATGGCTCCATGACTTGCTTCCGCATCCAACGTCTCCGGATTTGGCCATCAGCAAGCTTTTTCCTGTTCTCAGACCACAAGAGAATACTCGCTGCGAAATTTTGCGCTGATGAAGAGGTAATCTCCGAAGCTGAAGCCTATTTTGAAGACAAGCAAATGCTGGGGCAGACGAGAGCAGGCCGAAAATAACAGGTAACTTTGATTTTGTTACCCTTGGAGTAGAGACTCTTGGGCCGTGGGGTTCATGTGGAAGCGCTTATTAAAGATTTAAGTTGGCGCCTGGTAGATAGTACCGGTGACCCCAGAGCTGGTGGTTTATTCAACGAATAAGTATCGCATATAGCGAGGAAATGCCAGCATTAAAGGTCTAACACAGAGCAGTGATGGCCTAGTGGCTTCAGCGTGCGACTCTCATCCCCGGTCGTAGGTTCGATCATCGGCTGAGCACCAATGTTAAATGGACTTTCTATGTGCGCATTTAACATTCGCTCGAACGGTGAAGGAAAACATCGTGGGGAAACCGACATGTCTTAGACCCAAAAAGTCGACGGCGTGCGTCAGGAGGCTGATCACCAACTTGCCTATTAGATTAACAAATGATCATGAAACAGATACAGAAATCTGAGGCCCAGACCTAAAAAGATTGGAGCGTCATTGATTTATTTAATTTAAAGGTCTAACACAGGGACCAATTTTAAAATTTGTTTTATTTCTTTATTATTACTATGTAGGCAATTTTAAATACTGCATATTTGCGTTTTAGAAATAAATATAATAGAAATTTAAAATGAATACTATAGAAAAACAATTCTTAAAAAATCACAAATTAAAATTTCTTTAACTTCGTTACCATTGGTTCAAGATTTTTTCTGAAGTCATCTTCTGCGTATGGGCAGTCGTTTATGGCCTTGCAAACACCAGGAGAACCATCCGTTTTGAAGCATTTGTCTCCTGTAAACAGTAAATAAAACAAATGAAGGTATGCAAGGAAAAAAAACAAGTCTCACAAGGCAGTTCTTCTACCGTCACAGTGAGATCCAAATACCAAGTCGGTTCATGCTGTCTTCTGAAGCCCACCATAAAGATGGCGCTTAGAGCGTAGTGCTGGCCTGAACTATATCAAACTAAACTTGAATTTGTATGAGTAAATATAAAGAACATTACCTTCATTTAGAGATTTGGTAAACGCCAAAAGTGAGAACACTATTGCCAGGTGAATCAGCATTTCGTTGAATCTGAAAAAGAAATATTCTTTGTCTATTCAGGAAAGCCTTTTCGTACAATAGATATTTATTTCCAACAAACAAGTATTTATAATATTCTTAACTCACATAGCAATAATAATATATATAGGATAAAATTTAATAAATATAGTTTAAAAAAACTAAAAAACACGCATTTAAAGCACATCAAACTAAAAAGTGAAAAATAATTTTCAGCCTAAATTATTAATTAGGTTCTTTGGTGCTTCTTTGATGCGCCGGGTGCGGGGCAGCTCCAGCAACATCTTACGGATGATAGTCGAAAGAATGGAGTGGGCTTTGTACCTGATAGTTTTTATTTAACTACTTTTTCCTTATTTTTACTAATTCTCTAACATAGATCTTAAGAAACTATTGTTACTAACTCACTAATCAATCAATGGACTGTATTTGTCTGATTAATAAAAATTATTATTATTATTATTATATAAAAAAATTAAAAAAAGGGTGCGTGTACGCGCGTAAGAAGTTATACTTCTTTGGCATTATTAAAATAGTTTTTGATTGCATGCAAATAATTAATTACAATTAAATAATCAAAGACTGGAAAAAGAGCCATTATAGTCAATAAAGTTCAGTTTACATTTGAAAAATTCAATAAATAAATATTTATCATTATTCTCTTGCATTAAGTGTAACATAAATTATATTATTATTCGAATATTGTTTTTAAATTATGTCCAATGCCGTAGCATCTTCCGTGGGCAACTTCATTCTGTTAATTATGTGTCACGGTGCGCGCGCATCGTAAAATTTCACTCTCATCAATTTTTCATAACGCGCCTAAAGAAGTATAATTTCAAAAAGCAGGGTTGTAAAGTTATAAGTCAACGGGCGGTTTTATCGCTAACAAGCGATTTCTTCCAGGCAACCCTAATATGGAACAATAAAAAAGAAACACCTACAGGGGGTAAAGTACAAAAATTGCATAAATAACTAAAAAAATCAAAATAACATGTAACTAGAACTTAAATAAAATAAAATCTAAAGAAAAAATAAAAATAAAATATGTATAAACAAAAATTTAAATGCCAGAAGGTTAACTGTATCACAATTAATATATATAAGAAGTAGCTAATTACGAGGCAGAAAAAAATTATTATTATTAATTTAGGTTAAGAATATTGTTAATACTATATAATAGTGTTTTTCTCTCGGCCTACACCCTCTGTCTTCTTTGCCGATGAGTAGGGATGCCTACAAATTCAAATTTAATGACGTGGAATAAGTGATACATGTATCTTAGGTTCCTTAATAAACATATTTTATTTTATTTTATTTTATTTTATTTTATTTTATTTTATTTTATTTTATTTTATTTTATTTTATTTTATTTTATTTTATTTTATTTTATTTTATTTTATTTTATTTTATTTTATTTTATTTTATTTTATTTTATTTTATTTTATTTTATTTTATTTTATTTTATTTTATTTTATTTTATTTTATTTTATTTTAGTGTGTTGGAATTTTAGAACAGTATAAATACGTTAGTTTAAAATTATTTCTTGGTCTTAAGATAGATCACAATGCTACATTATTTTGTTAACATTCCTCAGGAGTCACGCTATCTAATAGTAAAAACTATACAAAAATCCGTTCAGTAGTTTTTGACTTTACCGCATTAATACGAACAGAGGTTTTATCGTAACATTTACTGGTACAACTGGCATGGCCTTTTGTACCATAGGATGATTAGACAGAAAGAAATAAAAGATATCAAACAAAAAAATATTTCTTTAAAAATTAAATTGCTTGAGTCAGTCACAGCTAAATTCACATTATTATTGTCACTATACTCTTCCATTGTCCTTGTATTTTTTATTATTAAACTTGAAAACACCATCAAAGTTGTGCCGACGCCATATTGACAGTTTGAAGTTTCGTTTCGAGGTTGAGAGTGGATTTAAATTTAAATTAACAGTCAACAGGCTAGGCAATGAAACGTCATCGATCCAAGTCATCTGCCTAGCTGTTTGATCAACTGAACATCTTTCAGGCCGCTAGTTAAACGCTGTTTAGTTAAGAGGCAGGGCTTTTGAGTGAACGGCTAACGCCCGAACCCAATAATCAATCCACAATTTCAGATTGAAAACAATCTGAGATCAGACCGTGACAGTCGATCGATCTCCTATCTGCATCTCAATCACCAAAGCCTACGAAGACAATCCATTTTTGGCGACGGATAAAATGCTCTTTGTCGTTCCATTTTACCGAGTTTTCACTCATAATTGATAATCAATGTAAATCAAATAAAGTTAATAAAACCGTACAAATAACATTAAAATATACATGTATATGTTTAAAACATAACAAATAGTTTTTTTAATTATTTAAAAAACTGGTTTAAGTTAAAATCTGTTAAAATAATTGACTGTTGAAATCGAGCTTTCGTCAACTGTCATTTTCATACAAAGGTCTAACCACAGACACCGATACGACCTCCCATGGATAGCTTGTATCGACAGATGGCTATTACAATCCAGTGGATTATGGATTGACATAAGTTATTGGGTTCGGGTCAGTAAGCTAGTTGGCTGTGTTGTACACCAAGGGTGAAACCGTAGTCCTCAATGTGATGTTAGGTAGCCTATCTCACTCGCTATATTAATAAAGTCATTATTAAAAACTTCAGTAGTTTTAAAGTGTCAAATCAAATCGAATTATTATTAGTACATAAATAAACTTACCGAAAAAACAAATTATATTTATTATCTGGACATGTCTTGCACACGCGAGCGATACGAAGACAATAACCAATGCAAGAGAGACGCTTTTATACAAATAAGACGAGTGACTTTGCTAATATATTTTGTCAGGCGTTTTTTATTTTAACCATTTAACTGAGAGATATTTTATTCATTATCATCTCTTGTGAACGATAAGTCGAGACGTAGTACGATGTTTATGTCAAATCTAAAACGTTTTTGACATACAGGAGTGTAGGACAACGAACCCCTGACTCCCCCGGGGGAGCGTTCAAGTATTACGTAACGAATTTTTTCGGGTCCTTTTGTAAAACGTTACGATGCGGGGCGGGGATAGAATTACGCGCTATTTTTAATATTATTTTCGACTTTCCATTACTTTACACCACATAATGGTAACTTTTAGCTATAAAGAGTGGTGTATTTTTTAGGGCGGTACTTGATGAGGGCCAAAGTCGACTTGTATATATCCTTAATTGGAATAACTGTGACCCCAGGGAGCGTTCGAGTATTACGTCACACAATTTTTGGAGATTATTGACCCCCCCATGTTACGCGCCGTAACGTTTTACTGTACCCAATAGTAAAACGTTTCGTGACCACCCAGTGACTCTTTATAGCTATAAGTTACCATTATGTGGTGTAAAGTACTGGAAAGTCGAAAATAATATTATCTATAACGCGTAATTCAATCTCCGCCGCGCATCGTAACGTTTTAAAAAAGGAAAAAAAAAATTCGTTACGTAATACTTGAAAGCTCCCTTATACCTCTTTATCAATTCTTAATTATTATTACTATGTAGAATATTGTTAATACTGTACATTTGTGTGTTGGAAATATATTACTTAATATATTATGATGATTGTATTTCTACTGGACCGTAGATATAAGTTAAAGAGGATTTACTAACAAATCAAATGACCTTAATGATACAACAACAAACATTTTCAGTGTTACCTAGGTACAAAAGGTTGAAAATGTTAAGAAAATGAAAAAAGGCTTAATGTAGAAAGTTGCCAATACTTTTATTGTTTTTCGAAGTAATCTCCGTTCCTCTCTACACATCGTCGCATTCGATGGAACCACTGAGAAAAGCAGTGGACCCATTCTTCCTTAGGGGTCTCTTCTATGGCATTTTCGTACGCATTCACCGCATCTTCAGGGCTCGTAAAGAGAATCTAATATCTCCCTCTATCATGCGTCGAACAGCACTGATGGCATCTTTAGTCCACGCTTAAACTCGTTAAACCAATTGTAAATATTGGCACGAGATGGCGCTTCATTAAGGAATGCTAATCGCAGCCTATCTAGCTTTATTGCTGAGTAAGCCCACAACGAAAATAGTACTAAATCATGGACCGACAATTTTCTCGCGGTAGGTTAATTTTCACGTGTAACAAGAGTTTAGATTTGCCGCCAATTCACAAAAACAAATGATAAATTAATGCAATGCAACATTAGGTTACCAAAGAGTTCCAAAATTGAAATTCAAAAAAGTTTTCATTAGCAATGTTTCTAACTGGCCAATTCATTTTCAGTGTTACCCACATAATGCCGCTTTAGCCCTGCGATTCTGTAACTCTGATAAACAATAAACAACAAGCTCCCACCTTTTCAGAATGCCAAATCATAAAATGACTGCTTCACGACTGATTTGAGAGCGACCGTCGATGCGGAAACCGCTGTGTGAGTTCGAAAAGTGAGTTACAGAATCGCAGGGCTGTATGAATTGTAAAGACATGTAGGCTTATGCATACCACTCATTTTGCATAGCAACAGTGTGTAACGCAATAAAATATTAGCTATACCTAAGGACATATTACAAACTTGAAGCATGAGAAATTGCTAATTGATAAACGTGCTAAATTGAATATATGCAAAACTAAACATTCATTTTACAGCAATTTAATCCATAACAAGTAAATTTTATGCTTCAATTGACCAGTTATAGTAATGAGCAGTGTTGGCCTAGTGGCTTCAGCGTGCGACTCTCATCCCTGAGGTCGTAGGTTCGGTCCCCGGCTGTGCACCAATGGACTTTATATGAACGCATTTAACATTCGCTCGAACGGTGAAGGAAAACATCGTGGGGAAACCGACATGTCTTAGACCCAAAAAGTCGACGGCGTGTGTCAGGCTGATCACCTACTTGCCTATTAAATTGAAAAATGATCATGAAACAGATCCAGAAATCTGAGGGCCTGACCTAAAGAGGTTGTAGCGCCACTGATTTATTTTTATTTATAATAATAATAAAGTTTATTTGCTTCTTCAATATATTGCTTTATATTATTTTTTTCGTAATTTTTTTTCAGCTCAACTCGGACTGTTTTGGCTAGCGTAGCTCGGCCGAAATGGGTGTTATCCCACAACTAGCGCAAGGGCGTCTCCTGCGAGACTCGGAACTCGACTTGCGCCGGCGCGGGGTGTTCACACGCCTGAAGGATAGGACGGAAGCTCACTAGATTGAGCGAAATGCGATGTAAAGTCCACGCTTTCCTCGGTGAAGGCTGTTTTTTGCCCTTAGGGAGCGTTCAAGTATTACGTCACGCAATTTTTGTAGATTATTGACTCCCCCCCCCCCCCCATGTAACGCACCGTAACGTTTTTCTGTGCCCAAGTATAGTACTGTACCCAAGTATAGAAAAACGTTTCGTGACCACCTAGTGACTCTTTATACCTAAAGTTACCATTATGTGGTGTAAAGTACTGGAAAGTCGAAAATAATATTAACAATAATTCAATCACTGCCCCGCATCGTAACGTTTTAGAAAAGGACCATTAGCATTAGCGCATACAGAATCAATTCCACAGCAAACGCTGTATAAAAATACACACTTTATTTACCCAAAATTCCTTTTTAATGTACCCAACGTTGTTGGTGAAATTCCATGGCGACCTTTAGACGTTTTAGCAATCTTGCTGTGTTAATCATTTGCCATTATTTTCTTTATTCCAACATATATCTCTCTAATATAATTATATAACTCTCGTGTCACAATGTTCCTTCCCATGCTCCTCCGAAACAGCCCGCTCGATTCTTATGAAATTTTTTATGCATATATAGTAAGTCTGAGAATCGGCTACTATCTATCTTTCAAACCCCTAGGTGACAAGGGGTGTCCATCCCATTTTTTTTATTTTTTAGATAAAATTTTAAGCTATTGCATAGATTTTATCGCGGCCTTTGAGCGTGGCGACCGAATCAAGAAATTCCGTAACGAAAATAAAAACCTAACACACGATGACGTAATATAAAGGTGCGGCCAATACGCGTTAGAGTAGGACAGAACGCATACTGCGTATTCACATCTCTCTGACGAGATCGGTGACGTAGCATGAGCGCGGCCGGTGCAGCCGGTACGCGTTAGAGTGAGACAGACTGTATAGACGGTTAAGTCTGAGTCTGGTAGAGTAGATTGAAATAATATCAAAGAAAAAACTTGAATTAATATCACAGAAAAACTATATAAATAAATATAATAAATAAAAATAAATTAATAATTATAACTGCATAAGTTGATAAAAAATGCTATGCAATAACTTTACCGCGGCAGTCCCCGAGTGCCACACGTTTTTTTTGTTTTTATTTCTTTATGATACAGCATACAAAATTACATACAACCCTTAATTTTCACCCCTCTACGATCAACCCCTATTTTTTATTTGTTAATTAAAGTCTTATGACTTGAACTCTGAGGTTTATATTATAGAGAAAAATTCACAGAAAAACCTACAAAGTTTTCATTCCGGAAAACCGAGTCTGGAGTACATACCAACATGGAACATAGCAAAATGTTCCATGTTGGTATGTACTAAAAAGGTAGGCTAAATAAAATCACATTTAAGGAGATTCGAAGTTCGCGGGGGCAGCTAGTGTATTTATATAATATTGGCCGCCGCCCGCCCACGCATCTTCATTTCTTCAATATAAAGAGTCTTTCGGCCCACGGGAGTTGTGACAGTAAGAGAACTGAGAAGCGGGATGAGTCCGTCTGCATGAACATAAATCTGGTTGACTAAGCAATTCGATCATCAGATCAGACTTCAGAGGAGATAGTACATAATTGTTGTAATTGTTGCATTCCACTATAACATTATGGAATGTAACAACTATGTATATCTGCTAAGTAAAGCAATATCGCGTTGTAATGCAACTACTGCCATCTATTGATCGGCATAATAAGCTAATTGCTAAAACAGAAATCGTATTTATTTTGTTAAGGATTCATAATATGATTTTTTTATAGAACGGGGGGCAAACGGGCAGGAGGCTCACCTGATGTTAAGTGATACCGCCGCCCATGGACAATCTCAATGCCAGAGGGCTCGCGAGTGCGTTGCCGGCCTTTTCTTGGTACGCTCTTTTCTTGAAGGACGCTAAGTAGAATCCACATAGTGGTGGTGCGCGGCAAAAACTGCCTTGAAAAACGCTTAATTGTGGAACGGCGGACGTCGAGGTGATACGGGTGGAATTTCGTATTCTGCCTCGACGTCCGATGATGAAACTCAGCTGCAGGTATTAATCCGAACAACTCCTCTGAACACTCTCCATGGTAAATGCGGTAGAAGATGCAGAGTGACCCCACATCTCTACGCAACGCCAAGGGATCAAGCAGCTCGGAGAGGGATTGGTCGTCGACGATTCGAACCGCTCTGCGTTGTATACGGTCAAGTGGAAGGAGCTGGTACTGGGGAGCCCCCGCCCAGAGGTGAGAGCAGTACTCCATGTGGGGCCGATTTTGCGCTTTATATAGTTGCATGCGGTGGCCCGGAGTGAAGTACCGTCTCGCCTTACTGAGCAGACTAAGCTTTTTGGAGGCTAATTTAGCCTTTCCCTCCAAGTGACCGCGAAACGTCGTTCGATATGTCAACGCCAAGTATTCCAATGCTGGCTGTGGCTTTAAGAAGAGTGTTTTCGAAAAGAGGAGTATTATATTATAATGTTTACACAGCTTCAGAAACAGTTTTAATACAAATTTGATATCCATTCAAAAGCTCGGAAGCTTGTCGGATCCTTTGGAAACAAATTCGTCATTTTTGCTTGGAAAGGAAGCTCTCATGGAATCTGTGAATAATTGACTTGGCATCCAAGGATGTCTTTAGGTCCATGCAATAAATAAAGTTTATTTGTGTTCTCTGGAGTTCACAAGCGTGTTGTTCCCACGAGAATGTAAGTGCATGCTCCTATTTCACCATGCCTACTGCTGATAGAGGACAAGTCTTTGTTTTTAATTTATTATTATTATTAGTTACTTAAGATGTCATGTGGAACATGGTGTAATGGTTGCAGCTCCTAACAAACGTTGTGTAAAAAACATATGGCGCTTAAAAAAGAGTGGCGGAGAGTTTATTGCCAGTTCTTCTCTTCCGTTCTACGCCCTTGATTTGAGAATTTTTTTGTTTTTGACTTGTCCTCTATCAGCAGGAGGAATGGTGAAATAGGAATTGTTTCCTTAAGAAAGAAGGTTTGGGGAAGAAATTACCGAGTTCAAATTACAAGTCATTTTAATAAATTTTCGAATTTTTCTAGTCTGTGCCCCAAGTAGCCATTATTTAGAAGTGTCCAATAACACTACTTACCTTTATTAAGAGAAAGACACTATTTTGTTCTATTTTTTCACTTACCTTACACTTACTGATTCAAATGGTTTGAATCTTCTCACTAGGCACGTGGTGTCAAGTCGAATAGCCTCGACATTCACGTGATGGTGGAGCCTGTTCGTGGGTTCCAATAAATAATGTAAAAAATACTGTTTTTGAAACATATTAAGGTACTGATGCTTCGATAAGTGAAATGTCAGAAAAAATACATTTTTAATTCGGCCCAGTAGTTGCTTTATTGTAAAATGATTGAATAAAGTTATTGTTAAATAAAAAACAAGTCGCTTCATGAAATGTTTATTTCATAAAATATATTTCGAATGCAAACATAGACACATAGAAATATAACAAATTTAGGCTGTCAGTTCCTATAACTTACGGATGTTCGTAATTGCGATACAACCGTTTAGGTATAGAAATTGAAATTAGGTTTATTTATAATTTTTATAAAGAATTATTTGGTCTAGAAATATTTGTTTAATAAATTATCATGAAATGATTGTCACTTCTGAAATTCTTACAATTAACAAGTATAAATATAATATATTTGTGGCGTAAAACACAAAAATAGTTCCATAACTGATCAAAAGATGGCGCTGTTTCACTGAAAAATGTGACCAAATAGATCCTATTGGTATCTATAAAACCTGTTTAAAAAAATATACTATTACATAAATATAAAAAATTGTATATATATATATATATGAAGATTTCTGCGTCTATTTTTTTAAGTATGGAAAAATCATAACTGATCAAGAGATGGCGCTATTTACAATTTGTACGTAACGTAAATGTTTGATATTATAATATAAAGATTTCTGTAACTATCTGATTGATTCCTAATAATTTTTTATCGTAGTGAACAATGATTGGTCCGATTAACAAGATTTTCACTGAAACCCAAAAAAGAATATACTTTTTTGACTTATTTATTGTGCTTTTTCTAGCAAGGTTTACAATTAATCTCCATAGATAGCGCGCAATCATAACTGAGTATAAAATTGTATCAATTAATTACAAAAAAAAAAAGCTTGGTTTCAGCATCTTACTAGTAACAATTGTTTGTATTAAAACGTCACTCGCAATCATAGCAATTACGATTCGTACTTACTTATATAGAAAGCACTCAAATCTGTAAAACAAATAAGTCAAAATAGTATTTAATTTGTATAAAATTTATGATATCTATAAATACAACTAACGTTAATTACTTTTTAAATATACCATTCACTACTATTGAAGCCGCTAAATGTATAAAATTTAGTAAAAACATAAATATTTATGACTCGGCAAAAATAAAAAGTTGCAAGTTCCTCTTTCTAACGGTAGATGGCGCTAAACTAAATTTACTATTTAAATGTCATAATATTATAAATCTCACTTATTTACAGTATTTATTATATATTTTGATATATTTATATATCTTTGCTATTTCTAAATATATTTTTAGAATTTGCACAGCACGATTTTTATTGATAAATAACCAGGAAGGATATTTAATTTCAAAGAGGATATTATATTTATGTACGAGTATGTCAAAAACATTAATTTTGACATTTGGGAGTCATTGGCGCAAAATTTAAGACAATTCTTGGCACGCTGTGGTAGAAATTTATATATTTTGTACAAGATATGCTTAAATTTTGTCTACATCATTAATCCTATCATTATCCTCCGCCAAGTCTTCCACATCATCTAGTCTGGCTTGAAGGTTCTTCCCCCTTGGACTTTTCCTATCATTATCTTCCGCCAAGTCTTCTACATCGTCTAGATTAGGTTGGAATTTCTTCCCCTTTGGACTTTTCCTATCATTATCCTCAGCCAAGTCTTCCACGTCGTCTAGACTGGCTTGGAATTTCTTCCCCTTTGGACTGTTTCTATCATTATCCTCAGCTAAGTCTTCCACGTCGTCTAGACTGGCTTGGAATTTCTTCCCCTTTGGACTGTTTCTATCATTATCCTCAGCTAAGTCTTCCACGTCGTCTAGACTGGCTTGGAATTTCTTTCCTTTTAGACTGTTCCTATCATTATCCTCAGCCAAGTCTTCCACGTCGTCTAGACTGGCATAATGTTTCCTCCCCTTAGGGCTTTTCCTATCATCTTCTAGACTTTCGTCAATTATTTCCAAGCGAGATCTAGAAAAGAATCTATGTAACGACTCCAATTTATCTAAAACCCTTTCGGTTCGTTCGCTTTTGTCTTCAATCATAGATGACGAATCGGTCTTTCTATCAATCGAATCCTCGCTCGTGGACGTCGATTTATCGACTCGAATCACTTTCGGCTTTATTATCAGACTTGGCGGTAGATCCGGTATGTTCCTTAGATCGACCAGACTCTGTGACTTTTGGCTTGGACTTAGGTCGAATTCGCGACTGAACTCTTCAGTCGACGGGCCAGAACTGTCGTCGAAGTGTTTTTGGAGTTTATCTTCAATGAATTTCATTAGTTCCTCAGCGCATTCTTTCGCCTGTATGGATATTCTATCCAATCCAGATGTTTCGTCTTCTTCCAAGATGTCCGATAGTTCTATGCTGTATGGTAAACTGTATTGTGGTGGTTTTGTGTAAGTGTTGTAGTTGTCGACATCCTCTTGTTCGCTCATAGTATCGTCTTCCATCATTTGCAGTTCGCAAACCCTGAGGATGGCCTCTTCGAAAATGTCTTCCAAATCGGATTTAATATAACTCATATCAACCACTGTTTCGGATATTCTTCTTGATCTGTCTCTTTCTATTACTGTGTCTTGGGTGAGTAGGGTTGAATCCGATTTGGTCTTACTCAAATCACTGGATTCGTATTTTGATATCGTCATATCTGATTTGGACTTCTCTGATAAAGATGGCGTTAATGATTTTTCTATGCCATAGTGTTCCATATATTTTAGTAGCATTTCTACCAATGTTTCGCTTTCTTCAACCGGAGTTTCGTCTATGTATGAAAGATTTTTAACGTTTATATCTGATTCGGATAAGCTCATCCCTTTCATGTGGATTTCGATTTTTGGCTTCTCCCATTTATCGTCTGGTCCGAATAGAAACTCCATAAGTGTGATTTTTTTATCATTGTTTTCCTCAACACCTGTAGACGCCAGAAATTCAATCAAAGTCTCCATCTTTTGTTCTAATTCTGTGTTAACTTTAGCTGGTATATATATTTCTTCTTTACTCGCTTCTGTTTTAAAGCAACTGCCTCTTCTATCATCCTTTTGGCTTTTAACGATTGTGAAGAAAAAATCAATTAAATTTGCTACCCTGTCCGTTCCTTCTTCTTCATCAGAACTTAAATCGGACTCTTCCTTCACTAATGGACACCGTTTCTCCTCAAATTTCTTGCTGAAAACGGTTTCTTGGACAACTTGTAAAAGGTCCCTGGCAAGTTTTACAGGAGACCTAGATTCGATGGGTTCGTATGTTTGAGTGGAGCGTCGTCTTTCCTTATCTATCCTGAAGAAGTCCCAAAGAGATCCGAGGTCCGAAGACAGAGATGCACGGTGATGCGCCAGACTCGTACCAAGTCGGCGAAAGACCTGAAAGTTTTTATATTTACCAAGATATTACTTCCCGTATCAATAAAAGAAAATTGTACTAGAAGTTCAGGAGAATTGCCATGTCAGGAGTTTCTGTATAGTATACGTATATGTAGTGTATGTGTGCAAGCACTAGATAACGAAATATATGAGAGAGTGTGACGTAAGAACGTAACAACCCTAACATATACTTAGTGAATATATATGTACGGCGTGTCTGCACCAAGAGAACTAAGGTAAGATCAGAGGTTCAAGGTGGTGGGATGATCTCAAAGCTATCGCATGGGGCTACAAAACACTTCTTTTCATTTATTACTTAAGATATCATGTGGAACATGGTGTAATGGTTGCAGCTTACAAACGTTGTGTAAAACAAAAACTTGGCGATTAAAAAGAGTCGCGAAGAGTTTTTTGCTAGTTCTTCTCTTCTGTTCTACGTCCTTGATTTGAGAACTGTCAGTAAATGTAAAATAGTAGCATTTAATGTATGTTTCTTTTTGACGTTCATAAGTGTACATTGTGTTTATGCATAAATGATTTTGACTTTTTTGACTTCTCTTTAACAAATACGAGTATGTTCTCACCTGCCACACTCAGGATCTCCAAGCGCGCAACTTCCGTAAGGATACTCTCTTGAATCGAGCCATTTGCGCCGCAAAAGCCTCCGTTCCTAGTGAAGCACTGGTTTCACCTTCCGACTGGACCTATTTAAAAAAAACATTGGTCTAATGACTGTATCATGAGGTCTTAAAGTGAGACTCAGAATCAGGAATTTCCACTTGTCATCATGGCTGATCGCATTTTTTATTTTTGATCAGCCATGTACTCTTGTCAGCCAGTATTAACATACAATTTTCGTAAGCAGTCGTAAAACTAACCAACCTCTTTGGTGATTTACTAACAATAGTCCAAATTCAAATAACTTTAGGTTCACTATCACTGGTTGAATTATTATAGGTATCATCTTAAATCCAAATTTGAATAAACTAAAGAAGGTTTCGCGCGTTTTTACTTTCATTTATGTTGTCTTCTTATCAGCCAGTATTAAAATACAATTTTCGTAACCAACCTCTTTGGTGTACTTTCAATATTCCAAATTTAAATAACTTAAGGTTCATTATCACTGGTTGAGTTATTATAGGTATCATAATCCGAATTTGAATTATACAAAAGAATCAAGAACCTTTCGCGCGTTTTTACTTTTACTTTTTTTCGTCTTCTTACCAGCCAGTATTGAAATAGAATTTTCGTAACCAACCTCTTTACTAACAATATTTAATTTAGGTTGTTTGTTCACAGAGTAATAAATGCCATTTAAAAATGAAAAATACTTACGTCTCTGGAACCAGATCTCCTTTGTAAGAATCGTATGTCTCTATCCGAATGTCCTTTAGACCGACCTAATCCTTTCGCCAGAGCATTTGATACTCTTCTAAAAGAACACTTTGTGTTTAGGAAATCCTAGATTTTACATAGAAATATGCTATACATTATCAGATATATTCTAAGACAAAGCTACGGAGGATGGGGACACTCTCTTCACGTTAGCTCGAACGGTGAAGGAAAACATCGTAAGGAAATTAGACCCAAAAAGTCGACGGCGTGTGTCTGGAGGCTGATCACCTACTTGCCTATCAGATTGACAAATGTTGGAACAGATACAGAATTGAGGCCTAGATCTAAAAAAGTTATAGCGGTGTTTTATTTTTAATATATTATATATGTATATATCTTTATAAATAGATAAATAAACTTTACCTGCAATGTGTGGGATCGCTGTATGCAGTCTGTACCGGGGTCTTCTCTATGGTATCGTGTGACGTCATACTGCTTACTAGCGGAAATCCGGTTGTACCTGAAACGATATTTGACAAGTGACATACATATTTTATTTTAAGTTTCTTTTTATGTAATGGGCTGACAGCTTATCTAATGTTAAGTGATAGCCATGGACACTGCCGGCCTTTTAAGAATCGGTACTTATAGTACAGAGGTCACACGGGCAGGCGGCTCACCAGATGCCTAGTGATACCATCCACAGACACCCACATCGCCAGAGGGCTCGCGACTGCGTTGCCGGCCTTTTATGAATCGTTACTTATAGAATAGAGGGCACACGGGCAGGCGGTTTACCTGATGTTACGTTATCCCACAGACACTTGGCTGTGGCGTTGCCATTAACGAATTGGTATGCTCTTTTCTTGAAGGGCCCTAAGTCTAATGGGTTCGGAAATACTTCAATAGGGCTGGTTAAACATAGGTTTTAATTTCAAGAAGCCGCCAAAACGCTGACAAGGTGGCGTCGCACCAGTATGACGTAAGATGCTTGTAAATACGTGAAAACTTCACGTTTTTGTCGTTAATGTCATTCTTAAATTAAACAAATACACTTATCGATCAGTCTCCGAGGAAATTAAACTTAACAGTATTAGACAGACATTGTTTACAAGCATGTTACGTCATCCGTGAGTCACGTGAATGTATAAAAATTTGCTTGATAGCATTACCTGTTATAGCCCCCCTCGTCATACTGAGACCCCGTTGGATCCTCGCTATACAGGCTCGATGCCTTGGTATCTGCATGGGCACCGAACAGCCTTTTTCTTGTAGGACAAATCTGCCCAAGGTTTTCCAATTTGCCTGAAATTTTGGGCTCTAGATGATATAAATACTTCAAAAAGAAACCAAAACGAAAGTAAAAAACAGGTAGACGACGTATAGGTTCTCGTAAAACCAGCACTTCCAATAAAGTGATATTCATTGCAGCGGGCTAGCAGGTGTGTTGCCAACCTTTCAGGCAATGGTACGCTCTTTTCATGAAGGCGCCTAAGTCGTTGGAAATACCTCTGGTAGCTGACCACAAAGACGTGGCGCAGAAAGTGCCTTTAAAGCACGTTCAACGCCAGGAGAATGAAAGGATGGAATTTAGCCGGTCCGAACAATTCTTCAGAGCACTGATGAGATGCACTGAGAAGATGCTGAGGGGATCTCTCTACGCAAAGCTAAAGGATCAAGCTGATGAAAGAGATGGGTTGCACGCTAGTCTTGTGGAGCGTGTACAGAGATTGAAAAAAAAATCAATAGACAATTTTTATTATTTCGTTGAGGGTAATACATCATTTTTAATCTATGGTCACGTTTAGGTCTATAACTTCCATTTTGTCTAATTACTTCCTTGATATGTTTCTATATTGTTTGTGGGCCGTTTTTCGTTATTAAGATCGATATATCGATAAATTCTTTTTTATAGAGTAGGTGGCAGGAGGCTTCCTCAATGCCAGAGTTAGGAAATACTTTTTTAATAGCGCCATCTAGCATTAGTATTAGCTAATGTAATCAATTATTAAGTTCATTAAAATACCTTAAACATTTAATTTTTAAATGTGTTACCTGTGCTGTGTATACCACTTCATCATCAGCTAATGCTCTGTGCTGGGGACCGGAATTAGCTCGTCCCCCCCATTCCAACTCCTCTACTAACACGAACCTGAAATTTGAATTTATAAATAATGGGATTTTATTTGAGAAATTAATTAATTCATTCACAAATTTTACTTTTATCATTACATTATTTTTCTGTTGTGTTCTCTGGCAGAATGACCAGCACTGTGGAACATTCTGCTCCACAGCATAATGCTGAGCCAGGGCCAGTTACAACCACAGCACACACATTAGACACTTAAATTGTACCTTAATCCTTTTTTTTCTTCCCAGTAATTTGTAATAATCGTTTAATTAGTAATAAATCTTTTGTCTAGGTCTAATAAAGTAACTCGTAATGACACAATGCGAGTGACATTTAGATGGCGGGAAATTTGAAATGACATTTAACAAGTGTAAAAACTAAAACAGTGAAATCGACTTCAATCCAATTGTAGCGAATCGTAGATACGCACTTAAAATGTACATACTCTTTTGTGTAGTATTTTCTCTAGGATTTTGATGTATGTGTTAGCATAAGAAAGGACACTAAGGAAAGAAGAAAACAGACGTCACTCAGACGGACTTTGAAGACAAGTGAATATATATAAGTTTTTCTTCCTTGAGCGTTTCTATGTGAATATAAATTAATTACTCTTGTTTGTGAAGAATAAACCAATTAACAAAGATAAAAATGGGTTGTGATTTATTTCAAGATAGCACATCCCATACAATATAAAATCTAGATATCGAAAAGCTTGGACTGTTCGGAGTTATTTGATATGTTTTAAACTCTATTTATATTATACTAGCAGACCGGCCAAGCGTTGCTGTGGCTAAGGTTTTTGTTATATTACATAGTAGTAAACTATTCAAGGGAAACGGTAGGAGAACACCAGTCATGGGGACCATCATGCTTTTTTGGTGGTTATGCCATTAAATTGTAGCTTATGTGAAACGTTGGTACTTTCAACACAGCGCCATCTGTTAGAATTGTGACTATTAAATAAAAAACAAATATTTGCAATAAAATAATATTGCGGGTATAAATTGAGATGTAAGCTATCCTATCTTTTAAGTTAGATCAAACCGCACACGGTGTGCAAATTTGATTGAAATCGGTTCAGTAGGTTAAGAGTCCATAGCGGACAAACAACGTGACCCGTAATTTATATATTATATTAACATATATTTCAACGAAATTCTTAAATCTGAGATGTTAGTAGCATTTTTACCTTCACAGCACTATATAGTTGCGAAACTATAAAACTTAATACTATTTTTGTCACCGTTGGGTCTGATAAGTTAGAGGCTCTATTTATTTACCCAAACAAAAGCCTCAAATAAACCCAACGCGATCACAAAAATGTATTACATTAAATCATAAGATCTGATATGTTTGTAGCACTAATTACCTCTTAGGATCGTCCGTACATCTTGCTTTAGTAAGAGCTTGATAGATGACATAGGACGCCGATGCTGTCAGCGGAACCTGTCAAAGTTAAATTAGGTGACGTAATATGACCGTGTCGTAATATGATCGTGTCGTGCCAAGACCGTGTCGTAATATGACCGTGTCGTGCCATAACAGTGTTTGGACCGTGTTAAGCGAAATACACATTTGTACAAATATATTATGACATCTATTATAACGTTCCGTACCAACACGGTCTCGTGTCATGTATGGAGCATTAAGAATTGGCTAAAATATATCATAATTATAAAAGAAGGACACAGGGATGAAACGCGTATGGTACGCTGATGCCTCGGCCATCAAAACCGTTACAATGCTCTAATGTTTCTGAACCCGCTACGATCATAGCACGCTCATGGTATAGTATTTATTAATAAGAACATCGGACTTGCACAGCAAAACCTAATCACAAAAACGCACGTACGTATACGTTCATATGAAACGTACGTATTAATCTACGATTAAATTTAATAAAGGACTCTAAGCAGTTGGACTAGGACTCTAACTTACTTTTAGTATAGCATACGGTATCTCATGACAAACATTATGAACGCAGACTAAGAAATTGTCCGATTTCCGACTGTCTTCCTGTGACTCTTCATCAGACGGAAGTGATTGGGGCTTGTTTGATGCTGACCTGGAAAAATAAACACATAGATCAGTAGTGCTATAACGTTTTTAAGTCTGGGCCTCATATTTCTGTATCATCATGATTTGTCAACCTAATAGGCAAGTAGGTGATCAGCCTATATAACTTCTATATTCCACCCTTCTTCTACCAAACTCCATTTAATAGATATTAGCACTGCATTCATCTTCTTTGGCGAACGAAATGAGGCCATTCGTGAAAAGACCGGGTCTGTTCTTGTCTACTGTCGCAACATCAAAGTGACGATAGGCAAGCCACATAGCGCATATGGACAAAAACAGAATGATCCGCAGGCTTCTCGAATGGAAACCTTGGCAGAACAAAAGACCCGGCCGCCCACTGACTAGGTGGACTGAAGACAGCTTTGCTCCAGTTCAAACAATTTGTATGACAATACTTGGCGATTAAAAAGAGTGGGGGAAAGTTTCTTGCCAGTTCTTCTTACCCGCTCTACGCCCTTGACTTGCGAACTGGTAATAAATGTAAATTTACAATTAATTTAACTTGACAATTCATAAGTGTAATTGTTTACCTACATGAATAAAGATCTTTTGAGTTTGAGTTTGACAAAGGAGGTTTCATTGACGATGTCTTCTGTCTGCATCCACTGGGAGCTGGTTAGCTGGTTAGCTCCCAGTGGATGTAGAGAGATGCAGAGACGCTAGTGCAGGATGCATTGGGGGAAGATTGCGGGCGTCCAGAAATGGACCAAAGAAAGAGACTGATGATAATGATGATTTGATCTCCGAATCGACTTAGGGTCCTTCATGAAAAGAGCGTACCATAACTTAAAAGGCCGACAACGCCACAGCCTTCTAGCATTTACAGTGTTCGTGGGCGGCACTTAACATCAGATGAATCTCATGCCCGTTGTGTTGTTCTTTATAAAAATAGGCAAAGCAAATTTGTCTTTAAATACCTAATACTCGTCAACCAGGCCCTGCTGCTTGGGTCGTCTCCGATCCTCTTCAGCACCATTCGACTTCCAGGTTTGTAGGCCCTTAACACCCTTTCGTTTGGACCCAGCACTCTCTGGGTTGGAGTCCTTGAAGGGACCTCTTCCACTAATACATAGTTGGCGCGCGCTGAACGACAGATGCCTGCTTTTGTGAGGCACTGTGCTATTGCCTAGAAAGATTTAATTGGTTATTTTATAGACTTAAGCGCAGAATACAAAGATCGATGGGACGATAATAAGGAAGAAAAGAATAGATAAAATAAAGAATACATCATAAAGAAGAACACTTAAGGCAGCACATGTCACAATAAAATATAAAACTTAAGTGGACATAGGTGGAGCACATGGCAAGAGGAACAGAAAATTGGAGAAAGAAATTACTAAACTGGTGCTCAAGGTACAATGAACACAAAAAGGAAGACAATTTAGAAGGTAGATAGACCAGATTAAAGAAACAGCAGCTATATGACAGAGAGTGGCTCAGTGCAGAAAACGGGATTTGGAGAAGGCCTTTGCCAAAAAACGGCACACAAATATCTAGAAAGAATGAGAAGACAGAAATATCATTAAAAAAAGCGGTAAAAACTGCCTCAAAACGCTCAGTGGTGGAATTTCGTATTCTGCCTCGACGTCCGATAATGTAGCTGCAGGTATTAATCCAAACAACTCCTCTGAACACTCTCCTTGGAAGAAATCCGGTATAAGATGAAGAAAGACCCACATCTCTACGCAACGCCACGGGATTAAGCCGCTTGGTAAGAGTCGTAGACGATTTGAACCACTCTTTCTTTTCTACTTGATCTATAAAATGAATATTGTATTACTTTACCTCATTTGTCGTCGTATCATGTGTGACCTTCAAGATGGAGTAGGGCTCGCTCATCAGCACCGCATGCACCACCACAAAGTGGATTTTCCTCCTCTGAGTGGGCGACGTCGGGTCCATATCCGTCCTGGACGATTCCCCTGCTAACTCTTCAGCGCATCGCGAGAAGATCAACAGAGACGCCATGTTCAATGGCTGGTTTGTTGGAGACCTGTTAATGAAGAGAAGATTTCTGTATCTGTTTGGTTAGGCAAGCAGATGATTCGCCTGTGCCTGATGATTTTGGGTCTAAGGACCTAAAATACAATTGTTATCAGAAATAACACACAACCCTTGGTCTTGGAGTCGGATATTCTTGATAATTTCTGTACTTAGGTAGAAGTCTTCTGTGCCTGACTTTTTGGGTCCACCGCACAAGCGAGGGTTCAAAAATGCGTGAAGATTCAATCCAGTAGCTACCACGGTCTGGGGCTCCGATTTCGGTATGTTTCGTGATCATCGATAGGCGATCAGCCTTCTGTGCCTGACCCTTTAGGGTAAAGGGTTTCCTTGCGTTGTTTTCCTTCGTACAAATGTTAAATGCGTTAGATTGGTGTACAGCCGTGGTTTGAAGCTACCGCCTGAGGAGCGGCAGAGTGTGGCAAAATTCAAAAATATATTTTGATCTTCTTGGACTAATAACAAAAAGAAGCCAAGGGCCATATTGTAGCACGAATGGATTATTTAAAATAATTTTAAAAAGCCTCACCGTAGCCTCACATGTCTGTACCCCGGCCGCAAACAAAGGAGGGGAATGACGCGCTGTGACAGCATGTAGTTTGTGTCCGCGTCGTACACCTCGAATCTTATTAGGGCGAGTTCGGGGAAATTCACCTGTAATAAAGCAATAACTAAAAATAAAAATCGCCTGTACTCTAAAAAGGATTTCATTAAGTTAGCTATTGCATAGCTTTTATCACGGGCTTTCAGCGCGGCGACCGAACCAAGAAAGTCCGTAACGAAAATAAACTAACACACGATGATATGGGCGGCGTTAGAGCGGGACAGAACGCATACTGCGTCTCACATCGGTCTGGCGTTATCGGTGACGTAGCGCAGGTGTGTTAGAGCGGGACAGAACGCATACTGCGTATTCACATATCTCTGACGAGACGGTGACGCAGCGTAAGCGCGGCCGGTGCAGCCGGTACACGTTTACTGGAGTACACTGAAGGGTCGAAAATACTTAGTAAATTTCCACTTATCTTGGCTGGCGATTTCAACATCAACTTCGCTGATGAAAAATCAGAGCGGTTGACAACTTTTCTTTCGAAAAATTGAATTTGAAAATGAATAATGATCCACAAAAAATATGGGACCACCATTGACGCGGTATTTTTCAGATATTTAGAGGATATCAACAATCAAATTGCCCTCCTTAAAATCAATTTGCCCTCCTTGAAATCAATTTGACCCCTTAACAATCAAATTTCAATAACAATATGCTGTCGAAGCTAATTGAAGAAAACTGACCTTAAACGTAAAAGTCTCGTTCCATATTGGGTTGAGGGCGTTCTTCCTCGCGACCTTCGTCTTAATCTTCTTACAATCAGCAGGTACACCCAACATCTCCACCTCCACATACGCATTGTAGAAGGAGTAGACGTTCTCCGCGACGTATTGACCAGATATAACGCCCAACGTGAGATGGGCAGCGTGTATACCATCGAACTCCTTGTCCATTGGGTTAAACCTGGAAAATTCTTTGCTTCAGAAAATTTTGTCAAAGGGAAATGGACAGAAATTAAAGTGATTGAAACTGTCTGCGATGGAGTGAAGGTGCCTTTAAAGGCCGGAAACGCACACACGCCATACTATGTGGAACCAGGTACCTTTAAGTATTTCCGGAATTCGACTTAGGGCCCTTCAAGAACAGAGCGTACCAATTCTTAAAAGGCCGGCAACGCACTTACGAGCCCTCTGGCATTGAAAGTGTCTGTGATGGAGAGAAGGTGCCGTTAAAGGCAGGAAACGCACTTACGAGTCCTATGGCAGTGTGAGTGTCTATGGTATCACTTAACATCAGGTGAGCCTCCTGCAAGTTTGCCCCCTGTTCTATAAGTACCAAATCTTAAAAGGCCGACAACGCACTTGCGGGTCGAAAAAACACTAAAGTGTGTCTGGTGCCTGAAGGGCTACACCACAGTACAATTTAATTAATAAAGTAAAGAGTTATAAAGAAATAAAGTATCCGGGCTGAAAATGGCTTTTACACACCACAGAGTACGAGTGTATAAGAACCTTAGTTGTACTGGCAAGTAATAAAAAAAACATACCTTCTATACGCAATATGGCCGGGATCCCACATAACCCGCGGTTTTCTGACGTAACCATGGCAACCGTTGCTCTCAAACATGGCGGCGTTTACCGCCATCGCGGCGTCCTCTGTCTGATAGTTGAGGGCCACAAGCTGCACCCCACACGACCAGAATAGCACGGGATCAAAGTTTGACGAGTCTATTCTTAGGCTGAAAAAATTGTGTAAAAATTTTCTGTATTATGTATTCCATCTTTGGCTATATGTTTATACTCTGATTTTGAATTCCGTAGAATTCTGACAGCTATAATTTTTTGACATGTCAGAGATTACAAACTTTTTGGGCTGGGCACATTTTTCAATTTCAATACGAGTCACATACATCTGACTCTTTAAAAACATTTTATTTGTTAGTGATTATATTAATTGCGATGCTCAAAAAAAAAATGGTTAAAAAAAATATATAATTAATGACATGGCACTACCAACAAGTATATCACTTCTTTTTTGAGTCTCGCAAGTGCGTTGCCGGCCTTTTTTGAACTGGTACGCTCTTTTCTTAACATTTCTTCCCCCTTTCTAAAGACTTATTTGACTTACCCGGCGGGATAAGTCCTAACCAGCTGACTCTCTGTATGAGCGATGATGGCCAAAGGATGTTTTCTGCAAATCTTCTTCGCAATCGCCTCATTAACTGACGAACACCTGTAGCATGGATGATGTATCGCTGGCGCGTTGAGGCAGCGACCTTTATGCCCGCTAAGGTGTTGCTGGAAGTGAAATGAAACAATTAATAATTTTTTGTTTGTTATTTTGATGGCGTCTAGTATAGAATTTTTTTATTTTAAAAAGGGCATTGCAGACCATGGGCTCCCATTTTAGTGGGTGCGTTGCCAGTCTTGACCGGCAGGCCAAAGATACTCTTTCTTTAAGCAATTGGAGGTCTTACCTTTTATTATGAAAAGCGAAAAGTCTATTGTCTGATTTTTCACTCCGTAGAATTCTGACATTTCATAATAATATGTACTAATAATAATGCTACGAGCAAAGTTCCCCAACGAATTGGGACAAATTTAACCCATTTGAGGGCAATAAAAATAAAATGCTACGTATTTTTATGTTTTACCTACAAAAAGGTAAATCTAAATATTTACTTACTCAACAACAAAAATAACAAATATTTCAATATCACGAACAATATATCGAATTAACTTTAATTACTTTAGTTTATTCTTTAGCTGGCATCACTACCTTCTAATTCAAGGGCAACTAGAATCTTCTTTGTATTGTATTTGACGTTCAAAAGTGCCATTTTAGGTGGTCTTTGAAATAAATGATTTGACTTTTGACTTTGACTTTACTAAAAAGGTAGGCTAAGTAAAATCATACCGAATCACTGCTTTCCGAAGACTCGAAGCTGCTACAGGGCGCCGCATTGTCCTTCACAGTGTTCGGCTGTTTCACAGAACTGCGTGGTGACAGGGGACTGAGTCCACGGAATTTTATTGCCTGAAAAAAAAATGGTAAAATGTGACTCCAGCCTTGCGATTCTGTAACTCACTTCTAGAAACGGAAGAGAACGACCACAGAAGGGAGGGTGACCGAAGGCATGGAGAAGGGTAGCTGGAGATGGAAGGTAGAAGAAGCATTTGTCAAAGGATATATGAAACTATTATTATGGAGAGTGTTTAGAGTTGTTCGGTCTAATACCTATATACCTAATAAGATGTAGATAAGTTTGTATCACTATATACCTGTACATATGTGACCATATCACTTAGTTCTCTTGCGATTTGGTTACTCCTCTTCCTGGCCGAGTGCTTCATACTTCCAGATGTGTCACCATCACCCTCACTCCTACGAAAACTCTGGTAGAGTGACAGAGAGCGTCCAGTCTTCTCCTCCATCGAATTTAAGATTTTGTTTAATTCTTTTTCTGAAATGATTCAAACAAATTAATTCCGGCTCGAAGGACCAAAATGGAATTTATTTGATGGCGAGTTCTCGTTTTTGAATTTAATTTTAAATAAAACAAGAATTATCATTCGTTATGTTTTAAACATAGACAATAGACATGTATATTTTAGTGTCATTTGTACGGTTTTATTTACTTTATTTGGTTTACATTGATTATCAAATAGGAGTGAAAACTCGGTAAAATGGAACGACAACGAGCATTTTATCCGTCGCCCAAAATGGATTGTCTCCGTAGGATTTGGTTATTGGGATGCAGATAGAAGATCGATCGACTGTCACGGTCTGATCTCAGATTTTCTCAATCTGAGATTGTGGATTGATTATTGGGTTCGGGCGTGTTTTCTTTTATATGTTATCTGTAAGAATTTTTATCAAATTATAAATCAATAAAGGCCGGCCACGCACCCTTAAAATTGGTGTCCCACTGCAATGCCCTTCGAGTTCCGTAGGATCATTTCCCATTTTCTATAAAAAAATTAAATACCCCACGATAATTATCGTTTAAAAAATGCACCTTCAAAGTCATCATCTTCTTCGTAATCATCATCAGACAGATACTCTGTGAGTGAAGAGCCAGCTGATTGGTTAGACATGATGGAACTGCTTCGGTTGCTGGCGTCTGGAAGGGATGAAGTGGTATGGCGGAGACCATTTGCCCTAAAATAGATTTTGTAAAATTTAGAGAAATGGGTACATCAATACTTTTTAAAGTGAAACTTCTTTTGGCGCATGAGGGTAAAATTTTTACTGATGAAACGCAATAATAATAATATTAGCGTCACGAAGATGTGCAGCGTTTTTGTCGAAGAACAGGGAGAGAGCGATTGAGACCGTTTGAGAGAGAGTGAGAAGGGCAAATTACCTAATATAGAAATTCTATTTTGAAAATTAAAATTTCGTAAAGGGAATTTATGAAAGATTAGTATTTTATATTTTATCCAAAATAATTTATTGAAATCTCAAATGACGACTTGTAAATAAAAATGCCACGTGTTTTTATTATCGAAGAAATCAAAAAAATTAATTTTTTTTTTGAAATTTACACGATATTTTTATCGCAAGCCAAGTAATCCATTTCAGAAAATTTTTTTGTTAAAATTACATTAATTTAATGTTTTACATAACTAATTGTTATTACGGGCGGGCGTGCCTCAGTGCTCCAGCTCTCCACTGCGCCCCGCAGTCCACCCCGAGACACTGACAGTTGCAATTCGTGCTGGGCCTTAGGGCCTTAATCTACGTTCTTCGGAATATTAAGTCTTCTCCAGTTTAATGGTACAGGAGAACTTGGTTCAGGGAGCGTTCAAGTATTACGTCACGCAATTTTTGGAGATTATTGACCCCCCCCCCATGTAACGCGCCGTAACGTTTTTCTGTACGCAATAGTAAAACGTTTCGTGACCACCCAGTGACTCTTTATACCTAAAAGTTATCATTATGTTGTGTAAAGTACAAAAAAGTTGAAATTAATAATAACAATAACGCGTAATTCAATCCCCGCCCCGCATCGTAACGTTTTACAAAAGGATCCCTCCCCCCCAAAATTCGTTACGTAATACTTGAACGCTCCCTCAATCAGTACGACTCATCCTCCCTCATCAGACACAGGTGTCATTGAAAGATGTCTTATAACATACCTGTAGGTAGATGACAGTGTTCCTCCATGGACTGACGTCGCACCTGTTAAGCCCATGGTGGGACTGGACTCGATTGGAAATAGTTTCTTGTTCTTTATCAGCACCTTGAAAATTAATTTCTAGTTTATTTTTATTCATTTATTTAATTACGTCAAAATAAAAACAAATAACCAAGTTAGGAATGCAACGTAACGAAAACAAGCGATCTCTTACAATCTTTGTAGGGACTAAACTAAAAAAAAAAAAATATTAAAGCGACACTGAAAAATTATACAATTACCTAAATTAATCTAAAATTTAAAAAAAAGTACACATTTCAGAAGTGAAACTTCTTTGGCAAACTAATTTTCTTGTTCATATTTATACAATTAATCTCAAAATTTTCGAGACTAGAACATATTATATGTTAGGAATTTAATTATCATTAAAAGTGTCGAAAATTAATACAAATTATAAATTTAATTTTTTTTAAATTTATTTCTTCGATAGTAAAAACACGTGGTATTTTAATTTACAATTCGTTACATTCATTATTTTGCATAAAATATAAAATACTAACATTTAATTTTAAAAATAGATTTTTTTAAGGTAATTCACCCTTCTCACTCTCTCTCAATCGGTCTCAAACGCTCTCTCCCTTTTCTTCGATAAAAACGCTGCACCTCTTCGTGACTTTCCGTAAAAATTTTACACTCATGCGCCTAAAGAAGTTTCACTTCAAAACTAAAAGCTAATCGTGTGTCGTTGATCCCCTGGAAGGTAAGGCTTTGGTATGGAATGCTACTTGTGTGGACACATTTGCCCCGTCTCACCTTCAGACAAGCACAGAGCAGACGGAAAATAATAAACGGCTCAAATATAAGAGTGTTTCCCCACAACTCTTGGGCCACAACTCAAATGCACAAGCGATAACAGATCTATTTTTGATTGATCAAACTCAAACTCAAAATATCTTTATTCATATAGTTAAATAAGTACACTTATGAACGTCAAAGAAGAAGTTAAATTAATTGTAAATTTACATTTACTACCAGTTCGCAAGTCAAAGGCGTAGAGCGGGCAAGAAGAACCGGCAAGAAACTTTCCGCCACTCTTTTTAATCGCCAAGTATTGTCATACAAATTGTTCGAACTGGAGCAAACAATCATTTAAATAATCGTCAAATTTATAAAAAAGTTTTATTAATTACGTTACATTTAACAAGGGCTTCGAATTTACTCAGTGAGCATTCTCTTATTTCGCTTGGGAGTTGTAAAAGACGAATACAATTTCCATATGTGGTCGTGGTGTATCTTCTGGAGCCTGGTTGGTCGTACGCTTAGATTTGTTCTGTTTCGAGTATTATACTGGTGAAAGCGACGATGTGTGATCGATAATGTCAATGTCACGATTCGATTTAATTGCATACATTTTCATCGATTGCCAATAAGTTACCTTATATTTGAGTTGCTCTGGGCTCGGCAGCCGTGGCTCGTCCGTGTAGTCAACATCGAACAGAAAAGAGGTTACCAATTGCTCTCCAAACACTGCCTGGATGAAAACGGAATTAGTAAACTTAAATCCTTAATTTAAAAACGTGTGGCACTCGGGGACTGCCGGGGTAGCTAGCATAGCATTTTTTATCAACTTGTGCAATTATAATTATTTGTTTATTTTTATTTGATATTAATTTAATCTATCACTCTACCAGACTCAGAGTAACACGCCTATATAGTCTGTCTCACTCTAACGCGTACCGGCTGCACCGGCCGCGCTTGCGCTACGTCACCGATCTCGTCAGAGAAATGTGAATACGCAGTATGCGTTCTGTCCCGCTCTAACGCGTATTGGCCGCACCTATACGTCATTGTGTGTTAGGTTTTTATTTTTCTTACATTTTTAACATAGATTTTGTATGGTACATTTTAACATAGAGACGTGGAATTAAATTCCTGTCCTCATCTGCGATGCGATGTTCGTAACAACTGACCTCAAACGTGCTCGCCATCACTTGCTGCTGGGGCAGGCTGCAGTGGTTCTCAATGCTTAATATCAGGGGATATGGAGACGTTACGAAGGCACTTCTGAAATTTATTACATAATATAATATAATATAATATAATATAATATAATATAATATAATATAATATAATATAATATGATATGATATGATATAATATGATATGATATGATATGATATGATATGATATGATATGATATGATATGATATGATATGATATGATATGATATGATATGATATGATATGATATGATATGATATGATATGATATGATATAATATAATATAATATAATATAATATAATATAATATAATATAATATAATATAATATAATATAATATAATATAATATAATATAATATAATATAATATAATATAATATAATATAATATAATATAATATAATATAATATAATATAATATAATATAATATAATATAATATAATATAATATAATATAATATAATATAATATAATATAATATAATATAAAATAATATAATATAATATAATATATGATTGGACAATTCACACCAATTGACCTAGTCCCATGCTAAGCTGGTGAAGCTTGTGTTATGGGTACTACGGATACACATATATCCGTTGCCTGGTACATATTATAGATAGATAGACATATAAAATATAAATACATAATATTTAAACCCAAGACCTAAGCACAAAACCAAATGCTCATCACATCGATGTTTGTATCAGCCGGGGATCGAACCCGGGACCGATGGATTCGCAGTCGGGTACTAACCAGTAACCACTAGAACAATGAGTCGTTATTTAATTAATATTACTACCAAACCGATTAAACGCCAACGGCGCGTGGAGCACTGATGTTCCAAATTCTATATTATGAAACAATTATCAGTAGTATGCTTGTCAACGCGAAATATTCTTGTTTCAAAAAGTATCCAAAAGTGGACCTCTAAGCCATGTATGCGACATAACTATTTCTTTATTAATTTCTTCATATGATTTCAAATAGAAAATGCAGAAATATTGATGCTATCAAAACATAACTTGTAAAAAATCAAGAAAATTCAGGCTTCTAATTTTATACACAACGAAGTTATAGGGCTTCAATTGCTTCGAGAAAAGCACGGCTGTATCGCTTCTTTGCTTGAATTCAAAATCATTTATTGATATAGGTAACGCAATGTACTCTTATGAACGTCAAAAAAAAATTAAATGCTTCTAATTTTACATTTACTGCCAGTTCTCAAATCAAGGGTGTAGACCGGAAGAGAAGAACTGGCAATAAACTCTCCGCCACTCTTTTTAATCGCCAAGTTTTTTTTTAGAAGGAGATATTCCGTGCTTTTCTCGAAGCCGTTTTTCCGTGCCTCCAGATAATATAGTTCTGTTCTGTGTATAAATCTTTAGTATTAAGGTGACTCAATTTGACGGTCATGGGTTTACCATAAAACAAAAAACGACGGGTTGCACTCCGGGAGTGCCGGCAGAAGTGAAAACTTGAATATTAACGTTGTGCATTTTTGATATTTTGGAATGGTTAGGGAATAATTTTGCACGAATTGCTTTAATTATCAGTATAAAAGAACTATCATTTATGTGGTAGAATACAATATTTATTTATTCGATCAGGTCACGTGTCCTGACGCGAGTTTAACATTTTTTACCCATTCCAAAAAAAAGGGTGTACAACGCCGCTAAAGAAGTTTTCACTTCAAAAACAAACAAAAACAACGGTTATTACCTGGCAATAGTTTCAACTACCCGTCGAAATGGTATTTTGGTAGTGAATGTATGGCCGTGGTATATCACGGGATTCCCATCATCACCATCCCAACAGTCCAGTTCTACGCACCTGCAGCCTGTTAGTAGCACCTGTAAAGATATTTTTTAACTTATTACTAATCGTACAACTATAGTTAGGTCGTCATCGACGAAGCATGTTCCGACTATAAACCCGTGAACGCTGGGATTCCACAAGGATATGTACTGTCCCCAACGCTATTTATTCTGCATATTAATGATGCAACTTAGCAACATTCATTGCTATGCATCTCGGGCAGTTGTCGATGAGTACAAGAACAAACTTGTGCCTGAAGTCGAAACTTTGCTACGTGAAGTCTCGGACTGGGGTAGACTGGTTCAATTTAACCCCAAGAAGACACAAGTTTGCAAGTTTTCCGCTAAATAAACACCCTTTGCCGCTACTCCTCTCTTCGAAGATACTCTTCTTAACGCATCAGCTAGCATTGGGATGGTGGGCATTTCTGTTCGTTAACGTTTGTTTGTAAATTTATAATTGAGTGATAATAAATAAAACTGTGGGTATAATGTAAGAGAAAAAATAAAAATATTGCAACGGAAGAAACTAACAAATATATGACAGTTAAATAATTCGTACAAATTAATAACGTATTTATTAATTAATTAGTTAGAAGTGACGTTCATATTAGTTATATCTCCTTGTTAGAGCAAACTATTATGTTAAGACCATTAAATTATTGCTTAATTGGATTAATTATGTAAGCAATGGTCCGCTTGAGTAGGCAGTTTAATGGTTATAATCTGTGAATGTTAATGTAATCCGCATTTGTGCACATACTCGATTAAACAATACTCATTTAAAATGTTTAAGCTTTTGCGCATGTCCATAAGTATTGATTTGGACTGTATGTTTTTAGTACACTTTGTGCCCTCGGACAATTGGTATCGGATAAATTTGATATTAATTCGATTACTCGTTATAGACTTTGACAGTTACTAAAAGTCAAGCGTCAGTAAAGGGAGAAGTCTGTCGCTCTGCTGTCAATTGTCATACACTGTGTAAACTTTAATGTTTTGCTTTTGTGGTTAGGAGCCGGGTTTTTAATTTTTGGCTGTTAATAAATTAAGATAATTTTGTCATGAAAACGATGGAAGATTCCGGTGAAATTGATACGAGAAATGTTGTTAAGAACCGAGAGTTAATGTATCGTATGATTATAAGGTAAAGTTTGATAGCAGGCTTTAAAATGTACAAGTCAATACTTATTGTTTTAAATTATTAAAATAAGAGTTTTTCTCTTCATTGAGGTAGTACAATTATTAGATATGTTATTTATCAGTTGTTGCTTATTTGGAATTTTGTAATAAGCATAACGTCGCTGTATTATATACCTGTTTAGCTTGTACAAACAAACAATACACATAACGTGTAAACAACGTACACAAACTACGAAATGTTGATAAAGTTTATAGATTTAAATTAAGACATTATTGCTGCAATAAACAGTGGTTTTACTATCGAAAATTTAATTAACCGATATGTGATTGAAACTAAACTAATGTAATATACAGCATATCTGTTCATAGCTTTTATCTAAAAATGAAGTGATTAAATTAAATATTCTGCTTGAAATTTATTTAGTAAGTAGAAAGCATACCTATAATACCCATAATATATTTCAGTCAACTGTACTATGATGGATTCCAGCCCATTGCAGCCACATTAGCAGCTGCTGTGCATGCTGACCCACCCTGTCCCCCAAGTGACAGGTAAGAAAACCTTGTACTGTACTTACACAAACTCATACTTATATGAAGCTTGATTCAGAGAATTAGATAAAGTTCCTAATAGTATGTTTGTATGTAGTGTGGACTTAGTTTCTGCACTTAGATACCCATTTGGTCTGTTGTGTGTAGTTCCTAATAGTAAAATATTATCAAGTGCCAATTACTCCATGAAATTAAATAAGTAATGTTAACTTATAATATTTAGACACAATGCCAGCAATACCATCTATAGTTTCATGCTAAATAAAACATATTAATTGGACTATATTAAGTTGTCTGATTACAATCTCTTAATTATTATAGCTCACACTCGTAATGTAGCTTGCTAAGGTGATTTTTTTTAGAAATTCTTCAAATAGATTCTAAGTTTATAAGTTAAATACCTGAATCTGTGAAAAATTTATTTTGGGTTCATATTGCTTATTTCCGACTAGAAATAAACATAATTTTAATCACATTTTTGTAGAAAATTATTTATTTTATATAATAATGTTATTTCTGGGTTAAAATATCTTCAGAACAAATATGATCATTATCACCAGCCTTATACTTCTACAAGGCGACTGGTTAAACAAAAGGTAAATTGTATAAATTATTTTTTACCTGATGTTACACCAATTACTAAAGAATCTTCAGTATACAAATATGTAGCTAAGACCGAGTCATACAATACATGATTTTTTATTATAACAACAATTTTTCAGGCTCCTTAACCTGATGATGGTTGGACTTCAACATGAACCTGACAGAAAAGACAGATTAGCAGCTGCAAATGTAGCTGAACATTTAATGGGGACTACCGGTTTTGGTAAGCAGTTCTATAGATTCTAGAACAACATTCGCTAACTGAACACAATTAATGGGATCTTTATTAGGTTGGTTAGGCTGGTCTCCTCGCAATGTTTCAGCGAATGAAATACGGGCTCCCACACAAAACTGCGATGCGATGCGATGCGACTTCGCATCGCAGGAATTTGCGATGCGAAATTCTGCGATACGATTTCGTGCGGCAAACCATTTGGTAGGGCGACCATTCCTTCGTAGTCAGCCGTACTGGACGTGTTTTTAGAAAGCGTAAGATGGATTGCAAAAAGATTATTGCACTGCTGTTATTGTTAAACAGATATAAAAGTAAAAGAAGATTCTGGGTTCATCCATTTATTACGATTATGAACTCTGATGCAAACTTTCACAGACGCTCTTCCACGCATCTTGCTTAATAAATTTATATTTATAATGTTCATCACTTGTGTCCCAAAGGACGGGACGCTCCGCAATTAAAAATATTAAAAAATCCATATCATATTCCGCAATTTTTTATAAACAAAGAAGGTGGCGGAGGCGCCGCGCGTCTTTCTCTAAAGCTGTCTCAGAGCGGACTAAAATGGCGTCACCAAGGATGACGTAATATCGCAAGAATGTGCGATGCGAAGCAGATCGGAAATTCTTGCGGTGCGTTCGTGCGAATTCGCAGATATTTGCGATGCGATGCGAATTCGCAGTTTTGTGTGGGATCCCTACATAAGAAAGTCCATTGGTGCACAGCCGGGGTTCTTCAACCTCAGGGATGAGAGTCTCACACTGAAGCCATTAGCCCAACACTGCTTTCAATAATTATGTATCAATTTCAGATTTGGAATTCGAAATGGACGCGTCCTCATTGGCTCCCGAGCCGGCTACGTACGAGACGGCGTACGTGACGTCACACAAGATGGCGTGTCGTGCGGGTGCGTTTAGCTCCTGTGGACAGTTGGTCGCTACGGGCAGTGTGGATGCTAGTATTAAGGTAACTTTAATTATAAATTGATTCTGATGAATTTGTGTGTTTGAGATAGTTTTTTTTGTATTTAAGATGTGTATAAGGTCCGTCTGTTCTGCTAGTGTTATAAATTGTGATTTAATTAGATTTTAGATGTTGAGAGAATGTTGGCAAAGTCCGCTCCGGAGGAGGTGGAAGCTGGAAGAGAACAACAGGGACATCCGGTGATACGTACTTTGTGAGTGATTTTAAGTGTTTGGAAATTAAAAAAAAAATTTATCAATTTTTTAATTATTAAAGAATATTTTTTTTAATGTATATTGTCAGGAGAATGTGTTAAATGATACCCATGGACACTCAATTCCAGAAGGCTCTCGAGTGCGTTGCCGGCCTTTTAAAATCCCATGATCAATTAAGACTATATTGTCAGGAGAATGTGTTAAATGATACCACCGCCAATGGACACTAAATGCCAGTGGGCTCACGAGTGTGTTGCCGGCCTTTTAAGAATTTGTACGCTCTTTGAAGGAGCCTAAGTAAAATTGGTTCTGAAATACCTACCGCCCATAAATACTTAGTGTCAGTGGGCTTACGAGTGTGTTGCCGGCCTTTTAAAAATTGGTACGCTCTTGTCCTAATTATTGTATACAATATTTTTAGATATGACCACACAGACGAAATAACAGCGCTAGACTTTCACCCCCGGGAACAGATCCTGGTGTCGGCGTCTAGAGACTGCTGCATCAAGCTTTTTGATATCACAAAAGCTTCAGCGAAAAAAGCTTACAAGTCTATAACGGTGAGTAAAAAAATTATAGAGCAAAAGCTATCATGAGCAAATATGTGGTCAGCTGTGATTCGAACTTTGAAAAATTATTCTGTGAGTTGCACAGAACATCATTGCTATATCACTCTTGACAGGTGTCAGAAGAAATCTATCTGACAGCTGAAAGTCAATTATAAATCCTTATTTCTGGCTAATGCACAAACCGTGCCAGAGCCATAAAGGAAAAAATCCTTATTTCAATGTACAGCATTTTTATCTCTCAAACACATTTAGTTGCATTCAGTAGAATTGTGGAATCTATGATATTTGCACAGAACACCATTACTATATATCTCTTGACAAGTGTCAGAAGAAATATGTAAGACAGCTAATTGTCAATTATGAATCCTTATTTCAATGTACATATAGCAATTTTTTTCTCTTAAACACAATATATGATGAATAGAGTAGAATTTTAGAATCTATGTTGCACAGAACACCATTGCTATATAACAGCTGTGAAACGAAATGTCTTAGACAGTTGACAGTATATATCCTTATTTCAATGTACATATAGCATTTTTATCTCAAACACAATATGTGACGCATTCAGTATAATCATAGAATTCTATGTTGCACAGAACATCATTACTATATAATTTGACAGGTGTCAAAAGAATTATCTCTCATACAATTTGACGTATTCACTATTTTCTCACATACTTTCATAATATTTTTCAGGACGCCGAACCCGTCCTAAGTGTCGCCTTTCACCCGTTGGGTGATCATATCATAGCTGCAACCACTCACCCCGTGATACGATTGTATGATGTCACCACCAGCCAATGCTTCGTTTGTCCAATCAACTCCCATCACCACAAGAAACAAGTGAATTCTATTCAGTAAGTAAATAAAAAAAGTGCGGGGCCTCATAGCCTAGCGGTCTTATTAAGTTGCAGCTAGGTGAGGGGTACCGGGTTCGTTTCCCGGTTCGAGGGCAAGTTTTAATTTAATTTAAATTTGTTCTCGGCCTTTGGGAGGGTTGTGCGGTACCGGGCGAGTGCTTAAACCGTACATGGAGGACACGGTCGAATTTGTAAAGACAAGCACGAATTATTAAAAAATCCTATATACTTGACGCTGGCTAATGCACAAACCGTGCCAGAGCCATTAAAAAAAAAAAAAAATTTCGTGCGTACAAAGTGCACATGTCAGAAATGAAACTTCTTTGTAAATTAATTATCACTAAGGTAAAAGCCCCAATAGATGATCATGTACCAGAATATGATCACTCCATGTATTTGTATATCTATATTCACACTGTTTGCACACTGTATACATGCTAATGATAACAAAGCGTTTACTGCACAAGACGTTATGCGACAGAATTGCAATCAAAAGTTCTAATATGTACTAAACGAATACATCAACCAATAGCATAGTATTTTTTCTCGATCTCCCTTTCTCACTCTCTCAATCTGTCTCACTATAGCTCTCTCCCACGTCTCGCTCCATGGCACTGTGCGTGATGCGACGTTCGCTCTATCTTACTCTCTCTCTCGATCTTTCTCGCTTGCTAGCTCCCTACTCTCGTTCCATGGCTATTAGTTTCATGTATATTCGCCCTTTCTCACTCTCTCTCAATCGGTCTCAAACGCCCTTTTCTTCGACAAAAACGCTGCACATCTTCGTGACGTTCCGTACAAATTTTACCCTCATGCGCCTAAAGAAGTTTCACTTCAAAAACGTCTCGGACGCCCAACAGAAGAGATAAACTAATCTATGTTGATCTATTTAATTCTGTTATGTTCCAAGTAGCATCTTCTGCTTCAATCATCATCTATCAATCACTTTCAAAAACGGTGATAGTTTGAGGTTATATGCTCACTGTCAACAGAAAATGTCTAAAGCTACGGTTTCCTAGAAAAGCGGTGCCGTTAACTAACGGCCGTAATGTAACGTTGAGTGACGTCACCCATACGTTGTCTATAAATAACATCGGAGTAGGTTTCCTAGAGAACGTTGAGTCTCACCGTAACGTCAAATAGCGGTGCTGTCATTTGCATGACGGCCGTCATAGCGGTGATAAACAGTAGTTCAACGTTCTTCGCGTGTAGCGGTGCGTATATTTAATTAATACAATGACATGGACGACCGAAAATGATGAAAAATTAATTGATTTTATTAAAAATCATGAAGCTTTGCACAATATCAAATCCAAAGAGTACAGACAAGCTCAGATGAAGCAAAATTTGTGTCGCACTACTTTCTAGGAAACCACAGCTTGGCCACCGTAATGACGGCAACCGTAACGGTACCGCTTTTCTAGGAAACCGTAGCTTTACGCAGACTAAACACTGAGTAAAGAGAGGGGATTGGGGAAAGCGTCGAAGCGGGTTAGAGTGAGAGAGGAAGAGCCTGTCTACCGCTGCCGTATGCATGAGAGAAAGAGAAGCAAAACAGACTGCCACCGTAACGCGTTACGTATCCGCTACGTTACGTAACGCGTTACTTCGTTACGTTACTCCCATGAGAAGTTTTCACTTCAAACATTGTTTTCTTATGTTATTTTTCTTACGTTATTTAATAAAAATTACAGATTTTCGCCGAACGGCAAGTACTACGCCAGTGGGAGCGCGGATGGAAGCGTGAAGTTATGGGATACGGTGTCGAATAGGTGTTTTAACACCTTCCGTAACGCACACGAGGGGGAGGTGTGTTCGGTCGCGTTTACGCGTAATAGCAAGGTATAAATTTATTATCAGATTTTTACTAAAAATTGTCTAGCAGTCAGACGAAGTCTTGTGTTAAAAAAATAGGTCCATTTTTAATTTTTTTTGTTTGACATAAAGTTTTTTTCGTAATCTTAATATATATATTTCTTGTGTGCGTGTGTATGTGACTGAACTTCTCTCAAACGACTGGACCGATTTTGATGAAATTTTTTGTGTGTGTTCAAGGGGATCTGGGAATGGTTTAGATTCACAAATCAGCCCGGCAGATGGCACTGCAGTCGGTACTTTCATACTTTGCTTAATATCCTAATCGCTTTAAATATCATGCAGGACAACGTCTGTGGGGTCCACTAGTTACTTATATATCCCTAAGATATATTAATAAAGAAAAACAATATTACCAAATTACAGCTTTTAATATAAATTTATGTAAATTAAATAAATTTGCGTTTAATGGAACAAACTTTGACATATGTCAATACTCAATCATTTCTCATTTTACTTATGTCAATACTCAAAACATATTTGCCATCTGTCGTATATCAAATCTCAAAACATTTGTGCGACATACAAAATGAGGCTTTGGTAATTTTTTTGATTAATGTTTAAAATAATTTTATTATACTTAATTTTAGTACCTACTGACTTCTGGAATGGATTCAACAATAAAGTTATGGGAACTGGCGAGCAGCCGCTGTCTCATACAGTACACCGGGGCTGGTACCACTGGTATGTAACTACCTTTTCGTGAATCCACGAGTGAATATTTTTAGACCCAATATACCCATTATCTATAAAAATGTCTAGGCAAGCAAGAGCACCCGGCCCAGGCGATTTTTAACCACACTGAAGATTATGTGCTGTTCCCGGATGAGGCCACTACTTCACTCTGCACTTGGCATTCCCGGAGTGCGAGTAGATGTCAGCTCATGTCATTGGGGCATAACGGTGCTGTTAGGTGAGGACTTATGACATTTTATGAATTTTATTTTAACTTATGGCATTTTGTTTCAACTTATGACATTTTATTTTAACGTATGACATTTTATTTTAACTTATGACATTTTGTTTCAACTTATGACAATTTATTTTAACGTATGACATTTTATTTTAACTTATGACATTTTGTTTTAACTTATGACATTTTATTTTAACGTGTGACATTTTATGTAAACTTATGACAGTTGATTTGATTTTATTGAGAGGTTATTACTATTATGGTAATAACAAATTAATGGATTTTGATAAATTAGTTTAAGTATTATTTATATTATAATTTATGTAAATTATTTGTTATTTAATATTTAATTTGTGTCAATCGCGAGTCAAATCTAATAAGTTTTTGGACTTATACTAGAGACTGAATATTTTCTAATACAATATTTTATATTCCCAGACATATCGTACACTCTGCTACGGCGCCAGCGTTTTTGACTTGTAGCGACGATTACAGGGCTCGATTTTGGTATAGACGCAATACGCACTAAATAAATGTTGTTTTTGTGATGGATTTTTTATTTTATCCCCTTTATATGTTATCACTTGAAGCATTTAACTCAAAGGAAATACATTTTAAATTGTATTTTATGATTGTTATTATGTTATTTAATTTAGGTCGCGTTAAATATAACTAATTTTCACTGCTCCGGTAATGGCTAGATTGTAAAAAATAAAACTGACGGCGGGTTTGAGATGTGGGAGAGTCTTTACTTCCGTCAATTAATTGCATAATTTGCTTTGGAAAGAAAAATCACGATGATGGCGTAGATAAAAAAATACGAAATTCTTTCAACTAAAACTACCTCGCTTCGAGCGCAGAGTTACCCTTTGTTCTATTACAAAGATTCAGAAATCGGTGGTAAGGTTTGTGTAGATAAAAAAATATTCGAAATTAAATATTAACTAAGGATAATTGTAACTTACTATCGTAATAAGCTACATAATAACGATATAAACGTATCGCCTCAAAGCTTCAGTACTAGAACATTTTTCTAAGTTTGGAGTAGGATTTTATAAAAAAATTTTGCACTATTTTGGAATGTTTGATATTTTATATTTTAAATTCAGTAATTTTTCCCATGAAGTCAACATAGAAATTAATTTGTTAATTTGCGTTGCACGCTAAGGAAACTCGCCGGTAATTTTCAAGTTGCAGAAAAATTAAATATAACGCTTAAGTTTGACATACGTATTATTAATAATTCTGATGCTAGATGAGGATAAAAAAAACAGCTGAAGAAAACCAGCCTCAAAGCTTCAAGGGGCGGATAGTAAGAAACCCTGTCCGAAAACAGAAGTTGATGGATTTGCAGATGGATGTCAGTAGGACAGTAAAAGGTTTTAAATGAAGATTTGGTCTACGGAATTAAAGTAAGGTGGACTTCTTATGCTGTTAAACAATAACAGAGTGTTGTCTTAAGCGGTATCGCAAACCTTACAGTAATATCATATTTATAGATTAAAAATTTTCATATTGAATAATTAAGTACTAAGTAAATAGCATTATCATTGTACACTAGAAGCGAATAGAGCCTGAAAATAAATTCCAAATTGTAATATGAACATTCTCATATCCGAATAGTTTGGTTACTTATGTTCTATTATAGATAACAGAGGAATTGTTACAAAAGGGTTAAGAACCAGTCTACAGTAAGTCCAAGATAGGTTTTGTTTGTTAATCATTGCCAACACTAGCACCCTATTTTAAGTTAGTTCAAAAGACTGTGTTTTAAACGATTAAAGCAGTTGACAAACATCGTCTTAATTACATGAGTTTTAGGGGCCTTCCTAGCCCAGTCCGGACCTTATTAAGTGGACCAGACTAGGTGAGGGCTAGAGAGGAAGGTTGTGATCCTCAGGAAAATTCGAGGACAAGTCTGGAAGTTATATTTAAAAAAAAATGATTGTTCTCGACACGAATATGGTGCGTGTGCGAAGACGACCGGCGCGACGCTTAAGGACCTGTTTAAAATGGAGGACACGGTTTTTCGAATTTTTTTGCTTTTTTTCCTTAATGAATGTACAAGAATTGCTAAATCACTCATACAAACTGATCAGCTCATTTGTCCAATGCACAGAACTTCGGACCGACCACGTAGTTAATTATAACAAAAAAAAGAAAATTGAAGTGTTCCATTATATGAGCCCTCCAACACTACCACTACTAACATGGTATTTATAGGTCGTTACTTATATTGGTTTTAAAGAACCTGCAAGCGCGTTAAATCAGAAGTAATAACTCAAATGTCTTTTGGAGTAACATTGCAACAACACATAATTTAAATAACTTTATCGATTTAAATCAGAGTAACACTACTGAAACTCGTGTTTCATTAATTAGTAACCCTACTCAACAACCGCCACCGAACCTGCCTCGCGTAATTCAGTGTGACACTACTGAACATGTATTTATAGAGTAACCCTGCTGAAATTAGTTTTAATGAACCTGCCAACGCGTTAAATCAGAGTAACACAACTGAAAATGTGTTTATAGACTAATCCTACTGAAATGGGTTTTAATGAACCTGCTATCGCGTTAATACAGAGTAACCCAGCTGTAAGACCACTGACCTGACTGTAAAGTTCGACTGATGACTCTCCCTTCAGCTGATGTCCAGTCAAATATGTGTTGTGACTGCTGGCGATGTAATACTGACTCAATGGTCCAGACATTTCTCGACTTAGCTTTTCTTCATTTTCAGAGGATTTCCTGAAATGGTAATACGAATTTAGGAAGTTGCCCAGCAGTGTTGGCAGTGACTTCAGCGATTCTCATCCCTGAGGTCGTAGCTGGCTCCACCGATAGACTATGGAGCTCGAATGATGACGGGAGCCCTCGGCATGGAAACCGTCCTTGGGCCACTACCACTAGCATCAGTGTCAGCCTCCTGCCCGTTTGCCCCCTTTCTTAAAAAAGTGCTCTATGAGATGGAAAACTCATGATGAAAACCGGCTAGAACCTACACGACGCGTGTTCAGGCACAGCTCGCCTACTTGCTGTTTGGCGTAGGTAAACAGTTTTCGGGGGCTGCTTTCGCGACTAACGCAAGGGCGACTCCTGCGAGACTCGGACCTCGGCTTGGTTCGTCGCGGGCTTGCCTGAAGGGCAGGACGGAAGCTTACTGAATTGAGCCAAGAAGGGGACCTCTTCTTCCTCAGTAAAGGCGGTTTTTTACCCAAATCTGACTTTGCTTTGCCGCACCGGCGGCTTTTAATATGTTAGCTATCGTGTTTGAATCATCCGGATCCATTAAGCCATGTCGGATGATCTATGCCAATAACGACACCAATGGGTTGGATGTATCAACTATCTAGGATTCTGGCAAGTATAAGTAGAGACTAAGCTGCATGGCACACATTATGCAAATTAACAGCTGAGACGGCTGTATAGTGTAAAATTGCGGTATAAGGAAGGAGTTTGTAAGCTGATTACAAAAAGAGTTAGCCAACTTAAGTAAGTGGATGATACCAAAGTAAAGAAAAGTAGTTTCTGGTAATGGTAAGCAGAGAGGAATGGCGGGATTTGAGGCCTATAATAGAGCACTGTACTTAAAACGAAGATTTAAATATAAAAAGTTTTAATCTAAAAGTATCTGAAAATAAGATTAAACCTAGAATCACGGCTATTACTGCAATAAATTTTTGCTCGTAAAGTGAAGAACATCGTAAGGAAACCGACTAGTAAAAGAAGATTACGAAAAAGAAACAGAAGACTGAGGCCCAGGTATAAAAGGTTCTAGCGCCATTTGGCCTGTAGCTGAAATAAGTGTTACAAGTTTCATTACTCACCCAAGATTCCCAGCTCTCCTCTGTTCAGGGACAAACGCATAATTGTCTTTGTCTGATAGAAACCTCACAAACCCCTCGAACGAAAGACAATTATCGGCTCTCAATGTGGGGTCTGGCTCGTGTCTCTAAAAATATGTCAAGAAATTAAAAACCATGTAGTACCATCACTCCAAATCTAGAAAAACTCGGAACAAAGCTCGAAAAGGGGCTTTGAAGGAGATAAACAAATAGCGTATGTACACTTTAGGGGGAACTTCACAGTGAGTAAGTTTACAGTGCAGGCTCCCTGCGTGATATGACCTCCAATAAATTATAAAAATAATATATTTAGTTATCAAAGCCACGATCGCAACCACTAAAAAGTTGGACCCCTTTGGGGCAGAATCAAACATCTAAAAAAGTACAAATAATTATAGACCTAAACTGTCCTCAAGAATTATACTATGAAGTGAAGATTTTAAAAATACAATTAAAAGATTACGATAGTACAAGTCATACAGAAAGACAGGTGTGATGGTGTGTTGTAAGCAGAAACAAAATTTACACGAGATCAGGTTCGAAAAAGGAAACATATGCTTGCTAAAAAATGGACAGGTCATGACCCTAGTGGTTTGGCATCATGGGTCAAAGGGTTCCTTGCAACCCTAAAAATCTGTGACTCCAAAAGGCTTTAGGGCCACAGTAGGTAGAATATAAAAAAACGCATACAAAAAACCTGATAAGCTAAAAGGTCCGCGGGGAGTATAATAGAAAAAGTATCCAATAAACTGAATTAAGTGGCATCGTGTAGAAGGAGACCTGGACGAGGTTGAAAATCTTGGACTAATGGTTTGGTCGAAGCCATAATTTCGACCAAGTGTCATTCGGGGTGTAAGAGCGTGGCATCCAAAATTAAAGAATCCATGATGATAGCCAACCTTAACAAGGTTAATGGACTAAACGAAGAAGAAGAAAAACTTCCATATAGTTGTAATTATCAAACTCGAAGACACTGGACCAGGTAGGCTAGTTAATTCCTTTAATGGAGAAACTTTTTTATGGAGAGAGGAACCTAAAAACCAGTTTTTATCAGCGAACAGTCTCTATGGGGTAGCAAAATGTTCCATATATTGGTATGTACTAAAAAGGTCGGCTACGTAAAATCATATTAAGGGGAAACGAAGTTCGCGGGGGCTTGAACTCTGAGGAAGGTTATTATGGAAAAAAGTTCCACGGAAAAATTTAAAAACTAGTTTTCTTAGAGTGGGTATGTACGTGAAGGTGTGTATGTGGGGTATGCTCATGATGCAGGTGATTTAGCGCTATGAATATTATTAATACTCTTTTTAGGTTTCCGCGATAACTTAAAGTCAAGGCTTAAATATTGGTCATTGTATGTCCGGGCTGTTACTCTCACCTGTATAATATCTTTTAATTGCTGTTCATTCTTGGGCTCCAACTGTCTTGTTTCACAGAATTTTCCAAGGGTAGGAAGAGAGAGGACTCTACCGCTTAGATCTGGGTTAGCACCTGAAAAAAACAATCAGTTATTCGACAGAAGCATTGTATCATTGTATTCACCAGAAACTATGCAGCACTGTTCTGCAGCTTAAAGACCAAGGGCATCGCTAGGGGTGGAGGGAGTGCAGTTAGGGGAAGACTCCTTAATTCTTTTCTGTTTCTTTCTTTTCTTCGATTTCTGTATGTGTTTTATGATCATTTGTCAATCTAATAGGCAAGTAGGCGATCAGCCTCCTGTGCACACGCCTTCGACTTTTCGGCTCCAAAGCCGGTTTCCTCACGATGTTTTCCTTCACTATAATAGAATATTAAATGCGCAAATAGAAAGTCACAGCTTTGGTACAGCCGGGAATCGAACGACCTCAAGGATGAGGGTCGCACGCTGAAGCCACTTGGCCAACACTACAATTGACAAATTACAATTCTGTCATAATTCATGGGTGAATGGTGGATAAAAGTATTACCTGGTAGCGCCGCAGCAGCTAATATGTCGAAGGCCTTTTTCCTTCCCACCTTATCGCTGGGCGGCTCCAAATCGAGCGAACCGTTTCTCGTTAGAAGACCTGTGGAAAAGCAACACTATACAGTATTTATAATATTCTTAACTTAATTTATTAGAATAGAAAATTTAAAGAAATTTTAAGTGTGGTCCCAGAATTTCCTCGCATTGCGATACTTATTCGTTACGGAAAGCACCAGCTCTGGGGTCACCGGTACTATCTACCAGACGCCAACTGAATTCTTTAATAAGCGCCTATGCACTTAAACCTCACGGCCCAAGAGTCTCTAGTCCGACTCCTTAATCTAAACTGTACGATATTTCCAGAAGTAACAGACCACTGCCGTGTAATTTTTTCAAGAAAAAGGTGATTCAATTTTTAAAGCCAAGGCGTCTTTATAGGGAGAGTATTTAGACCATAGGTTTTGACAATTATCAAATATCTTAACTGCTCTTAGTATGACATTATGATTATTAATATATTTGCATGTCTATAAAATCCCGATTAGCCAGCAGATCAAGTGACGCAAGTGGAAATGGATAGGCCGTACATAGAAGAGTGGAGGTCCCTTATCTCGAGGTTAACATAAGAGAGTATGTTCAGAGTGGCAGAGAAAGAATGAAAGTAGCATAAATGCCGTGAAAATGAGAGCGTTACGTGTGCAGCGTGGGTGAAAAGAGTACGAGGATACGAAAGGGAATGCTGAAGTGGCAGAACGGATGAATGAGAAGTGGTTGACACGTAGGATATAGAAGGGAACTACAGGGTGTCTCAAAAGGAAGTTCATATTTAGTTGATCGATTATAAAAAGTAAGTCGTGTATCAAAAAAGTGTTTATTCATTAGTAAAGTACATATTTTGGGAATTTATTTCATAAAAATAATATCGTGCAAATGTATTCGCGTTCGCGGCACTCATTTATTCGAACAATAAAATTACTTATGACGGCTCGGCAGGTGGACTCAGTGATGGCTGCCATTTCGTGACGGATATTTTCTTTCAATTGCGCCAGAGAAGTCGGCTTATTGGCGTAGACTTTAGATTAAAGCCCATAAGAAATAATCCATAGGGGTTAAATCAGGACTGCGTGGTGGCCAATTTATGCTCTCCTGGAGATCAGTTTGCCTGAAAAAATTTCACGAACTCGTGGCAGAGACGTATTGGATGTGTGTGACGTTGCTCCGTCCTGCTGGAACCATGTTCTTTGGTTATAGCCAGGAAAGTTTTGAAGTTCAGGCACCAAGAAGTCGTCTAACTTTTGAGTCACCTGTTAAATGGTGAAGTCAGGATGGGTAGGCCTGTTCGTACCTGGACCAATCCGACAGGAGAAGGTAGTGGTTATAAGTATGCTTAACTGACGAACATGCATGGTGAATGAAAGTCGATGAAGAGAGAGAGCTCTACTTCTTTCGCAACCGTGGTAAGTGGAGATCCATGAAACCTTTCGGGAATAAGGCGTGAAGATATAAACGCCACTCTTATTAATCTAAAGTATTCATCATTTATTCTCTCTTCCAGTTGAGAAGTGGTTGTAATCTTACCAGTTCTAAAAGCTGTTTTGTTCCTGAAGAGTTCAGGTGAGCTTCTACTTTTCTCAGCTCCTAAAAACGGACATCTCCCCCTTGGAACTGCAAGCTGTTCGAAGACATCACGCAGCTCTGACCGCATCACAAGGCTGGAAAAGATTTTATAAATTATTTATTATACCAGCCCTGTGATTCTGTAACTCACTTTTCGAACTCACACAGCGGTTTTCGCATCGGCGGTCGCTCTGAAATCAGTCGTGAAGCAGTCATTTTATGATTTGGCATTCTGATAAACAATAAACTACAAGCTCCCACCTTTTCAGAATGCCAAATCATAAAATGACTGCTTCACGACTGATATCAGAGCGACCACCGATGCGAAAACCGCTGTGTGAGTTCGAAAAGTGAGTTACAGAATCGCAGGGCAGAACTTTGTTTATTTATTAAAGTACACCACATATATAATGCTATATCTACAGTATATGTTAGAAGCTATCTCTTTTTATTTATGACAATTATGGTAAACATAATGTTACACAAAAGTGCGTGCGTACAAAGTACACATGTCAGAAGTGAAACTTCTTTGGCAAACTAATTTTTAAGTCTTGTTCATATTTATACAAATCTAAAACTTTAGATTTTCGAGACTTAGAGGGAGGGAAAAAGGAAGAAAGTGCGTGATGCGACGTTCGCTCTATCCCACCCTCTCTCTCGATCTTTCTCACTTGCTTTCTCCCTACTCTCGTTCCATGGCTATTTGCTTCATGCTACGTTCGCCCTTTCTCACTCTCTCTCAATCGGTCTCAATCGCTCTCAAATTTTTCTTTAACAAAAACGCTGCACATCTTCGTTACCCAAAAAATTTTACCCTCATGCGCCTAAAGAAGTTTCACTTCAAAAATTAAATGCAATAAAAATTACTAGCAAAACAGCAGATTAGGTATCAGGCACTTAACAATGTTTTTTTTTAATTCAAAAAACCAAACCAAGCTCTGGACAAGTAGTGTTTATTCTGTTGTAATCGCGAAGAACACTAATGAGAGCCCGAACTTCTAGGTTGGTAACAGACGGAATTTGGAGAATTCTGCTTTTTTACACCTTGGATAATTTTGTTAATGATTAGCTCTAACGATACAACCTTTTAGGTCTGGGCCTCAGATTTATGTATCTGTCCCGTGATCATTTCTAATAGGCAAGTAGGTGAACAACCATCTGTGTCTGACACACATCGTGATGTGTTTGTCATACGATTTCCTCACGATGTTTTCCTTTACTTCTTTATTCAATATACCAATCCTTTTGATCGTCAGTTAATTATCGTAATTTACATTTACTACCATTCGCAAGTCAAGGCGTAGAGCGGGTAAGAAGAACTGGCAAAACTTTCCCCACTCTTTTATCCCAGTATTGTCATACAAATTTGAACTGGAGCAATTCAATCAGTAGGATCATTTAATAGTCCTCAAATTTATAAAAAGCTTTGTTGATTAATTTTCGTTTAACGAGGGCTTTGAATTTATATAGTGATAATTCTCTAATTTCGCTTGGGAGCTTGTTGTGAATAAATTTCCATATAAAGTGTTTTCTTTTGGACCTGTTGGTCGTACACTCAAATTAGTTCTATTTCGCGTATTATACTGTGAAAGTCACCATTTGTTTTAAAATCGTTTTTTTATACAAGGCTTCAATATATTGACCAGATAGTGTCATAATATTTAATTCCTTAAACTTATTCCGTCCACTCCCTAGAAACACACAAATACCCCAACAGCCCCTCTCCCAAATATGGATTGAACCTCTCACCCGTAATGCCTCGATAACGCTATAAAGTAGCTATTACACAATTTTAGCCGTGTCCTCATCAGTAAACTGTCGGATTTTCTTTACTCATATGCTGCAAGCTCACCTATTCGAAAGAGTCTCTATGTTGGCCCCATTGGAGTTTACTATCTATTGTTATGCCTAGAAAAACAGTTTTGTCAACAAGTTTAGTTCACTGTCCTTAATTTTCAGGTTACCAATATCTCCTTTACGCTATAGTTGTAAATCTAATACATTTTGTTTTATTCTCATTAAGCAATAAGTTATTTACATTAAACCAGTTACTATACGAGAGATGAATTGTTTACATCGTCCAATATACGTTATTCCTATTCACTTTAAATAGAAGTGAAGTGTCATCAGCAAACAATACCATCTCATAACTTCTTGACAAAGAATGGGAGGTCATTTATGTAAATCAGAAATAAGAAAGGGTCGTCCTTGGGGACGCCCATTGATACCTCGAACCCGGAGAGGTGACTCCTTCATTGTACGAGCGAGTATTTTAGGCACACACACAAAATCGTGTGTAAATTTGAGTATTATATAATTTAAACTTTTATAAAAAAATTGTATGTTGTATGTTTGTTTTACAATTGAGATGATTTTATTTTATTTGTTTTTCGTTTAGTTATTATGTGGACTCAAAGGTTCGTAGGCTATATAAAAGATCTTTTTTTAAATAGAACTTTACTTGTGTATTTAATATAACAACGATAGCGTTCATACAATTCGATTCCATTTCTAGAGTACGATTTCTTTTCCTCAAAATAGGCATCAGTTTTGGCGATTACCTATTCATCAGCGCAAAATTTCCCTCTTCTCCTGAGGCCTGAGAAGAGGCAAGCGTCGCTGGGGGCCAAATCTGAAGAATTTGATGGATGCGGAAGCAACTCGAAGCCATAACGGTTTACAAGCAATATCACTTACTTAAAACTTCTAAACAGTGAGACAAAATCCATGAATTCCAGCTGAGTCTCGTACCCCACAGAACCGGTGCGGAGATGCTTCATGTTCTCCCAAAATCGTTCACTTGTTTCCAGTCTTCGTAAACTAAAAATAATTATTAAACAAGGACAATAGATAAAATTTACGTTTAAAGACAATTTCAGTTAATTATGAAATTTAATTGTTTGGCGTAGTCTAAAATTGTGATATACAAGAAATGGATTCAGGAAATTTATATATTTTTATTTATTCACACTTCTGTACATTTATATAACAAAAAAGGGTGCGTGTACTTATTTACGCGCGTAAGAAGTTATACTTCTTTGGCATTATTAAAAATAGTTTTTGATTGCGTGCAAATAATTAATTACAATAAATAAATATTTATTATTATTCTCTTACATAAATTCTATTATTATTCGAATGTTGTTTTTAAATTATGTCCAATGCCGTAGCATCTTCCGTGGGCAACTTTATTCTGTTAATTTTGTATCACGGTGCGCGCGCATCGTAAAATTTCACTCTGATCAATTTATCATAACGCGCCTAAAGAAGTATAACTTCAAAAAAAACATTATACATAAAATGCTTTATACATAACATACCTAATAATTTATTATAAAATAAATAGTATTTTATAATTTATTATAAAATAAATAGTATTTCATAATTTATTATAAAATAAATAGTATTTCATAATTGTAGGCAAGCAGTGTTAGATTATTTAACCAGATTATTACAGATAAATTAGGAATCTTTATCAGGAAATACACGCACAATGTTAATTATCGGAACAAACGTAGGCTGCAATTTCCCCGTACTAAACTATCTAAAGTTAGTAATTCTTTTTTGGGGAATGGGATACTCTTCTTTAATAAAATCCCAGAGGCTCTTTTATCTCTGCCTTTTAATAAATTTAAGAAATGTATCAAAGAAAATCTGTGTAAAAAGGCTTACTATTAACGATTATCTAGTTGATAAAAGGGCCTGGGACTAGTGCTAGACAGGCTGCTTCTAATTAATTTGCGATATTTGTTTTTAAATAAGTGTTGGTTCATGATTTGCTATTTTAAAAGAGTACCCTACTCTCTCTGTCTTCTTTGCCGATGAGTAGGGATGTCTGCCGATTTAAATTGATACCTGTATCTTATATTCCATAATAAACACATTTTATTTATTACTGAACACTTTTTTAAAATACGTTCAGTACTTTTGAGTTAATCAACCTCAAACAAACACCACCGCCAATTTTATTACTTGAAGTAATCTTACCTACTCCTGTTTGGGGATCCAGAAACGAGGCTGGTAGCTGTCAGACTGCTATGACGTGGACCGCATGGTGTGGGGTGGCTTGATGCAGCCGAGTACGAACTGGTAGGAAACATAATATTATCAATAATAACCTGCATGATAATTTAAAAAAAAATTAGTGAATCCGAAAATTAGTGAATCGGTTTAAGAATTGGTGTTATGGAGGGGGCAGGAGGTTCATCTGATGTTTAGTGATATCGCCTATGGACACTCTATGCCAGAGATCTCGCGAGTGCGTTGCCGGCCTTTTAAATATAGGACAGGGAGCAAACGGGCAGAAATGTAAGTGATACCGCCTATAGACACTCTCAATGCCAGAGGCCTCGCGAGTGCGTTGCCGGCCTTTTAAGAATTGGTGCTTATAGGACAGGGCGAAAACGGGGAGGAGGCTCATCTGATGTTTAGTGATACCGCCTATGGACTCTCTCAATGCCAAAAGCCTCGCGAGTGCGTTGCCGGCCTTTTAAATATAGGACAGGGGGCAAACGGGCAGGCGGTTCATCTGAAGTTAAGTGGTACCACCTATGGACACTCATTGCCAGAGGGCTCGCGACTGCGTTCCAGGCCAAGCCGAGGCACCTGCAATATCAATAACTAATTCCAGGTGTTTGGTTGTTTAAGTGGGTTTTGCTCACAGTTCCTCACAGACAATAGTAGGTTGTTGTTAATAGAGGATAACTAACCTGTGTCGAGGTGATGAGGTATACTCCTCCTCACTCCTGGTGCCGGCAGTGCTGTAGCTCCTTGGAGAGCCCTTGAGTTCTGATGAAGATCTGTTCTTCTTAAATTTGATGCCGCTTTTAGTAGAATCAGTGTGAGAGTCAGCGAACTTAATTGGAGTTGAATGAGTGGAGCTGCCGTATATAGATTCTCGACCGCCAAATATCTAAAAAAAAGTGCATGCGTATAAAGTACGCATGTGAAACTTCTTTGTAAATTAATTATTGAGTAATTAATACCCAAATCCCATAAATTAATTTTGCAAGTCTTTCTATATTAATGAATACTAAGGCTAATTAAAAACCAGAACTAAAATTAGTTGTTGTGTGTATAGAAATACCACCATAAATATGGCAATTATCAAATAATATAATAAATTCATGATTATCATAATTGCTAACTTATGTTCACATTTTCTAAAATAGCCAACTGGGTCTTATCAAAAAAGGTCTTGGTTCTGTGCCCTTATAAAATAAATTGTGCGTGTACTAGGTGTACACACGTAAGAAGTGAAACTTCTTTATGATCTTATTTTTCGAAAAATGATCTACTATATGCAACTTTACAGAAATTCGTTAAATTAGATAAAGTTTAACAAAAGGCTTTTATTATCATAGACATGAATACAAATATTTCATTTTACCTTATTACTACGAAGATTATTATAGTATTTCATTAATTGTAATAGAATTATTACTATCATTGAAAAACGTGACGATTTGCTACAAAATTTCTCCCATACGTCGATAAAGAAGTTTCATTCCAACGCCGATAAAGAAGTTTGACTTCAAAAAGCAACATGGCGCGTAACCGAAAAATGTGACGCGTAACGAAAAAATGTTACACTAAATTTTTTTTCAACCTCGATAAAGAAGTTTCACTTCAAAAACCAACAAAAAAATGGTAAGTTAGTTACTTAATAAAATAATAATGATAATGATATGTATTAAAAACACCATCGGTGTTCAAGTATGAATAATTGCACCACAATATTACACTAGCACACTTATTAAAAAAAAAAAAATCGTTAAAACGCTGTACATCTTCGTGACGTTCCGTAAAAATTTTACCCTCATGCGCCGAAAGAAGTGTCACTTAACAAAAAATATATATAGTATTTTTTAATGGCAATTTTCAAGAAGTAAGTATTAAAAATGTATTATTTAGAACATTTAATCATTAATGGTGCACTAATATAAAACAAATACCTTGTTTTGTTTCCTTATCTACATATTTATGTATATATCGCATATGCAGTGAATATCGCAAATGAGTCGCACGATAAAGCCACTAGGCCAACACAGCCTTGCGATTCTGTAACTCACTTTTCGAACTCTCACAGCGGTTTTCGCAGCGGCGGTCGCGCTCAAATCAGTCGTAAAGCAGTCATTTTACGATTTGGCATTCTGATAAGGAGGGAAGTAGCTTGTAGTTTATTGTTTATCAGAATGCCAAATCGTAAAATGACTGCTTTACGACTGATTTGAGCGCGACCGCCGCTGTGAAAACCGCTCTGTGAGTTCGAACAGTGAGTTATAGAATCGCAAGGCTGTTCTCCTAGGCTGTGAAATATATATTAACATACCCGTATAGCATCAGAAACAAGTGGCTCGCAGCAGCAGCCATCTTCATAGTAGAGACCGGTGTACTTGTTCTTCAGCCAAGTCAGACTTCGATCAGCGAGCTTCGTTTGGCTAATCAAGGCTTTGATTACAGAATGGAGACCCACCGCCCATACTCTGAAACCGAAAATAATAGTTTTGGTCAGATAAGTCAACATGTGTAATACTTTTTCAAAATCCCTAATAAATGCGCCAAAACAGGGTCACTTTTCGGTAGAGTATATTTTTGCACTGTGAGGTCCGAATTAAACAAAAAGTTATGGTTTGAAAAAATGATATATCGTATAACTTAATATTATCTTCAATAAACTCAATAAACATCTATAAATAGTATGCAACGCAAGGACTCATCAGTACCAATCTAGTGGATATTATGAAGAAGATACAGGATGTAGATTTTTTCGAATTTTAATAAGAATTAGTAAAAAGAAGTCAATTTTCTTATAAAACGCAAAATAAATTATAACTGCAGGGGTTGAGCTTAGAGACCTCCCGTAGAACAATTTTTTGCAGCTGATGACCTCATCTATGCCCTATTTGCGTTTGATCCACGACTTTTTGGCCACCCTGTATAGGAGTTAGTCTGAGTCTGGTACAGTGGTAGATTGAATTAATATCAAAGAAAAAAAATACTGCATAAATAAAAAATAAATAAATAATTATAATTGCATAAGTTGATCAAAAATGCTATGCAATAGCTTTACCGCGGCAGTCCTCGAGTGCCACACGTTTTTTATTTGTATAAGTAATACATTCTTTCGTGAGGCAAAAGTCTTACCTGAGGGGGCCTTATAGCCTAGCGGTCTTATTAAGTGGCAGCTAGGTGAGGGGTACCGGGTTCGTTTCCCGGTTCGAGGGCAAGTTTTAATTTAATTTAAATTTGTTCTCGGCTTTTGGGAAGGTTGTGCGGTACCGGGCGAGTGCTTAAACCGTGCATGGAGGACACGGTCGAATTTCTAAAGACAAGCACGAATTATAAAAAATCCTATACTTGACGCTGGCTAATGCACAAATCGTGCCAGAGCCATAAGAAAAAAAAAATCTTACCTGAAAGCATGTGGTGGTAATAAAAAGTGTATATGTCTGTTATCACTTAGTGTGTTCCCATACAGAAGTGATATGACATGTGCTCGTTGACTACTGTCTAGACCGTTCCGTTTTGCACTGGCCACCAGCTCAGCTATGTCCCTTGGTTCTAGAAGTTTTCCACCCAGCCGCATGTCCTTGACACATTGGAGATCTATAAATCTGTAATTACCATGACCATTACGAATATTGAACAATAGATGGCGCTATTCGCCATTTGTATAAAACTCAACCATTTTTAAGATTTTATAATGCCCTACATTTAGACATACTTATGATATTATATTATATTATATTATATTATATTATATTATATTATATTATATTATATTATATTATATTATATTATATTATATTATATTATATTATATTATATTATATTATATTATATTATATTATATTATATTATATTATATTATATTATATTATATTATATTATATTATATTATATTATATTATATTATATTATATTATATTATATTATATTATATTATATTATATTATATTATATTATATTATATTATATTATATTATATTATACAGTCAAAATTATATTACGACATCGAAGTGTCTACTCATGTTTGGTCGAAAAAACCGTAAGTCGTAACAGCCGATGGCGTTGTTATTAAGTACCTAATATATTTATTGAATGTGTGATTAATATACTCATGTATAAAATAAATGTAAATTTAGTTGTTTCACATGAAAATTATAATATAAAGACATTCATATGGTTATAATAATTTTTCTACATTTACAAAATCTTTTTTTTTAATAATAGAATCCAGCCGGGACATTAGATTTTGTTCAATATATTCGGTATGTTGTTCTAAACAGCGACGTCGTAAACGGATTTGACATATAATAATAATTGTTATTAATAATATTCAAATGTTTATGTTTAAAACATTATTATATTTATTTCCAACACACTAAAATACAGAATTTACAATATTCTGCACCAATATAGTAATAATAATAATAATAAAAAATTGGCAATATATAGAAAATTTAATCAAATTTAAAAAGTTCGGTCCCTATGCCTTTAATTCTGGAAGCTTGTATTGCGGTACTTATTCGTTTTAGAACCAGCTCTGGGGTCACCGGTATTATCAACCAGACACCAACTAAACCTGCACTTGAACCCCACGGCCGAAGAGTCTCTACTCCAAAGGGAACAAAATCGAAGTCTCTTATATTTGAGCTGTATATTTTCCGCCTGATCTATGCTTGTCTGGGGGAGGAGAGACGGAGCTAAGGAGTCCACATAAGTAGCACCCCAAAGTCTATCCCATCTTCCAAGGGAATGTTTTTAACTGTATCAAAAGTCAAAATCATTTATACATACAGGTAACACAATGTACACTTATGAACGTCAAAAAAGAAATATATATATTCAATGCTTCTAGATTTACTGCCAGTTCTCAAATCAAGGGCGTAGAACCGAGCAGAACTAGCAATAAACTGTCCGCCACTCTTGTTTCTTTAGTACTTGCCTATATAGTATATACCTATTCTTTTTAATTCATTAATTTTCTTATGTAAATCATAGTGAACAAAAATGAAAAAACCTTTCACGGAATGACACAACAGCAACACAATTTCACTATTATTAATATTAATGGGGACGGACACTTGATTTGTGAGTACTGATTAACTTCATTTAATTAATAAACCCTAAATGTTATATAATTCTAAGATGGCCTATCGCCATCGCGTTTTTGCACACGCCTAACGCCATCTATTGCTCAAACAAAAAATTAATAATTAATTTAGACACAATTTAGTCTTTTATTGACATAAATTTTACACATTTAAAGAAAAAAACTTTTTAACCGGATTAAAGTTATGTATTATTATAAATTTACAATTATTTTGCATAATTTTTCCGACGTTTCGCGTGCATTACAGCGTGCGTGGTCACTATGCCAACTTCAATCTGGTAAAAAAGTGTTTTCTTATGAAATCATTTATTCATTCATCTACAGCAGTCTACCTTTTTGTTGGAGGATCGAAGAACACTTGACCATCCTTCCTCCACAGTTGTAATATCTGAATTTTAATGAAAATAAGTAAGACTTCTTACCCCTCTTCTCCAACGACACCAGCCTCCGTCTCATGAACAATGTTTCCAGAGTATTTCAGCGGTATTACTTCTTCCGGGTTATATGATAGACTGATTTCCGGCTGCTGAACATTTTCTGATGGGGTTTCTCCTAGGAAAATAAATTTGTTTTTTTTTTAAATTTATTTCTTCTATAATGAAAACACGTGGAAGATGTACGACAGAATACATGCCGTTAGAATCACCATCGAAAGTACACGAAGACTACCGAATTACACACCGGCAGTTGAATCAATACGGAGGAATGAAGCCCTTGATTCAACGGTGTTACCTGTGGGTTCAGCACACCCTCTAGAAATCGATGAGGTCGAAAGCTCCCTGTAAGGCAGCTGAATACGAAGTCCAAAAACGCTTGGTCGCATTAGAAAAAGAATATTTAAGAAAAAAGTTCGAATTAAAGAAACAGGAGATGGAACAAATGGAGCTTGAAATGAAATTGTTAAAAAGCGAATCGCCGTTGACTTAGCCAGACAGACGGTGAAAAGAGTATCGTCAAATGCTTGCCAGAACAGCGGCGGGAGCAATCAACTGTTATGGTAGTAAACGGCTAAGAAAGCATAGCGGCGAATAATCTATCTCAGGGTGATAGGGAAGAAGACACAGTGCACGCAGAACGCGTAAAGCCATGCATACAGAAAGTGTCTTGGGAAATAGAACGGCCCATATCACCTATCGAAGAGGCCTCCGTGCCGAGAACACGCCCAAGATCGAGGGATGGAACGGCTCAGCGGAGCCTTTGAAAAAATAGCTACAAACAGACCCCCTGTACGACATGCTCAAGATCTGCCGCAGTTTAACGGGAATGTCTGCGACTGGCTTTACTTTAAAGTTGCTTATGAAGACTCCACGAAGCTCTACAAATACTCTAAAGCGGAAAACATGGCAAGATTACGCACATGTCTTACGGGAGCCGTTAAAGAAACAGTCGCCGTATTATTGAGTACTGCTTGCGACCCCGAGCTTATTATCAACGCACTAGATCAGTGCTATAAGCGACCGAAGATTATAATTGATAAAGCGCTAGATGAAATAAAGCGATTACCCAGACCGGGATATACGGCGATTAAATTTAACCAGTTTGCTATAAAAGTGCAAAACATCGCATGGCTATTGAAAAGTGTAAACGATCGTAGCTATACGAATAACAGAGCATTGGATCGAGAAATAGTGTCTACGTTTAACCAACACTACCAGGCTAGATGGAATTTACACACACAGAAGATGGTGGAAGCTACTACATCTGATCTTCGCATTACAGGCCTTCACAGAGTTCCTCAAGAAATGAAGCAGGGAATTAGGCAGCCAACTAAAGGAGAAACTTTAGGGGCCATTATGACGGTTTTAGGTCCGTTAGGCTTTATAAGTTTCTATACCGTAACGGCGAAGATAACTATAGAGCAGTTATGGAGATTGAAGTTAGGATGTGAAAGAGAAATTCCTACTGACCAAGTTACTGAGTTTAAAAAAAGTCGTTGTCTCAGTTAGAAAATGTACAAACACTGTCTTTAGTGGTACCTAGATGGTATATTTACACGAGGGGAGGTGAGATACAATTGCATGTGTTCTATGACGCATCTGAACAAGCACATGCGAGCGAGGCATATTGGAGAATTAAAACCGATGTAATTGACGACAGATTCATCACAGCAAAAGCACGGGTGGCACCTATTAAGTCACAGAGTAAACAGCGGCTAGAGCTACAGGCAGACCTTATCGCAGCGCAATTAGCTATGGCGATTAGAGAAGGCCACAGAATTCAACCAATCAAGATCGTGCTATGGACGGATTCAACGACGGTATTACAGTGGATCAGAAATGATAAAGCGAGGCACCCACCATTCGTAGCACATAGATTGACTGAAATCACTGAAACGACGGATGCTAGTCAATGGCGTTGGGTTCCAACCAGGGAAAATGTAGCGGATGATGCTACAAGAATCACTTTGACCATAAAGCCGACAATGATCGGTGGTTTGTGGGAGCTTTCTTAGGGCCTGAAGATGGCCAAAAAAACTGCGAGCCAAGTGCTGACTATGACCGTAATCGAAAGGAGAGCCAACAGAAACGATCTACCAGTCGATTCTCGCAGTTGAACGGCTGATTAGAGCCCAGCTTCGTCCAACTATTTATACGCAAGCTTAAGGATCGCAGTACCCGATTAAGCGTTAGCGACTTAAAAGAAGCGGAACCTGGGTACGCGAGGCCAGAAAACTTCCAAGACGAAATCGACACCTTGACGAAGGGAAAGCCAATCAAGAAAACAAGTCGTTTGGCTAAATACGACCCTTTCTGGATGAAATGGGTTACTGCGTGTACGTGGGCGGTTACAGACACCGATGCAGAGGAGACGAGAAACCCATTCTATTAGATGGCGTCATACGTTTACAAAGTTGATCGTTATGAAAGACATAGAAGGGCGCTGCACACTAACAACGAACGCGTCGTGAATGATCTTCGACAGAAATATTGTATACTGCGACTTCGGCCTACGGTGCGTAGTATCGCCCGTAGCTGTACATTGTGTGTGCTTCGAAAAAAGGCGCCAACAAAACCTAACTTTGGCTTACTACCTAGAGTTCGAACCGAAGCTCATATTCGACCATTTACAAATTGTGGAATGGACTATTTCGGCCCAATTTGTGTAACGATAGGACGCCGTCATGAACGGGAGCAATATTTACGTGTCTAAGTACAAGAGCGGTAAATATTGAGATAGTTGCATCGCTTTCTACGGCGCGACGAGGTTGGCCGCCAATTATATACTCTGATAATGCGACCAACTTCAAAGGCGCAGACTTAGAACTGAGGAAAGCGATGGAAAAATGGACTCCTGAGATCGAGAATTTATGTCTAGTTCAACGGACAGAATGGCGATACATTGCTCCAGGAGCTCCGCATCAAGGCGGTGCATGGGAACGCTTAATAAGAACAATAAAAGACGCCATTAGAATCGTCTTGACAGAGAAGTACCCTAAGGAGGAAACTTTCAGCACGTTTATGACTGAAATAGAGTACAGTGTGAACGCAAGGCCACTAACGCACGTTCCAGTAAATCCGGACGACCCAGAGGCATTAACTCCAAATCATTTTCTGCTTGGAGCTCCAGACGCAATGCCTATATTAGGCACCTCACCGCACGTTACTAAAAGAAAGTGGAAGACGGCGCAAGCATTAGCCGATGAATTTTGGCGAAGATGGGTTAAGGAATATCTTCCTACTTTAAACGCCAGGGGACACACGCCAAGAATGAAAAGCCCTGTAAAGATCGGCGATGTGGTCATCATTATGGATCCCTTGCTGCCGCGCAATGTTTGGCCGCGGGGAATTGTTACGAAAACGCATCGCAACGAGACGCAACGAGACGACCGGTGACGCGCATCGTTGTCCTATCTACGGAAAGCTTCACGTCATAGGAAGGTTTCGCTGAGGGGAGACTGTTAAGCAGGGTCCACACTATGCCGCGGTAGGCCGGGCGGGTTGACCCGGGTGGACTAAGCCGGGCGGGTACGTTCGGGCCGGCACGACGTCCACACTGAAAACGAAGCCAACCGGGCTATTTCTACCTATATTATTTAGTTTCAACACCAAGACTGGTGATTTAGTTGAAGAGTACTTAAAATGAACAATAAAAAACCCTACTTAAACAAACTGAATCGAAAATAAAATAATTCGTCTACTTCGGTCGGAGGTTTAATTGTAACTGAAGCCGCTCGGGACGCTCGGCACGTCCCCATTCTATATTTTTGTTCGGCTCGGCTCGGCTTCCTTTGATCTGTACCTACTTTATGCGGGTTGGGATCGGCACGGCCCGGCCCGGCATTTTCTAACCCGGCAAAGCCGCTCGGGGCGTCTACATCAACGCGGCTTAGGCCGCCTGAGTCAGCCCGCCTTTTTTTTTTTTTTTCGTGGGGAAATGCGTTAAGCATACCCTCCCGCGGCACGGTTGACCTGGGGGAAGGGTTATGTGGGACTCGCAAACAGTGCATACCCACTAAAACCCCACGGCGCCACCAGCAATCGCCCGGGGCAGGACACGGTAACACGTGGCCTTGTCCGCATCCAGCCACGCGATCAGCCGTTAGTATCACGGTCCTCTACGGCACGAATGATGTGGAATGGACCTTGGCACACAAGGGCCTTTCACATCGGCCAAGTCACCCTGTTTATAAAGCTGGGGAGGTCGGGCACGATGCTTGCAGGGATGCGTCAGCATCCCTTCTTTTCGACGCATGGACCCCTGTTCCCCCGCTGGGCAACTGCGTGCCCAGGATTACACACGGGGTTGCACGGTCACCGCGCTGTGGTCTCCTACGGCACGCGGTGGGCTGCAGGATCATCCTCCCTGGCCCTTTCCGCCTCTTCCTTTTTGTGCTGACGGCTTCACAAATCTCTGGAAGATTTCCCACATGCCGTCACTGTCCGTGTTGTAACTGCTACTCTCATGTTATCGAGGGTACGTCCTGCCCTGTCACGCCCAGTAGAGGCCTCCTTTCCACCTCCATGCTAGGCAATCCTTTAAGGTGTGGAGCGCATATCAACAACACCACGTCACAATGGTGGCAGGTTGGTGCCTCCTCACGCCCGACTACCTTGTGCAGATAGCTGCCGAAACAGCCGTGTCCGGACAATATCTGCACGAGTCGGAGCTGAGGCGGCCCCACCGCCTCCTCACCCATTTGTCGAGAGTGGTCTGACGTTGATGGTGTAGAACCCAGCGCTCGCGTAGCTAGTTCTTCCGCCCACTGTCTTATTGCTTCGTTTTCTTCGGAAATTTTCCACGACTTGATTGCTCCGAGCGCTGGGTCATTACCATTGTGCCTGGCTTCGGCCCTCCTCCAATAAACTTCGCTTAAGGCATCCGCTTCGAGGTGCCAGGGTGTGGTGCCGGCTAACACGCTGCGTCATACGAAACCGTGCGGTACGCCCTCGCGACCCTAATTGCGATTACTCTCTGCGACTGCCTGACGATGGTTTTGTTGTACCGGTTCAGCTTATCCGCCCATATTGGGCACCCGTACAATGCCTTCGCTCGCCTACATTAGCGTATAGCGGCGACACTCTCCACCGGCCCGCCTAGGTTTGGCTATGCGTGAGAGCATACCTGCTGTGGTAGTAAGGTTGGGGGCAAGTGTCGTGAAGTGCGCCTTGAACGTCCACCGAGGATCTAGGACAAGCCCTAGGTATTTGAGTGTGGAGCCGATCAGGATAGATACTCCGCCGACTATAATGCTTTCACCTTGTGGTGGCGCTCTCGGTGGCCGTGAAACATATCGCCTCCGATTTGGCGAGGGCGACTTGAGACCAAGCTTTCTAATCTCGGACAACTCTGGCTACTCCAGCAGTTGCGCGTAATCGCGCTTCCTTGTAATCCTGCCCACAAGCACCACGAGTGTGTCGTCGTCACTCCCGCGACTAGTTCCGCCCTGAGTACCTTGTCGTAGCCGATGTTCCATAGCAGCGGTCCAAGAACGGAGCCCTGTGGAACACCGCATTTGATAAGTCGCTCCTGAGACCATGTTTAGATGGGTAAACGACTCGGCGTCCTGTAAGATACGATGCAATACACTTTTGTATGTACTCCGGTAGCCCGTGATATTTGAGGCCTGCCTCGATATTTTCCCAAGGCAGTGTGTTAAAAGCGTTGGCGACGTCCAACGATATTGCTAAGGCCACACCACCGCGGGACAGCTGCTCTTCGCACACTGCTCGAAGTCGAGCGATAGCGTCTATTGTTGATCGCCTCTTTCTAAACCCGAATTGCGCTTCGTGTATGTTAGGGCCCACAGACTCTAGGTGCTTGTAAATCGACCGGCAATGATCCGCTCGAACAGCTTGCCAGCTTCATCTAGCAGGACTATTGGGCGATACGCTGAGGGTGACTCTGGGGGCTTTTGCCCCTTTCTTAATAGCACCAGTCGTCAGTCTTCCATGCCAACGGGAAGTGGCCATTTCGCAACATTCTGTGAGGAGGCACTGATTCGCACGCCAAGACCACGGTAGGTGAGTCAGCCCGCCCGGCCAACCCCGGCATAGTGTGGACCCTGCTTTACGGACAACGAACAATACAGTTTAGAAAGCTGACGAACGAAGCTGCCAGCCAGATGTTCTTCTAGGAAACGGTCGGCGGTGCGCAGGTAGCGGAAGGGTCGGTCGGTCCCTTTGACCAGCGTGGTAGTTTAGGATTAGTTTTAAGTTATTATTTGTATAACGACCAGATAGATTTAAGCAGCCGTGCCGGACGGACGTTAGTTGTAAGCTTGCTTCGCTATATTATTTTATGTCACCATCACTAACGTTCGACCAAGAAACCGTAACAATTATAACTCCACTCCGAGTTTCATTTCGAGAATAGCGGCGGTGGTTCAGATCGACATCGTACGCTTATACAGATAATCGTCCTCTTGACACTACAAAATATAAAGTACATACTAACCACACTGGGCATTCGGCCTATGTGCAGTTTTACTCCAAGTCAGAAGTGCGCATGCGCGCTCCAGTCTTAAATGAACAAACGCGCCAGCCCACTCTGACTCTCCCACTATGCAGGCTGTTCCGTGATGCATTATCTGAAAAGGTATCAGGTATACAGAGCTATTCTTTTGATTTTCAGCTGACAGCAGATCAGAAGATGAGTTTTGTTACCTGTAATATATGCCTGTCGATTCTATCACCATTCTGCGGTGCTAAAGGGAACATGGTCACTCCATGGTCATGAAATAACGGCTGTACCGGACTGTACCCACTTCCTTCCAATTCATACAGCGCCTCGTTCTCAAAGCTTGCTCCTGTCTTTTGTCTCGAATGGGTGAAGACTGGCTCATCACACGAAGATATAACAGTTCTGAAATTAAAAAAAAATTGAAACTCTGCTGTCTGGACAATCTGGTCTCTAACAGACGCCCTTTCAAAAAAAAACTATTCTCTTTATTTAGTTAAAATTGTGCATGATTTGATATTTTGATAAACAAGAAAAACAGAAATAATCAACGCTATAATATTTTAGGCCTGGGCCTCAGATTGCTGTATTTGATTCATGTTTTGTTTTTTTTTTAAAAATATTTTTTGAAAATTGCGCCATCTATGCTTATGAATAGCTAACTTTATATCAGCGCCATCTGTTTTCGATTTCTGAAAACACTTAAGGACATTGATTTCTGGCATTATTGGTTTCGTTATTAAAATCACTATTCAGAGGCTCAGTTCTCAAATCAAGGGCGTAGAATGAGACAATGAATTCTTTTAAACTATAAATAATTTAGTTTTACACGCTATTAGGAATAAGATAGCTATTTGTTGTCATATGTCTTTAAGAATCCTCACGTATGCGACAAGATATTCCCAATTGTTCCATGTACCCTTGTACGAACACCATCTAACTTCAATACAATTTTATGAAGATGTAAACATCTTCCACCAGAGGGTGTTGATAAGGGTGTGAGGAAATATTTTAAGCTGGGTCCACCCCCCCCCCCCCCCCCCCCCCCCCCCCCCCCCCCCCCCCCCCCCCCCCCCCCCCCCCCCCCCCCCCCCCCCCCCCCCCCCCCCCCCCCCCCCCCCCCCCCCCCCTTTCCCCCCCCCCCCCCCCCCCCCCCCCCGGCCGGGGGGGGGGGGGGGGTTTTTTCGGTTTTTCTCTTCTTTTTTTCGGGGGGGGGGCCGGGGCTCCCCCCCCCCCCCCCCCCCCCCCCCCCCCCCCCCCCCCCCCCCCCCCCCCCCCCCCCCCCCCCCCGGCCCCCCCCCCCCGGGGCGCGGGGGCCCCCCCCCCCCCCCCCCCCCCGCGGCGGGCCCCCGCCCCCCCCCCCCCCCCCCCCCCCCCCCCCCCGCCCGCCCCGGGGGGGCCCCCGGCCGCCCCCCCCCCCCCCCCCCCCCCCCCCCCCCGGGCCCCCCCCCCCCCCCCCCCCCCTCGCGGGGGGCCCCCGGGCCCCCCGGCGGGGCGGGGCACGCGAAAAAAAAAAAAAAAAAAAAAAACAAGAAGCGGGAAGAATGACTATATTTAATAAAAGTAACAATTTAGTTTTTCTTATAAATATGAAGTTGTTATATTTGATTTCAGTTTTCTTTTATACAGGTTGGTCAAAAAGTCGTGGATCAAACGCAAATATTTCACAATCATTGTTTGTAATTCTTCCTAGAAAGATATTAGAGCGACTCATGGCCATATGTAATACCTTTTCAGAATCCCTATTAAATGCGCAAAAACTTGTCATACAGGGTCACTTTTTGGTAGAGTAATTTTTTTCACAGTGGGGTTCGAAGTAAACAAAAAGTTATGATTTGAAAAAATTTATATAGTATAACTTAATATATCTTCAATACACTCAATAAACAACTATAAATAGTATGTCTAACGCAAGAACTCATCAGTACCAATCTAGTGGATATTATGAAAAAGATACAGGATGTAGATTTTTTCGAATCTTAATAAGAATTCGTAAAAAATGACAATTTTCTTAAAAAAACGCAAAATAAATTATAACTCTGCAGTGGTTGAGCTTAGAGACCTCCCGTAGAACAATTTTTTGCAGCTGACGACCTCATCTATCCCCTATTTGCGTTTGATCCACGACTTTTTGGCCACCCTGTATATACTTATTAATAAAATGGACTTATTTTTTCCGTTTCGTATATTTCTGTATGTATGTTGTCAGAATTCTTATAAATAAATAACTTACTTCAAATGATCACCAAACACGGGGTTACAAATTCTGGCCAACGCATGCCGGTGCTGATGGAAGCTGGCTATGTGATCCATGACTGCTTGGGTCCGGTACACCTTCTCCAAATTCAGGAGACCTTCGGGACCAACTCGCCTGAACGCTTGCTCCCCTTCCTCATCGAATGAGGCTATGTACTGAATATTACAAATAAAATTTTATCCACTAGATTTTTTATAGGACTAGTCTACGGGATGCCCATTTTTATGGGTGCGTTTCCGGCCTTTGAGGGAGGAGTATACTATTTAAACAATTGGAGGTTCTTTCCCCGGGAGTTGATTCAAGAGTTCGCAAATTTACATTGACTGCCAGTTCTCAAATCAAGAGCGGAGAAGAACTGTTAATAAACTCTCCGCCACAGTTTTAATCGCCAAGTTTTTTTTTTTACACAACGTTTGTAAGGAGCTGCAACCCTAACACCATGTTCCACACTTTCAAAGAGTGTTTATGATTTAGGAGGATTTTGCGTTGAGATAGGTTAGTTATAAGCATTTAAAATGCTTATAATTAGCATGAAAATACTTGTATACATAAATGGGCAGACCCTTGGCCATAACCTGATGTTAAGCGACATTGGCAGGCCGCTTGAAAGAATACATGGTGTTTACTGACTGACTGATGCCGATTGACCCCACATCTCTAGGCAACTCTAAGCTGCGCGGAAAGGGATTGGTCAGCAGCATTTAAGGATTTTATGACGTGACGTCTAAATAAATCGACGAACGCCAGCTGCACGAGTGAAAAAGCGTCATATTGTCACGTTACGCTCATTGTCCCGTTACGCTTATTTTACGCTTCCGCCGCATTTATCTCTCTTCCATATGAAGGCTTTAAGTATGCAATCATTTCATCAATGTTTTGTTGTTACTTTAAACTATCGTCCGTAAACCAACTTTACAGACAATAAAAAAATAAATAGATCAGTGGCGCTACAACCTCTTTAGGTCTTGGCCTCAGATTGCTGAATCTGTTTCATGATGATTATAAATCTAATAGGCAAGTAGGTGATCAGCCTCCAGTGATACACACGCCGTCGACTTTTGGGTCTAAAGGTGTGCTTACACGGGCAACTAAAATTGCTGAATTCCAGTCAATACTCGTCAACTATGACGTCACGACTACATCAAGCAATTTACGGCAACGGCAACAAGCATCAATTCTGCGCAATACAATATTGAGCGATATGGCGCAACTTCATCAACTAGGCAATACTGTCCTACACCAGCATTTCAGTATTCGCTCGCTATGGACGACATTGTTCTTGCTGCGGCGGCTTGTAGCGCTTTTTTTATGATTAATCAAAAACAAAAAAGAAAGAAAAGGAATAGGCGTATCTGGGTGCGATAGTTTTTGGCAAAGAGGCCGCAATTTTCATTGTGTAAAGAGTTAGATGATATATTATTCAAAAACTTTACTAGAATGTCACGAACAGACTTTGAATTACTTTTGAATAAAGTAATTAGAAATTATTATTATTTAGACCTCTTGCTCTCCCCGCGGAAGCAAGACGGCAAGCCGCAAAACAAACAAGTGCGAATGAGATATATACAAAAAATTTCAATTTTTGTATATTTTTTTGTGAATTTCCAAGTCCATTGGATATTCGTCAATTCGTAGCTGCGACATTGAGCGATATGAAATATCTGGAGCAATTAGAAGCAATATCGCCGAAATAATTTATTGAATTTATTGAAATTGCTCCATTAATTGCTCCAGATCGGTCCATTCGTGTTGCCGTGCAATTATTGCCCTCGTGTAAGCGCACCTTAAGACATGTCGGTTTCCTCACGATGTTTTCCTTCACCGTTCGAGCAAATGTTAAATGCGCACATAGAAAGAAAGTCCATTGGTGCACAGCCGGGGATTGAACCTACGACCTCAGGTATAAGGGCCGCACGCTGAAGCCACAAGGCCAACACTGCTCCACAGAAAATAATTTTTCTTAAATTATTATTATAGTCAAATGCTGGGACTCTGTTTCTGTGGGTCGATGAAGCTTTTGCTATGCTTACCACTTGCCTGGCAGGCTCGCTCCGTGACTCCCGCTTTTCCCGTAATGGACTTGTGGTGTTTTGCTCGTTCCTTTTACTGCTGTCGCGTCTGCTATCTCTTTTTAACGATCCTCTAAAAAGAAAGGAGCTTTTTAAGAATTTTTTTTCACATATATATAGTAATTACAATATTCTTAAACTACATAGTAATAATAATATTTGTAAATAGTTTGGTCCCTGTGGTAGTGTACCTATTGCTGGCATTTACTAGTTGTATTGCGATATTTATTCGTTAAGGAAAGAACCAGGCTTGCGATTCTGTAACTCACTTTTCGAACTCACACAGCGGTTTTCGCATCGGCGGTCGCTCTCAAATCAGTCGTGAAGCAGTCATTTTATGATTTGGCATTCTGAAAAGGTGGGAGCTTGTAGTTCCGCTGTGTGAGTTCGAAAAGTGAGTTACAGAATCGCAAGGCAGCTCTGACGTCACTGGTAGTACCAGGCGCCAACTTAAATCTTTAATTAGCACCTGTCTTTTACTCTTATGTTATCCATTGGATCGTTTTTAATCTTTTAATCTGAAATACATATTATATTTATTTTTAAAGTTATACTTCTTTTGGCGCGTAAGGGAAAAACGATGAGAGTAAATTTTGATGATGCGCGCGCACACCGTCACAAAAAACCGACACCCTGAAGTTAGCTATAGTCAAAATTTTAGTTTTTCTATTGTTAGTGTCGTTTTTCTACAAACGTAGAATAAAATTTTTCAAACGATTTTTATCTTGTTACGCCAAAGAAGTATAACTTCTAACGCATGTGTACTTAAGTACACGTTTTATTTTTTAAGCTCTAAATTATGTAGTTATACTAGCAGACCGGCCAAGCGTTGCTATGGCTAAGGTTTTTTGTTATATTACATAGTAGTAAACTATTCAAGGGAATCGGTAGGAGAACACCAGTCATGGGGACCACCATGCTTTATTGGTGGTAATGCCATTAAATTAAAGCTTATGTGAAACGTTGGTACTTTCAACACAGCGCCATCTGTTAGAATTGTGATTTGTGACTATCAAATAATTAACAAATGTTTTGCAATAAAATAATATTGCGGGTATAAATTGAGATGTAAGCTATCCTATCTTTTAAGTAAGGTAACCGCACACGGTGTGTAAATTTGATTGAAATCAGTTCAGTAGTTTAGGAGTCCATAGCGGACAAACAACGTGTTTGTTATTAAACAGCTTCTACACGTTGTTTTTTATGAAATATTTTGTGTATTCAAGTGGATTCAGGAATGTTTTTTTGTTTACGTACAGGACAACAAAAATTTAAAGCATATAACAAAATTATATATTTAATTATTTACACAACATATTATGTTTTTCTCTTATTTTATTTAGACAGAGACCACGGATCTCTTCTTACTCTACGTATCTATCTCCACTTTCATTACGTTCACCATTCATGCTAAGTACTTTTGACTGGTCCCTTCTCTAGTAAGTCCTTTGGTCCAGGTACGAGAAGGGCTACTTCTTCTCTACCCCATCAACGATTGCCATGTCTACTTGTGAACCACTTCTCATTCATCCGTTCTACCACAACAGCATTCCCTTTCGTATTCTCACCACTACGTCCTATTTTAACCCATGAATACTTTTAATAATTAAGTTCTTACCTGTCTTTTGTTGATTCCCTTTTAAAATCTCTTCTGTGTGTTGGCGTTGCAGCCACGGAATTACCTGTGAGCGATGGTGTCGCCGCTAATATTTCCCTGTAATTATATTACTTTTAACAACAAACTAGTTTAGAATTTTGGCGATTATAATAATAGAAAAGGCAGTGTTGGCCTAGTGGCTTCAGCGTGCGACTCTCATACCTGAGGTCGTAGGTTCGATCCCCGGATGTGCACCAATGGGCTTTCTTTCTATGTGCGCATTTAACATTTGCTCGAACGGTGAAGGAAAACATCGTGAGGAAACCGACATGTCTCAGACCCAAAAGTCTACGGCGTGTGTATCACTGGAGGCTGATCACCTACTTGCCTATTAGATTTAAAAATGATCATGAAACAGATCCAGAAATCTGAGGCCAAGACCTAAAGAGGTTGTAGCGCCACTGTTTTTTTTTATTTATTTATTATAATAATAGAAAAATAGTATTAATAATGAATAATACAATTATGTTTAGTGTTTTGTTTTTTTTCATCATGTTCATGCAGACGGCTCACGTGGCTGTTCCAATCAGCTGATGATGCTACGCCAACAGCTCACAAAAAAATGAATGTGTGAATAGGTGTAAGTAGTAAGATATAACAATAAATCAGATTTGAATATTGCTGTCTTATTCTCGCTCCCTCTCAAAGTGGAGAAGACTTTCAAGCCCTTAATTATCGTGGGGATAACCGATAGCTTTAAAATAACTCACACAGCGGTTTTCGCATCGGCGGTCGCTCTCAAATCAGTCGTGAAGCAGTCATTATATGATTTGGCATTCTAATAAACAATAAACTACAAGCTCCCACCTTTTCAGAGTTCAAGTACATACAAAAAGTACTTTTTAAGTTGCCGAAATTAGTTGAAACTGCGGAGCTGTGTACTTTGTTTTGTCCTTGCCCGTAACGTAATGAAATCGACTGTCAGTTTTCGATTGCATTATCACGCCTCAACAAAATATGAATAAAATTACAATATAATTACTGGTGCGCCGAAAGACAAACGAAAATAACAGACTTTTCGCAATAGCGATCAAATAAGAATTGTTTTTTATGTAATTACTAACACTAGTCTAAAATAAACTTTTTCTTTTTCTAATACAGATTTTTCTTCTTTCTAACGACAACACTTTGTAATGGCAAAATATGCACAATTGCACAGTTCCTTGAGTGTCGTTATATAGAATTTACACTGTATGTATTACAATATTCCTACATAATAATAATTTATTAAAAATTAATAAATTGAAACAAATTTAAAAAATTGGTCCCTGTGAAAGACCTTTAATGGTGACATTTCTTCGCCTTATTGCGATACTTATTTAATTGTAACTTGGGACGTAGTGAGTTTTTAAAATACATTTTAAATTTATTAAATATATTCAGGTTAATGTTACTTCTAGAGGATATGAACGCAAACACGATTTTTTTGTTTCAAGTTAAGGGCCTTTAAAAAAATGTTAATTGATGTTCCCATTTAATTGTCATTAAAATATTAAAAGTGTCGAAAATAATGCAATTTAATTTTTTTTACTTATTTCTTCGATAATAAAAACACGTGGCATTTTAATTTACAATTCGTCATTTTAGATTTCAATAAATTATTTTGCATAAATATAAAATACTAATATTTCGTAAATTCTCTTTACGAAATTACATATAACACATAACATATCTTTCTTTTTCCCTCCCTCTAAGTCTTGGAAATCTAAAGTTTTAGATTTGTATAAATATGAACAAGATACTTAACAATATCCAAAGACACTTAACATCAGGTGACCCTGATGCCCCTGCCCTGCGATTCTGTAACTCACTTTTCGAACTCACACAGCGGTTTTCACAGCGGCGGTCGCGCTCAAATCAGTCGTAAAGCAGTCATTTTACGATTTGGCATTCTGATAAGGTCCCTCCTTGTAGTTTATTGTTTATACAAAAGGGAGTTACAGAATCGCAGGGCTGTTCTTTAAAAACAATACCAGCGCTGGTTAGTACAAAATACGACAACCCTCGAAGGGTTCAATTATTACGTAACTAGAATAATTATAATAATTAGTGAGTAATGAGGGGCGCAACTATGGAAGTAATTAAAAAACAACAGACGTATGTGTGGGGTCGTTCGTGTGTAAAGTGTTTCTATGATTAATATCTGTATAGAGCTGAATAATTGTCTATGCGCGAGTTCACTTCGGTGTCTAAGTGCTAAAGGTGCGTACAGAGTATATAACATAACATGTTATACAACATTGCTATACAACATGTTTCAGATAATGTGGACACTGAATGTTATATAACATGTTAAAATAACATGTTATTGATATGTATACTAGGACGAACCCAGCATCAGCTATGTTTTTTTTGTTTTTCTTTTGTTATTTAAAATTACAACAGTCGCTGCCGCAGCCAGCAAGACGTCCTCTCGTGTCGACATTGTGGATAGCACTGGAGAACGACAAACGACAATGGTACCCTTTTAGTTTGTTCTTTGTTCCTGTTTAGTTTCTTTTTCTGAACAACTATATTTAATACATGTACCTATTTTTGCACTTCTTGCTTATGTAATTTAATACTTTTTTCTTTTCTCACAGTGGTTGCCTGGAAGAGATCGCTCGAAAGCGATAAGGCCGCCAGTTGCTCTCCTTTTTATTTAATTATGTCAATTGTACTATATTAATGTATATGCAACGAAGTGTTAATAAATAATAAATAAATATATAACATTGTTATATTGCATTGTTATTCTAATGTGTACAGTATTGTTTTATGTTATAATGTTAAATAACAAGGTTACATAATGTGGACGTGTTATAAAACACAAGTTATATAATATGTTACATAGTCTGTACGCACCCTAAGACACTATCTGGTCAGTATATTCTTGAAGCCTTGTTGTATGTACAAAAAAATATAAACGATTTTAAAACAAATGGTGACTTTCACCAGTGTTATACGCGAAATAGAACTAATTTGAGTGTACGACCACCCAGGCTCCAGAAGATAAACCACTCCCAAGCGAAATTAGAGAATTATCACTGAATAAATTCAAAACTCTCGTTAAACGTAAATTAATCAACAAAGCTTTTTATAAATTTGACGATTATTTAAATGATTGATTTGCTCCAGTTCAAAGTCTCAGTATTGAGTTATACAAATGTATGACTCAAGATTTTGCACCACCACTATGTGGAACCCCACTGCCCCCTGTTAACGGCAACGCACTCGCGAGCCCTCTGGTATTGAGAGTGTCCATGGGCGGTTGTAACAAAAAAATAAACGCCAGCTTAATAATAAACTATGTAATAATGTGGTGTTTTAATAAATTAATCTTAAAAATCACTAGAAACAAAATCAGAATTGCGAGAAATATATATGTGTGTATATTATCACTAACATCTTTAAGACACAAAGCATTTAGTTTTAAAAGCAAAACGCAATAACAGCTCTGTGTAAATCCCTAAAAAGACGGAGGAAAATTCGTGGAAATTATTTTTCGCGATTTATTCTGTGCAATTTGAGTGCTCATGATGTGATAATCTGTCGACTTTGGCTAAAAATGTCAATTTTTGAAGTTATACTTCTTTAGGCGCGTTATGAAAAATTGATGAGAGTGAAATTTTACGATGCGCGTGACACATAATTAACAGAATGAAGTTGCCCACGGAAGATGCTACGGCATTGGACATAATTTAAAACCAACATTCTAATAATAATAGAATTTATGTTACAATTAATGTAAAAGAATAATAAATATTTATTTATTTAATTTTTCAAATGTAAACTGAACTTTATTGACTATAATGACTCCTTTTCCAGTCTTTGATTATTTAATTGTAATTAATTATTTGCATGCAATCAAAAACTATTTTTAATAACACGCGTACATAAGTACACGCACCATTTTTTTTAATTTCTACATTCTAAATTTCTTATATATTTTCCAGATCCCCCAGCATCTTTTTCCTGTTCTCAGAACTCTGAATGCTCGCTGGAAATTTATTTATTTAATAATTTAAACAGTTTATGCAGTATACAAACTACTTACTGTATTGCACATTGTATTTTAATCGTACAGTATTTATTACTCGATAATAGAACAGCGCACAAAATAATAACTCACAATTTAAACATAACCATAACATACAAGTGAAACACAATAAATATATATTTTTATATATATATTTGCACCCTTATGATTTAGGGGGATGAAAAGATGTTGTCCTATTCGCAGACCTAACCGATATGCACAAGAAATTTCACGAAAATCGGTCCAGCCATTTCGGAGGAGTTTAATTACAAACACTGTGACACGAGAATTTTATATATTAGAGTTTAGTAACGTTTGTTAAGTTAGAATTTCATTTAGCCCTTGGATGAGCGGAGTACTCCTCTATTGGATCTCCAGCTTTCTGGCCGATCGGAGCATCAAGGTCGTCATCGACGGAGCATGTTCCGACCTTAAACCTGTGAACGCTGGGGTCCCACAAGGCTGTGTTCTATCCCCGACCCTGATTATTCTGCATATCAATGATATGTTGCAACTTAGCAACATTCATTGCTATGCGGATGACAGCACTGGGGATACTTTTACACTGGCCGGGCATTTCTCGGGCAGTTGTGAGAGTACCGGAACAAACTTGTGTCTGAAGTCGAAACTCTACACGTGGAGTCTCAGACTGGGGCAGACAAAACCTAGTCCAATTTAACCCCAAAAGACACAAGTTTGCGGGTTTCAAAAAAACCCCTTTGGCGCTACTCCTCTTTTCGAAAACCTCTTCTTAAAGCCACACCAGCATTGGAATACTTGGCGTTGACATATCGAACACGTTCAGTTTCGCGGTCACGAGGGAAAGGCTAAATTAGCCTCCAAAAGCTTGGTGTGCTCAGCAAGGCGAGGCGGTACTTCACTCCGGGCCACCATGCAACTATATAAAGCGCAAATTCGGCCCCACATGGAGTACTGCTTCCACTTGACCGTATACAACGCAGAGCGGTTCGAATCGTCGACGACCAATCCCTCTCCGAGCGGCCCTTGATCCCTTTGGCGTTGCGTAGAGATGTGGGATCACTCTCACTTCTACGCATTTACCATGGAGAGTGTTCAGAGGAGTTGTTCGGAATTAATACCTCAGCTGAGTTTCATCATCGGAGTCAGCCAGTCGAAATTCCACCCGTATCACCTCGACGTCCGCCGTTCCACAACTGAGCGTTTGTCAGTTTTGCCGGCCCCAACTAGTGGAATCAGCTGCCCACTGAATATTTCCGAACCATCGACTAGGGTCCTTCAAGAAGCTCCAATTCACCCACCACTCGCGAGCCCCTCTGGAATTGAGAGTTTAATGGGCGGCGGTAAATTTAAATCAGGTGAGCCCCTGCCCGTTTGCCCCCGTTCTAAAAAAAAAAACCCTGATGAATAGGTCTCCCTAGACTTAGTTCAGGGGCTCAAATACCTGCTAAAACTATGTAACTTTAAATTTACTATTATGTATACAAAAGTAGTGATAAGTTTACTAGAATAGAACATACGCATAATGTTAATACTCGGAACAAACGCAGGCTGCATTTTCCCCGTACTAGACTATCTAAAGTTAGTAATTCTTTTTTTGGAAAAAGGAATACTCTTCTTTAATAAAATCCCAGAGGCTCTTTTATCCCTGCCTTTTAATAAATTTAAGAAATGTATAAAAGAAAATCTGTGTAAAAAGGCTTACTATTAACGATTATCTAGTTGATAAAAGGGCCTGGGACTAGTGCTGGACAGGCTACTTCTAATTAATTTGCGATATTTGTTTTAAAATAAGTATTGTTGATGATTTGCTATTTTAAAAGAGTACCAAGAGGTTTTAAGCCAGCTTTTTCGTTCCTACACCCTCTGTCTTCTTTGCCGATGAGTAAGGATGTCAAATTCAAATTTAATGACGTGGAATAAGTGATACCTGTATCATATATTCCACAATAAACATATTTTATTTATTTATTTAAACTTTTTATTGAATTTAGATTTTTTTGATTAATTTACAAGTCAGTGACTTTGTCAGTGCTTAGACAGATCATAGAGTTCATGACCCTTGAGCCTGGAAAGGTTCATGTCTAGAAATGATTTTATTGAAATCACGTAGCTTTTGTTAGTAGATTCAAAGTTATGAGTGACGCCTTTTAACTAATTAAACACTTAAGAATATTAATAATTAAAATTCAAAATCATTTATTCATTTAGGTAACACAATGTACACTTATGAATGTCAATAAAGAAATACATATTAAATGCATAATTTTACATTTACTGCCAGTTCTCAAATTAAGGGCGTAAAACGGACGAGAAGAACTGGCAACTTCTTTGGCAACTTGAATGCTGGCATTTACTAGTTGTATTGCGATACTTATTCGTTAAGGAAAGCACCAGCTCTGGGGTCACCGGAAGTACCAGACATAAACTTAAATATTTAATAACGCATGTGCACATGAACCCCACGGCCCGAGAGTCAAGAAAAGGAACAAAATCAAAGTTGGAGGATACTCTTATGTTTGAGCTGTTTATTTTGTGAAATTATATTTTATTTTGGAATTTTTTGAAACTTTTTAAGGGGTTTTGGGAATTTTTGAAGTCGTTTAGATTGGTATTAGCTTTTGATAACGCCCTTAAATGAGGTATACCGTATGGTTAAAGTTATTTATTTTTTGTATACATAATCTGAATTTTAATTTTTCCCTAACTTGCCAAACGAAAACTTCAAAAAGTTTGCAACATCGTGGTGGAAACAGAAGCAGGACACACTTTTCTATCCACCAAGGAATATTCGAATTAGAATTTAATGAAGATGATTTGTAATTTTTTGTTATGCATAATTTATAATTGTTTCATTTAAATTTAATATTGTTTCTTGTTTATCAGTAAGAAGTGCAGTTGGTAGCGAGTTTATTAAACTTGGAATAAGATGGCCTATATGTTTTTTTTGTCCATATAATAATAATCTTTATTTATTCTCTCACATATACATACAAGGTTATTATGATTAAACTAAGATGACAACATTAGGAAGTGTATGTGAGAGACTGGTCTCCGTAACAGGAGACCTGAGTGACAGATAGCCAGCCTCTCCACCACCAGACCGGAACACGTACAATCAGGTCATTGTCATAAGATACAATAGAAGAAAATAAGTATTAAGTGCTAAAAGAAAACATTGCAAACGGAGTCGTAAAAATAAATTTGGTGTGTGTTTGTGTGTGTGTATGTGTGAGTGTGTGTGTGTTAAGTGTGTGTGCGTGCGTGGGTGTGTGTAAATTTGTGGGGGAGTTGGTGTGTTTTTAATTATTTCAAGGGAATTTTCTGAAAATATATTGTGAACACTGGCGCCTTTGTTAATTTAAATTTTTGTTATTTTTAGTTTAGTTTTATTTCAGTTATTTTATAGGCTGCAAAGACCAGATTATATTATAGTCACCAGAAGAGCTTTTTTAACATTTAATTATACAAGCATCCGCAGTATACACTGCACATAATTATATAGAAGAAAATGACAATATAAGAAAAATCCTCTCAATTTCCGTCTCCTCTCAGCCTTGGGAACGCTAGGAAAATCAACTATTTTCTCTTACCTAAGCTCACGTAAGAAGGCACCAAAGAAGGGTATCAGTCGACACTCAGCCATTGCCAACGCTCGGCTGAGGGCTCTCTCGTACTCAGCTGACAGCAGCGCAGCGGAGAGGAAGTCCAGAGCCGGTACGGGCTCGTCTGATATGCTGAGCCAGAATGGTTTCAGCTTATGGGACCTGAAATTTAAATTATTGTTAAGTTCGGTGGCGGTTGTCGGAGAGATGTTCAAACACGAAATTGGATTTTGAAATAATTTCATTGGAAATTGGAATGTATCATTCAATAAATGATTATTTACGTGAGATACTGTAGATGATATTGTTACGAGCTAGGGGATCGGATAGAAACGCCGTAAATCTCTTCAAGGGTTTATTTTCAATTAAATCTACGAGGAATTTGTTAACACTAAAAACTGGAAATTTCGCACAAAAATTCACTAAATACACACACAAAACACTGTCACTAATTACTCTAATAACACGCACTTCACACAGTACTCGTATTCACTTTTCTTCACTATATTCGCACTTTGTCACTCCGGTGTTTATCGCTTGGTATCGCATTCAAAACTGAACTAATCGGTCGCGTTTCGGCTCGCTTATATACCCTGGGAGCGATGTTCGAGAACTCTCTAGGCGGCAGTGCAACTGAGTAGCGATCGCACAATTCTAGAACGTGCGTACTAGCTATCTCTTTCGCACATTGCTCCGTCCTTGTCGTACGGCGTTCTAGAGTGCTCGGTCTAGCTTCGAGAAGGTTCCGATCTTCCCTCTCTCTCGCGTATCGTTCCGTCCTTGTCCCACACCTAGAAAATTCGTTCTAGAACATTCCTTCGTCAAAGGGGTATAACCAGGCCTGAAAACGCCTGAAAACGGGTTTCCTGAAAAGTGTACCATTCGACTACACGTGTTCTGAAACGACCTGAAAAAATGTTTCAGGCTCCTGAAAACTAGGGTAACATTATGTAAATTGCGATTTTCTAATATGTGATTGACCCTCCCCTGAAACGGTCAGAAATCACATTTCAGCCTGCTGAAAAGTTCTCTAAGTAGTGAAAAAATCTAAAAACGTTGCAGTCGACCCGTCTTCGTAACACTACCCCCTCCTTAGACATGCTCGTCCCGAGCATCATTACTTCCTTTATAGGGAGCCAATCGATTTATGTGAACGACTTTCGGTTTGCTTCTTAAACCACTCATTTTCTTTATCCGGTAAGTAACGTCATTAATCTTCGTGATTATCGTGTATGGACCATCCCAGTCAGCTTGAAGCTTTGGTGATTTGCCTTTGCGTTTTGTTGGATTATGGAGCCATACTTGCGAGCCTTCTTTAAATTCTATGTGATTCGTCTTTCTGTCATACCTAATCTTCGTAGTCTCACTTATTTTGCTTTGTGATGCTCGTACGTGTTCATGGATTTCATGCAGTTTATTACGCAAATCCGCAGCATATTCTGTAACACTCTCCGGGGTGTCAGGTGGTCGTCCCGTTACAATGTCTGCTGGTAATCTAAGTTGTCTCCCAAACATGGCTAAAGCTGGTGTATTATTCGTGGTTTCATGAACCGCAGACCGGTATGACATTAAAAATAATGGAATATACTTGTCCCAGTCTTTTTGATGGCTGTCCACCAGTTTTGCCAAGTGCCTTTCCAAGGTTTGATTAAAGCGTTCCACCATTCCATCTGACTGTGGGTGATATGGAGTAGTCCGCGTCTTATGAATTCCCATTAGTCGGCATACTTCTTGAAACAATAAAGACTCAAAATTTCTCCCCTGATCACTGTGAATCTCTAAGGGTACTCCGAATCTAGAGAATACGTCATTTACAAGTATCTCAGCTACTGTAACTGCCTCTTGATTGGGAATAGCGAACACTTCGGGCCCCTTCGTAAAGTAATCCATAACAACCATGATGTACTTATTTCCTTTTTCTGTTAACGGAAATGGTCCAGCTATGTCAACGGCTATCCTCTCCCATGGAGCTCCGACATTGTATTGCTTCATACCAGCTCTAGTTCTCGTCTGTGGGCCTTTGACTGCTGCACAAGCCTTACATTTCCGAATCCAGTCTTCCACATCTTCACGGCAATGTATCCAATAAAATCTCTCTTTAATTTTCAGAAGAGTCCTTTTTACTCCTAAGTGTCCGCCCGATGAGCCATCATGAAACATTTCCAAGATGTTGCGAACCTTGGATCTTGGCACAACTAACTGTAGATGAGATGCATCCCCTCGAGTGTTTTCCCATTTGCGACATAACACTCCATTATGGAGAACTAAGCTATCCCATTGAGCCCAGTAACTCTTGGTCGTGGTGCTAGTAGATGCAACATCATTCCACCGCGGCTTGATAGCTGAAGATTTCATCCAGTCCAGAATTGGTTTAATGTCAGAATCTTGTTGTTGCTCTTCCTGAATTAATTTCCCACACCAATCTGGACTAATGGTGTCTGTCCTTAGTATCCTTACATGGGCTACCTCTCTACCTTCGTGTCTTGTACAATGTTTGCAATCCTCCTCACATGGCCTTCGAGACAATGCATCTGCGTTCCCGTGGGCTCTGCCCTTGCGATGTTCAGTAGCAAAGTCATACTCTTGCAGTTGTTCGATCCATCGAGCCACTTGTCCTTCCGGATTCTTGAACTGAAGTAGCCATTTTAATGCAGCATGATCTGTCCTAAGACGGAACTTGCGACCTAGCAAGTATTTACTGAAGTGCTGCAGCGTCTTCACAACAGCCAGTAGTTCCCTCCGAGTGACACAGTAGTTCCGTTCTGGTTTCGACAATGACTTGCTGAAGTAGGCTATTACTTGCTCGTGCTCACCTTTTACTTGTGATAGTACACCTCCAATGCCAATTCCACTGGCATCTGTATCTACCACATATTCACCATCTTGATCCGGGTAGCCTAGTATTGGAGTCTCACACAGTCGGTTCTTGAGCTCATTAAACGCATCTTCACACTCTCCATCCCATGTGAATTTCCTCTTCTGTTCGGTGAGTCTGTGAAGTGGTTTTGCAATATCCGCGAAATTTCTCACAAATCTTCGGTAGTAAGAACATAAGCCTAAGAAAGAGCGGACTTCAGTTTTATCTTTAGGTACTGGCCAATCCTTCACCGCAACTATCTTCTCAGGGTCTGTTCGAACTCCATCCTCTGATATAATGTGCCCCAAGTAGCTCACTGCTCTCTTGAAAAATAAACATTTCTTTGCACTTAGTTTCAGGTTGGCTTTATGCAGTCTGGAGAGCACCCTTTGCAGATTTCGTATGTGATCATCAAAATCCTTTCCAATGATGACTACATCATCCAAGTACACTAAGCAGGCTTCTCCTATCAGTCCTGACAGTACTTTTTCCATTAGTCTTTCAAAGGTGGCAGGTGCATTGCAAAGCCCAAACGGCATAACTTTAAACTGCCATAGTCCTTTACCAGTTGAGAACGCTGTTTTCTCTTTATGACTTGAGTCTATTTCCACTTGCCAGTACCCACTTTTCAAGTCTAAAGTTGTAAACCATTTTGCCCCACTTAAGGTATCCAAGGTGTCATCTATTCTAGGTAACGGATAACTGTCCTTCTTCGTGATATCGTTAAGACGACGGTAGTCGACGCAGAACCTTAAACTGTTATCCTTTTTCTTGACTAAAACTACTGGAGAGCACCAAGGGCTGGAAGATGCTTCAATAACATTATGGTTTGACATTTCTGCAATCATCTTGTCTATATTCTTTTCATATGCGACAGGTACTCGTCGCGGTCTTAAACGTATAGGTGCTTCGGTTCCAGTCTCAATTCGATGTTTAACTACACCTGTCCTTCCTAGATCTCCATCGTGTGTAGCAAACATGTCAGAAAATGTCTTTAATAGTCCCTTTGCTTTCGACATTTCTTCTCTCGTCAAGGTTTCCTTACAGTCCTCAAGTATTGCTTGAACTATATCTCGTTGTTTACTAACTGTACCATCTTCAATGATTGCTCTATACACGTCGTACCCGTTCTTCAATGTGTTATCTTTTAGGGAAACTACTTCATCTCTACACTTGAATGTGCCGTTCTTCAGGTCAATCTTACAGTTGTAATGCTTCATGAAGTCTAAACCGATAATACAGTCATCTACGATGTCAGCAATAACCACCTTATGTCTGTATGTTCTTCCACCAATCTTGAAGGTAGCGATACCTTCTCCTCGAACGGTTATGTGCTGACCAGTAGCTGTAAGGAGCTGTACATTTCCACCAGAAAGGCTCTTGTAAAATGACTTCAGAAGTTGGTATCTGATTACTGTCCGGGAAGCTCCAGTATCAAGGGTTAACTCACACCTAGTGCCGTTAACTTCTCCGTCGATGACAATGGTATTCCCATCCTGAGTTTGAGAGATCATAACTTTTGGGGCCTTCCTTACAGAACCGGCCAGCACCCGCCCCGTGGTCCTGGCTTCTATTCGTTTCCCTGCCGCTGTTCAGCGGCAGTCACATCCACGTCATCGGGCTCCCCACGTCTTGTCTTCATTTCACCTCGGAGATCTCTCTTAGGGCATGAAAACCTCATATGCCCTACTTCCCCGCAGAGGTAACAGGTGGGTCCACGTTGGGAACTACGTTTTTCCGAGACAGCCCTAATGCGGTTAGGTCGAGAATCCTTGCAAAATGCTTCCACTTCCAACGCATGAGCAAGAGCATTCTTGAGGTCCTTATGGTGACCTAGGTTCACAGCCATTCGAATTTCACGGTCTCGAATACCGTCGACGAAGGCTTGAACCAACATCTTGTCTGCAACGTCTGGTGAGGATGCATAGGCTTTCCTAACCAGCTTCTCTATTTCACATCCCCATTTTTGCAAACTTTCATTTGTCTGCTGTATTCTATCCTTTAATTGAGCCCTATAGACGTGCTCTAAATGTGCGTCTCCGTACCGTGATTCTAGGGCATCCAGCAGTTGCTTCAACGTCACTTTACCTGTCTTGGTATCTAATATGGTGTGGGCTTCATCTCGCAGTCCCATAATAAGGGCGGTGACAGCCTGATCGTCATTCCACCCGTTTGCCTCTGCCACAGTCTCAACCTGTATTTTGTACGCGCCCCAGGAAGATGTACCGTCAAGGGAGGTACTTTCAGATTTCCAGATGGTGCTACAGTCGTTACGACACCTTTGGTCTTCAGGCACTGCATCTCT